TGTCTATTGTTAAACTGTTACTGTAACCTATGGACACCTGCAACACTAGAGATGTCATATGCGCGTTGCCAACCCTAAAGAAACCTTAATATATACTTTTTAAAAAACCCTATACCTACCCTGTAGTCATCGATCGTATATCTATAAAAAAATACTTCGTCTTTTTTTTTTTATACAACTTTAAATGGTAAACAAGCTGACGGCCCACCTGATGGAAAGTGGTAACCGTTGCCTATAGACATGAGCAGTACCATGGACATAACAGAGTATACTGTTTCGCCCATGATACCCCCCATGCGTTGCCATTCCCGAGGACTCAGGTGTTATTCCTCTGTACCCTGTAAATTCACGCCATATCCCATCCTTCAAACCGAAACACAGCCATGCAAACACAACTGTTTCACAGTTGAAACACGAATGGGACAGAGGTACCCAAGCTATCGACTTTTGTACAAAGTCTCCCTCTGGTTCTTATTTGATTAGTAATTTCAGAATACTTGTAGGTACTTTTATTATTAATATTAATAATTCAAATACCTAAGTATGAATTACGTACTTCATATATACATATATTCATATAAATTTTAAAACAGAAAAGAACCCCACAACTCATAACACAAATTGTTCGCGACATTATTGTATATGTGTAATTATAGCGATATTTATAGCAATGTTTATAGTTAGTTGTTAAGTTTCTAGTTTAATCGTTTTTTGTATTCTGTTATTTTATATAGATTTACATAGATTTAAGATACCTATAGTGTAAGTTAAATAAAGTATTCCTTTGTGTGTTGTCATTATTACCTACAAATAGAAATAGAAATTGTAACAATAAATAGAATTAAGAAATTGTAAATTGCAATAAATAAATAAACGCTATAGAGTACCGATCTGAAGAGACACGCGTCTCGTTCATTCTCGCCCCGTCCCGCTCGCGCAGATTCGCTAACGCGAGTTGGAAACGTTATCGTGCGAGCGGGCGGGTATAAAGATAGGCCGCCTCCCGTCAAGCGGCATTCGCTTCCGGGCAGTGACATCCATCGGCAAGAAGCACGCAGCGCTGAAAATGCAGCGGCAACTCGACACCCTACCAAAGTGGCTGGACGACTGGAGATTGTCGGTGAATGTGCGCAAAACGCAGGCGATCTACTTCGGACAACGTCACTGCCCTCCCAAATTGCACCTGCGCGACTCCCCGATCGAGTGGTCTACCACCGTCACCTACCTGGGGGTGAACATCGACCGGCGTCTAAGTTTCAACACCCACATCAAGGGGGTCTGCAACAAGACCAGGGTGGCCAGACCTCCTTCGCCCAGCGTTGACAGGAAGACTCCCTCTCCAAATAAAGACGGCCATTTACAAAACCTCATCCGACCGCGACTTACGTACGCAGCGCCGGCATGGTATGTCTACGCATCTGCGTCGAATAAGAAGAAACTCAGCGCGCAACAACACCTGACACTGCGCACCATCGCCGGCGCGCATAAATACGTAAGGAACGCCACCTTGGAGAGGGACCTAAAGATCCCTCCGCTGAACGAATTCATCGGCAGCCTCGCAACGAAGATGTTCGCGCGTGCGGACGCATCGGGCTGGGACCACCTAAAGGGAATAGCGCCCTGCACGCGCGACCTCCGGACCACAAGCCCTACGCACGCGAACTAATAGCTCGCGTGCAAGAAAACCCAGAGGAAGACGCCATGGACACATATATACATATTCATTCATATCTCACCCGGCAGGCGAAGACCGCGCAGAGTGAACGGGGCGGCACGTTAAGAACCAGGTTCACAACGACCCGCTCATATTAAGCGGCGGATAGAGACCACCTGAGAGGGGTAAAAACCCCGGACAGGTTTCCCCCGGCTCCCCCTAGGGGAGAGCATGAGAAGAAGACGGACTCAAGCGGCATAGCGACGCACTACACTCGAGAAGAAATTTCTCTTCAGACGGTACCGGAGGCTTCAGAATAGTAATCGCTGTGTTTCACTCCAGCCTGAACCAACGCCCCTACAGTCCACGCTCACCGAACGGCAGTCCACACCGTTCACAAATTTTATACATTGTTAGCTGGTAGTAAATATATAATGTGACCCGCACGCTTCGTGATCAGATAAAGACATAGAACCATAAATATACAAGTGATACCTCTACGCCCCTAGACAAGTAGCAAACGAATCTATCGATAGAATCGTTGGGATCGATTTGGAAGCGCCATTTCTCTAATTCTATCTCTTGACCGAATATTGTAATAGAATATAAATAGAAAATATCAAAGTTTCTATTTACATTTCATGAACTATACTATATACTAAATTTATAATAATTTTACTTTAATCTACTAAAAATTTGCTTCATATTGTTCCTTAGGAATTTTTTGCTATAATATCACATTCAAATTTCAATTTTAGTGACAACATATCTCTTAAATTACGCCTTAGAATCGACCCTATTACCCCTAGCGAATCTATGAGATAAAATAAGATAGCGATGTCCAGTGTTCTGTTCTTTCTCATACGTACACTAACAACACTTATCGTTCTATGGATAGAATCATTTACCACTTGTGTAGGGGATCTAATTTTTTAGACGGATATAGAGTACGGCGACAAACGATTACGTAAAACCTTAGAGTAAGATATATTTGTTGTAAGAGAAAGAATGGAGACTTAAAACCTATTTTACAAAATTAAATTATACTGCTCTACAAATTGATACATATATATTCATAGACAAAACAAGTCAGTTTTAGTCACGTGACGTTTATCTATACTTATAATAAATCTGTAGAGAGGTTAATTCTATATATGAAATATATTTCCAAAATAACTATCAAGGGGTGATAAGTAATCGATACTGATACTAAAAATGCGATCAGTAAAATTTTTGTCTGTCTGTCTGTATGTTCGTTATAGAAAAAAAAACTACTCGACGGATTTTAACGAAACTTGGTACAATTATTCTTTATACTCCTGTGCAGGTTATAATATACTTTTCATCACGCTACAATCAATAAGAGCAGAGCAGTAAAGAGAAATGTGTCTGTTACATCACTGAACCGTAAGGAAAGACATAGGCTACTTATTTTACTTATTTACCATTTTTTTATTTTACCATTTATCTCTTCCAGGCAACCTTTGGATGGAGAGGAGTAATTATAAACAATTTGGTAGGAGGCACGATGAAAAATTTTGTTAGTTCTAGATATGGAATATGTAATACATATAATAATATAAAAATTATCCCTACTTATTATATATATATATATATATATATATATATATATATATATATATATATATATATATATATATATATATATACACACACACACAATTATTTAGAGAAGGGACCGGCTAGGCCATGCCCACCCCAGATTGCGAACGAAGTTTCAGTTTCAGGCCTACCCAAGAAAATAATCTTAAATACACTAATGATGGTAACCTTGCCTACGCGGGGGGAAAGGGATTGTTAGTAATGGAGACTAAGAATCCCATTGCTAGCAATATACCCAACCAGGTCGACCTCCTCGCGGTTCCCCCTGAAAACTATCATGGTTAATTCCTGATGAATTCACCATGATGGGCTAACTGGCCTGCTTACATTCTCATCTATCACCCCTCACTGGTGCTCCGCCAGCCTGTTAGCGCAGGCGGGGTTACCATTCCATTTTCACCCATCAATAAAAAAAAAACCTTGCCTACGCTATCAGTATACGCTGGCGGGATACCAGTGGAGTTGAAAGATAATGAGGATAAAATCAATTGGCCTGCCATAACGAATCCATAGAGAAATAATGGTTTCTAGAGGAACCGTTATTGCTTGCAATGGTGCCACTACTCTGCATCCTATTAAATATAATAAATGCGAAAGTTTATAACGATGGACGGATGGATTGATGTTTGTTACCCTTTAATGCAAAAACTACTGAACAGATTTAAATAAAATTTGGTACGCGTATAAGTTATACTCTAACTATGGTACATATGATATTTTCTGTTGTAACGTATACCCGTGTAATAAACCTGAAAGCAGATTCCCATAATGTAGTAATTTACGCGGGCGGAGTTGCGCGATACAACTAATTACTAAATCAACAGATATTACAGAAGAACATATTAATTTTTTTTTCTAGAGAACACAAATCAAATGTTAAAAATTTCAAAATGTGCCTTTCAGTTCCAGTAAGATATCATATGAATAGTATTTTATAGTACCGTACCACATGATACGAAGGAAAACTCTTGTTGTGTGTGACTTTGTCTATCTGTCACAATGCTTTATCTCAATTTCTAATAATGCTATCGACTTGAAAGAAGAAATGATTAAAAAAAAAATGTTTTCGTTTTCTTTACGTCTTTTCTTAAGTAGACAATAAAGTAAAAACATTTTTAAAGTCTAATCTAAATTATAACAATGCATCCCACAAAAAAAATACTACAATTGTGACAATACTAGTCATTTTGATCTAAAAACCTAATCTGAAAAATGCTGAAACAATTTTGATAAAATTTCTATGAGACCATTCTGAATACTCATCTTATCAGATAAAAAATAATTTTCTAAATTGGTTTACAACTGACGGTGTAAAGAGGTAAGAAACAAAAAAAAAATACAACGTAATTAAATAGCTTCTTTTTGGAATCGATGAAAATTATGAGACAATATAATATAAAAATGTCTTTATGTTTTCCTACTGATGAAGATGCGATAAAAGAAAACTACAATATAAAGCATCTTAATTATTCATTCGTTTCTCTTAAATAAGTTACAATATCAATAACGATAACTATTAGGTGTCTATTTTGTATGAGAAACAAAATTAAAATTAAGATATCTCATATATATACACAAAAAACTCGACATGTCAGTTCAACAGGGGTAATTTGAAACAATTTTAGGCTATATTGAAATTTAAAAAATTTAGACGACTTAAGTCATTTTGGGGTACGAATTTTAGCAAATTACAATCTATTATATCTGGCAACACGGATCCTGTTTGGCTGTCAGTCGAAATTTTGAGATGATCTATCTAATCTGTGGTCAGAAAAATTCAAAATAAAATTTACAAAGAAAATAAATTGACACATGTTTGTAATGCTCGTTTTAATTGTAACGTACTAATGTTTTTATTTACATTATTATCATTAATTAAATTAATAATTTAAATGACTCGATAATTAACTGTTTTTATTCAACAAGTACTTACTGAATCCATACAGTGCAAAATGGCTAAATGGAAACTAAGCCGGCAAACATTTGGTGAAGAAGAATTCATCTTAACAGAAGGAGATGAAGTCACAATAGGAAGAGGAATCAACAACTGTATAACGCTGTCTAGTTTATTAATATCACGAAACCACTGTGTGTTAAATGTCCAGAAAACTAAAGTTCTTATCACAGACTTGAAGGTGCAATTTGTTAATAAGCTATTAAAGTTTAACTAACTCTCCATGATTTTTTTCTGTAAATTGTAATATAATATCTTGAAATAATGTTTTATCCGTGGCTTAAAAATCTCATTTAAGTTGTCAATTACTAAAATCTTGACATTCTTAATTCAATGTTTATTTTTTATACATAGTCTCCATCTGGTTATTATACTTAATATTTTGCTCCTATCAACAACTAAAGAGTCCAAAAAATGTCTTAGCAGTAAGCCAACTTGATATTTACCAAATTTAATTAAAATTGTTTGTTCGGTTTGGTCGTATAAATGAGACTAGTGATCTACCCTAACTTCGTACAGGTGATAGATAGAAAGATAAACAAGTTTCTATATTAAAGGATAACTGTTCGGTACCCAAACTGCTGAATGCTTAATACTACGTTAAAACTGTTTTATATACTATATTACTAAGAGCTATTAGATGTTATATACTTTGATAGAACTGCTAATTGCCTTCTACTTTCAACTATGATGTCCATTTTTTTTCTCAGGCTAAATACTATCCTATTTCAAATTGTTATAAGCAAGCAAGACACATTAACAAAATTTCAACATAATCATATTCATTATCACTATGTTCATTTTATATATTCATTTTAGGTAGACATTTTTACAATGTTTTACAAATATTTACCTTCTAAGACCACTTTCCGATTCTAAAGATATTAAAATTTACTGTGCTCTACATATAATTTGATACTTGACTATACTCTAGAAATTTTTTTATGGGATGATAATGGAATGATTACCCCGCATCTGCTAACGGTACACACTGGCAGGGCACCAGTGAGGGATGATAGGTGAGAATAAAAAGACAGGTCAGTTAGCCCATCACGATGAATACACTTGGTATTTAGCACGATGGTTTCCAGGGGGGACCACATGGAGGTCAACCTGACTGAGTACATTGCTAGTAATATTCCTCCCTCATACTATAGAGGTTAAATAGATCATAGATTCATATAAATTGTATATTTATTTAATGTTTTGTAGAATTTTGATATTATAAATTTTATCTTTTTACAGAGCTCTAATGGCATTTATGTTGGTTTAAAAAAAATAACTCCAAATATTCCTTATACACTAAAATGTTCTGATATAATAGGATTTGGGTTAGCTGAAAATGCAGTACATGATAATATAAAAAACAGTGAGAAATATCTTTTTAAGTTAATAAAGTATGAAGTCACTACTCCTTTAATAGATAGAATAATGTTTCAAAGTGATAATGAAATTGATGATATTGAAGATAGAATTGCTGCATTAGAAAATAATGAAAACAATGTTTCAATAATTGGACATTCACCAGTTACTAATACCAAACCTATGTTAAAAAGAAAAATAAAAACAGATTCTTCTGAACTTCTTATAAAAGGTAACCAAGGAGCAAATAATGCTGACATAATTTCTACTAAAAATGATGATGTTGTGAATCTTTTATCAGACAGTGAAAATGAGATGCAGTCTAAGTTGCACAAGGTTGATCCAACAAAAATTAAACTAGAACCAATACATGAACAATCTTCAAAGAATGTTTGTATTATAAAGCCTGAAAATGAATATTTAGAGTTTGAGGCTTTTAATGTGAAACAAGAATATTTTCGAGATGACAATGATGATGAACCTATTAAAATTGACAGTGACAGTGATAGTGAATCAGAGCATTGGTATTTAAGACTTTCACAGAGTTCACCAGGAAAACCATTTATGAAAATAACGAGAGAAAGCACCAAAGAAACGAGTAAAGAAGACAGTTCTTACAGTCAAATAGATGATGAAGTAACTGACAATGTATTGAATAATTTTTCGAACAATGATGAAGAATTTATTGATGATTTGATATTAATTCCGCCTCAGCCACCTGATGATAATATCAGATTGCCACAAAATAATGTTGTTTCAGAAAATTCAATAAATAATAAAGACTTTGTTGGTGATGAATATATGGAAGATATAATTTCATTAAACCAAAATGTGGCAGATAATAATAAATGTAATAATCATGATAATAATGATGATACTGATGGCATTTCCCCTAACAGTAATATAAAATTATGTGATAAACTAGTAACAAATGAAATAGACTTGCAAACTGATGGAGTAAAAAAAGTACAATTAATTGCACCAATTGCACATGCACCAAAACGGAAAACTAATAATATTACAGTTGAAAGTAAGTTTGAATTAGTGATCTTTATATCAATTTTGATTAGGACATTTGCTTTTTCCTGGAATAGTTACAAATAGTCTGTTTCATGAAGTCACATATAGATTAGTTAGTTTAGTTTGCATATGCTTAGTAACGAATTACGAAATAAATTAGTATTAACGCCTAACTGAAACAAGGTTTTACATAAAATGTACTTTCTGAAAAATTTCTACTGAAACACGAAATTTGCGCTAAAACTTGTCGAAAACGAAAGTTTGGTTGATAGTGTCGAATTAGTTTGTATTTATAATATTTTTTTTAAAGTTTCCCCACAAAATATCCTAATTATTTCGATTTACATACTTTATTTGTCTAATTATTTAATTATAATAGTAAGATATGTCTGTTCTATTACAAATGTCATCAATTATTAATTTTTGTGCAGGTAAATTAAAAACTTCAAAAAAAAACAAAACAAAGAAACACTCATTTAAGAAACACATTAGCAATTCGCAAAAAGAAGAACGTAAAAAGAAACTCAAAGAAATTGCTAATAAGGTAAAGGAAGAAAATGAACTCATCAGTTCAAAAAGTTCCATTAATAACTCTAATAAATCTGTAGTTATAAAAGTAACATCTTCAAATCGAGGTGCCTTTCTATCCGATGTAACACAAGTTGTTAAGCCTACAAAACGAAAAGATAGCCCACAAATAAATAAAAAAGAATTACAAAAGAACAGTGAAAATTCTTCTAAATTGTTAAATGAAGATAAATCATCTAAATTAAGTAATAATATTGAGAACATAAAAAAGCAACCTGAACCACTGAACAAAGAACAACAAATAACATCCAAACATCATATGAAATACAAATCAAAAGATAATAAAAACCTTGGTTCTCAAACTTCAGTAGAATCAAGAGTACCTCTAAAAAGTTTAAAACCATTGACAGAAAGTGTAGAATCTTTCTCAGGCAAACCAGTTTCTAAAGTGGAACCACTACCACCTGAAAAGCCTAAAAAATCAGTCCGATTCTCTGAAGCTCCTCCTGAGATTAGAGAGTATCAAATTGAACCAGGTAACAGGATGCAAAAAACCAGTATGATAAAAACAACTTTGGTGGATGTGCAACAGATGCCAGTATTTTCCTTAGAAAAAATAACATTAATGAAAATCCTCAGATGGAACCCTCAATGGTTGGAAGAACAGATTAACAACCATGATCCGCCACCAATATTGGGGCACAATAATCCACCTATGGCCCTTTTTCATTCATTCCATAATCACAGTCACTATGTTCAGTAAGTAGATTATAATAATATTTTATATTGAGGCTGTAAATTAAGCTATTTAAACTTATAAACAAGTGCTCACAAATAAAGCTAAATTAATTTATATAGCAAGGCATATTATAAATATATTCATATAAAACATGTGGACAGATACAACACAATTGTATAGAAAGATGAGCTAAAGAGTGCAAAAATATTTATTATAGCTGTCATCTATGGCAGCTTACTGTAATATATAGTTTAGTATATTATTACATATTATAGCTCCATCTGTGATAGACATCTAAAAACAAGGAATTACATAGAAAGAGTGATAAAATTATCAATTCATAGCAGGCTAATGTATGGAAAATGTTATAGGGCCGTAAAACCCTACCAAATTCAGATATAACCTGCTTGCATACTTTCTACTTAAACTATGTCGAATATATAATCTAGTAATATAAAATTTGTTATTGACAAATAATTGACATATCAAACATTTTCTATACACTAACCTGCTATGAATTTAAAAAAAATAAGAACTAATGGTGTATCTTTCATCCTCTTTTTGCTAATTATATTTGCATAAGAAGAAAGGAGGCAACCATATAATTTACAGTTTTTATTTTATCATTCCTTCTATGTCATTCCTTGTTCTTAGATGGGATTAAATCAATTAACAGCTAAATAATATTTGAAATTTGAGGTCAAACAGAATACTTCTCAGGCTCATTAAGTATGGACATTGATTGTTATTATTGTCTAGATTTGTACTACTTTTCTGAAATTTACCATGAACCAAATTAATTTAAGTATTATAATTTATGTGTTATATAAACTCCAAATAAGTTACTTTACATTCAATAATAATATAAAAAAAGCAAATCATGTTATTGTTTTTAATTGCAACTTTATATGCATTATCTAGATATATTGATTGATTGGGATGAATATATGTCTTTTTCTATAATATATAATACATGAATACCAGATTTTATAATGATTGCCTAATTTGTTAAAGCGTTAAGAAGTAACAAACTTATTAATAAGTATTATCATCTACCTACCCCTATGCCAATTATTATTTGGTTTCGGCGTAATATGTTTTTTATCCATGTTACAAAAGATTTGGCTTTTAGTTTTACAACCGGCCGCCTGCCTGACGTCAACCCTCTTTGGGAATATATAATCATCCTAACCATCCTACAATATTTATTATTGTTACATTCAGAATTACAGGCATATTATTTCATTGAGGATCTGAAAGAACTAACAGACTTTATGAATAATGAAACAATTTAAGCCAAATGGATGAAAAAAATTATTAACAAATAAAACTTTCATCTTTAGTAATATCTTGTATTTTTAAATTTTTTGTTTTCTCTATACCACAAACATATTGATAGGTAATTTATAAATGTACTAACTTTTTGTTTGCAGAATTGTTGGCGATCTGCTTCTTATGGAAATTTGGGAGTGTTTAACATTAGCATATATGAAAATACGCAATCAAAGTAATAGATTACAAATGAGAATTGCTTCACTACCCCCTGTGCCCACACAAGAAAGAAGTTTCGATATATTCAACATCAGTGTGGACTGTAAGATTTAAATCTCATTCTTATGTTATTTTAGAAGACTTAAGCATTCAAACAAATCTGAAAAATCAATGCTATAAAAAATGTATATATAGCAACACTGATTGTAAATTTTTGGAATCGTTTTATTTACGTTAATATGTTACGATATTAAGCATTCAGAATAAAATTAAAAACCTGCAGGATCAGTTTAAGTTATGTTTATCTTAAAAGTTTTTAAATGTTTAATATGTTTATAGAATAATGAATTGAACGCAAAAAGTTCCTTAATGTCCTTCTCTCGTCGTTTCATATGTTGATCGTTGAACTTGACGTGCGTATACTGTTCCATATTGTTTTCACATGTTCACATATATTTTCACATATTTTTATCACATTTAGTTGAATATAGTATAAGATGCAATTTGATCCTTTAATGAGAAATAAAAAAGCATAGATATAAATAAAAATAAATTATAGATTGTATAATCATGTTTACTCATGCACAAAAAATCTAGGTAATATTCCCGCAATACATACAAGTAGAGTTTTCAAACAATGAAATTCATAATTAAGTATAGCAACGTCGCAATTATCTGTCAATTAAAAAAAAATAATATTTTTCAATGTTTCTGATTATTTAAAAAGTGCTCTGCTAGCTAATGTGCATAAGTTCTTTTTAATGGTAGATTTATATGCAATATATTCTATAATTTACTTTTTAATTAACTAACAAAGCACTTTTTAAATAATCGGTTAGAAACATTTCTATTTCAATTTGTTTATTGCATTCTACAATATTATTATAAAAGATGTTAATAATTGATATAGTACATATAATGTACCTGTCAGGCATAGCAAATTTTTGAAAAATGATAATTTTTTTTTTATAATTGACAGGTAATTGCGAGGTTGCCACACTTTGGTGAGCAATAGTTATGAACTGTCTTAAAATTATGTTATTAAGTCATTTCTATGTTAGTATGTGCAGTGCAATAAGAAAACTGTTCATTAATAGGTTTAATAATTACCAATTTAATACTGCACTTACTGGGTTAATGTGTCACCCTGCCTTTTTGTTATTTAGTATATAAATTTATATTTATCTTAATTTTTAATCAGTTGAAATATATGTCACTGTTAACCTCGTCGTAGTAAATGATCACGCAACAAATTACATTATAATAAACCAACAGTCTTTACTGACAATATATCATTCAAACTATTTCTTTCCATTTATAATTCATTTATTTATCACATTAATTTATTTATTAATTATTACAAATTAATTTATTTATCTTAAAAAAATTGTATATGTAATCAGATAAAATTTTTGTATGTTATATTTATAAAAAAATACTAATAATTATTTGTTCCAGTGTCACTACTTACATCAGAAGTAAAAAAATATTTACCCAGAGTAGGTGAAATAATGCTTATTGGTTTTGGGTCAGGAAATGCTTCAAGCCGTAGATTTTTCTTTGTACATAATGTCAGGAATATACCTTCGCCACCAAGTAAGTATGTTTTTAAATTATCATGTTTCAGTATTTTGTTAAATAAATTGTAAATTAATTTCTTTTTAATTTCAGACAACATACACTTATTTTATAATATATCTTTGCATGCAACATATACGGAAAAAATGAAATACTTAAAACCTGGTGAAATAGTATCAGGAGTGACTCTAGCATATATAAAAAATGAGCTTAATTTGTTTGAAGCTATGGCTTACTTAGCTGGTTCACCATTAAGTGAAATCATTTTAAAGCCTCAGCCCCACTATTTTAAGAATCACGATTTTAATCCAGCAAGCTGCGTAAAATCACAGGTATCTATACATTTTTTTTAAACAAAATTTATTTAGTGTTTAGAAAATGTTTTTAAAATTAATTGCATTGATAATCCTAAATTAAGATAATGCACTCGCTAGCTGTACAATGATAAAATAAAAAAAATTAACTACCAAGTCTTTTGTAGTGTCACTAGAAAACTCAATATTTATTTTAACACAAGTATCAATTTCGAAGTTATTTAATTCTATCAAGCAATGTCTAAATTATTAATTTCCTCTCCTCCGCTACGAGGTGCGTATAAGCCTACTATAACCTGGCTGGCCAGGTGCTTTGGTTTTAATTCATATTTTCCTGTTATTAAGTATCATATTATTCTAAGCAAACAAGTTAACGGTCGTCATGATGGAAAGTAATAACCATCGCCTATAGACATGAATAGCAACCATACACATTATAGAAAATTATTATTTCAGCCGTTAACTGCCCACTGCTGGACATAAGCCTTCCCCATAAGTGGTTTTGCCATTAGTTTGTTTGTTTGGTTGGCAACCGCAGTTAAGCTTTTAGAGATCTTTTAAGAGGGATGCTACTGCCTATCCCTCGTCCTACCTTAGTCGCACTTACGACACCCACAGGAAATGAACAGGTGGCCTATTCTATGCCGGGGCACACACGGCAATAATTATACTTTCCTCCATACCATATATATTCACTGTACCCTTCAAATCGAAAGATATCCATGTAAGCACAGCTACTTGACGGCAAAAAAACGTGTGGGATGAGGAATCCATGCATACGACTTTTGTACAAAGGACTCTCTGAGTCTGGACAATATTTATTTATTATATTTTTATAAATATACTTTTTACAGTGGACAATGACTCTAAACGAGAGTCAGCAAGAGGCAGTCAGTTCGTCTGTCTCAGCAGCGCTGGGCGACCGGCCCTGCATACAAATGATACAAGGACCACCCGGCACAGGTCATTATATCTCTTCTATAATATAAACAATATGTTTGCATAATTATGTAGTATATGGATAAGTTATTCTCTATGTCATACATAGCTTTAACCCTTAAAAGCCTGATTTTTTAAATCAAATTAAAAAAATATATAAGTGTACCCTTTACTGTGTTTGCTAATGGGGAAAAATAGTAAAAAAAATCAAAACGATATTTTTATATATTTATTTTGATAACAACATTTGGTAACATGTAAACAGCCAAATATTAAAATAAAATCGATTGTAAGCGCCCAATGCGATTTATAACCCCGGTATCAAATTTGAAACTTCAGGTATTTAAGGGTTAAACTGCGTAAATAAAAAAAAAATACCGCATAAAACTTAGATTATACATTATAAAAACCAAAATATATTTCATTATGTGAATGAGACATTATTCTATAAATTAAAAATAAATAACATTTCCATTTACTTGCCTTTGACATAAATAGTTCTTCGGCCATCATTAAATATAGATGATATTGTATTTATAAAGCAACGAAGTTTAAAAACTCGCAATTTATTTGCAATATATTTTGTTAACATCATATCTAATCAGCTGTTATCAATTTCCTGCATTATTCCTAACAGTGTTTCCTTGTTTTACAGGGAAATCCAGCGTGATTTGTGCTATCATCATGACATATTTTTATAATGAGTATGGGAAGAGACAACAAAATAGAGGGAAGATATTAATTTGCGCAACAAGCAACGCCGCGGTGGATGAATTAGTCATTAGGTTATTGAACATCAGGCAAAATTTGCCAAAACGTAAGAATTTATAATTCCGTCTATTACTTACCAACTGCATTTTAATTCACATTAATTCCAATGATGATCGTTGATGGCGCGATTTTTAATGAAAACAGACATAATATATCAAATTTTCTCTATATGAAACTACACTCGCGAGCAACCAAATCGACTCAACCCTTGACGGAAATCAGTGCTCAAGTTTTTTTTAGGGTATTGACGTTAAATGAAAGCATAATTCTTCAGCTTTCGAATGACATATCATTTTTATAATTGACATTTGTCGTTTTAGTAAAATCAATGTATATGTGAACCGTCAAGGGTTGAGTCGATTTGGTTGCTCGCGAATGTACTAAGAGCACTCCTATTAGCTACGAAATCGTTTAAGAACTACATATTATCATTTTTATAGCCGCTTATTAACATCGTTATAAACGCTATGTATATCGGTCCATCTTCACCCATGCCGAGGTCTTTATTTTCTTATTTACGCTTTATATATCCTATTTTGAAAATTTGCTTAGGCGTTAATGAAGAACTGCTCTTTCGATTCGATTTTAAAACTGTAGCGGAACTCATAAAATTAAATTCTAACTCATTTTATAACACGTTCACCACGTTCACTAAAATCTTTCAAACAAAAACTATCAGTGACACCGTCAGAAAAGGCTAATCAAAATCTACCTATTAAAATTATTTTCAATATTTTCTTTAGTCTTTACCCAGCTATTGAATCGATTACGACGTGCTTGTACAAAAAATATGCCACAAGCACGATGTGGCACACTCTCAATATATTCTTCTCATAGCCACTTGTAAACGTCATCATCCACTTTTTCATCTGGGCAATGTTTTTTTTATACAACTTAGAATGGCAAACAAGCTGACGGCCCACCTGATGGAAAGTGGTAACTGTCGCTTATTTATATGAGCAGTACCATAGACATAACAGAGTATACTGTTTCGCCCATGATACCCCCATTCGTTGCCATACCTGAGGACAGGTGTTATTCTCCTCTGTACCCTGTAAATTCACGCCATATCCCATCCTTCGAACCGAAACACAGCCATGCAAACACAACTGCTTCACGGTTGAAACACGAATGGGACAGAGGTACCCAAGCAATCGACTTTTGTACAATCTCCCTCTGGTAATAATAAATATGACTCGACAGCGAAGTTGAATACGTGCTTATTATTATTGTTGTAATATACGTACATATATAATGAAAGCTGAGTGTGTGTGTGTTGTCGCGCGCGGTTGCAGAGGAGCGGTTCCGCATGGTGCGCGTGGGGCGCGTGGAGGCCATGTCGGCGCGCGCGCGCGACGTGAGCTCGCAGCAGCTGGCCGCGCGCGACGCACGGGCGCACGCCGACGCCGCCGCCGCCGCCGCCGCGCACCAGCCCGCGCACCCCGGGCTCGCCGAGGAGGTAACGCACCGCCGCCGCCGCCGCCGCCGCACTGCTCGCTACCGACTCTCGCCCCTCACCCCCCCCCCCCCCTCACCCCTCACCAGCCGCTCAGCGGACGCCCAATTTAACAGGCCACCGCAAGTGCCACGTGTAAACAGTACACCGAGTTGGACGTTGCCACTTACAATGGAACTGTTCTGCTTATACTTAATATGACCATAATCTTGCGGACGACAAATATTTTCTTCAAAAACTGATGAACGACGAGATGTTTATACTCGTATATTTTTTTTTAATGGATGATAATGGAATGGTAACCCCGCCTGCGCTAACGGTATACGCTGGCAGGGTACCAGTGAGGGATGATAGGTGAAGATGAAAGCAGGTCAGTTAGCCCATCGTGATGAATTGCAGAATTAACCACGATGGTTTCCAAACCACGTGGAGGTCGACCTGATAGGGTATATTGCTAGCAATGGGGCATTTAGATCTCTCTCTCTCTCTCTCTCTCTCTCTCTCTTCGTCCTCTTCATTACTGAAGGTCGTGTCCCTGAAAGGTCTCTGTTGCCTCTCTTATGATGTTATTCCATTTTGCACGGTCTTCAGCTTCTCGCAGGGCAGCTGCAATTGACAGTCCCGTAACGGCGGTTGCTTGGTCCGACCATCGATTAGGCGATCGTCCGCGTGGTCTTTTTCCCCCTATCTTACCTACAACCATTAGTTTGTCCAGATTGTCGGACTGCCGTCAAGCAACATGACCGAAGTATCCAAGAATCCTCCGATAGCAGACTGTCGAGAGCCTATCTTTTATGCGGAGTTGCGTCAGGATATTATCAGATACTGTATTAGATAGTTATTGTATTATTTAAATAACGCATTTAGAATAACGCAGAGTCCTATGTCCACACTTAGATTTTGATTCGTCACAAAATTAAGATAGAACAAATAACTGAACCCTATCAACTCCGAATCTGTTTAATAAAGTTACATTTTTAATAGCATTATACATTTTATATCGTAAGTAGATTAAATCAAACTATTATTTTTTTACAGATCTCTCGACTAGAAGCTAAAGTAAACATGTGGAACACAGCTATCCAAGACGCGAAAGACCAAGTACGAATTGCGTACTGTCAGGGCCGTAAGGCCGACGTCATCAAAAGGATAACACTGGTTAGTTATACAAATTTCTTATATATTCACTTTTTAAAATTTCCATTCCTATTTTTAATTAGATATTAGATATCATAAATGTATATTTTACTTGACTTTTTTATTTCTATGTTTCTATTATAACCATACCTTTGTTACTTATGTATTACGAAATAAGTTATTATTATTTATCCGACTCGGAGAACCAAAATAGTTGTAAGCTGGTGGACTGTGGTGGTACTCGAAAAAAAAACTCCAGATTTTGACAAGATATAATCTATATATTGCAAAATGTAATAGAACCCACCTAGGTGTCGTGCAAAGCGTACCGAGGAAGAAATACAAATGTACCCCCTTATATAAAGTAACTAAAACGTGCAAATGTATTTTAACTATATAATAGGTTTCTTCAGGGTCGGCAACGCACGCGTAATACCTCTGGTATTGCAGGTGTTCATGGGCTACGGTAACCACTTACCATCAGGTGGACCGTATGCTTGTTTGCCACCACAGTGGTACAAAAAAAAATTACGCTTGGCATATGCTTACTTACATACAAAACTACGAATCTCTGTCGACGGCTGCACGCAGCAACGTGTCCGGGACATTTTCAGCTCCGTAGCAAACAGGCGTACACCAAACGTATAACGGTCAATATACGCCTTATGAAGCTATACCTCCGTGAACAGTAACCCTAAAGTGAATTCGAATGCGACAGCTGCGTACGGGCGGCGGCGGCGGCGGCGGCGGCGCTGGCGGACCCGACCTGCGGCCCGAGCAGCTGGCGCACGCCGAGCGCCGCATCATAGAGGGCGCGCACATCGTCGTCACCACGCTCGCCTCCGCGCACCTCCACAAGATGAAAGGGTACACCGCACGACACTCGCTACACACACACGCACCTAACACAATATACACAATATACACATGTATACAACTATATAACAAACACTACACTATTACACACGCATAATACAATTACACACACATACGACATAATTACAGACGCACACATACATATATGTGCAAAATTTTGTTGAATATGCTCTATTGTCATTTCCTTTTTTTTCTCTCTGAATATTTTCGTTACCATAGTTTCATAATATTAAATATTAATCAAATTAATTCATATTATAAGGTAAACTATGTTATGTTAACAGTTTAAAAAATCGCATTGCGTTGTGCATCATAGACGAGGCAGGACAGGCCATTGAACCGGAGGCGTTGATCCCGCTCACGCTTGACGTCACACGCCTCACGCTCATCGGAGACCCACAACAGCTGCCTGGCTTTATCTGCTCGCAGGTATAAATACCGGGGAAAAAACACTATTTTGATACCATTTAAATTAGGAACCAACTTTACGTATAGACATACCGTAAATTTCATTGGGCACCCTTATACGAGTAATTTAGGTAGTCTCATTGATAGAAAATTAAAAGCGTCATCATACATTTTGTTTTTCTTGCTGCATTGAACAGGTGTATTTTTTATTTATTAAACACTGCAACAACATTTCATGATTCATTAATTCATAAATTGATTAATATTAAATACGTATAGTACAAGAGGCTGTCTTATAGTTAAGCAGTCTTTTTCAGATAAATAGATATAGATAAAGAGTAGGAGAAATAATTAATGAAAGTCTTCAAAGATTATAAAGTACTCGTTTTTACCCGCAACTTCGTCCGCGTGACCAAGATATGTTCTTTTCCATTCTATATATTACTTGCACACTAGATTTCTAAGTGATTGGTTAAGCTGTTAAGTCGCTAAGAAATAACAAATAAACAAACATTCACTTTCACATTTATAATATTATTAACTTAGAATATTTATATAAGCTAATTTTCAAATTAACTGTTTCGTTTTTTTTTATCAGTGGGATATATAATTACGTATAAAATGTATCTTGATGTATTATTTAATAAATAAAATGAGTGTTTACGTATTAAAAAAATGAAGAAATTATAAGACTAAATAAATATATATTATAGTTATAAAGGAATCACTCATAACTATTTATCACGCAAAATTATATATAAAAAAGTTTGACCCGTTTTTCGAAGCATTTCTACGGAGATATTGTCTAAGATATACATATAATCTAAGATTAGTATGTATATATTGTTACTAGCGTGCGAAGCAGCACGGGCTGGCCGAGAGTCTGTTCTCGCGGCTGTCGTCGTGCGGGGGCGAGGAAGCCGGAAGTGCGAGCCCGGCGCTGCTGCTGCGGCAGCAGTACCGCATGCACGAGCACATCGCCGACTACCCCAACCGTGCCTTCTACGGCGGCCGCGTGCACTCGGCGCCACCGCCGCGCCCGCCGCTGCCGCTGCCGCCCTACGCCGTGCTCGCCGTCACCAGCGGCGACAGAGGGCAAGGTAGTGCCACACAATCATACCAACCACCTGGTTTTCAAGCTAGTATACCATGTGTTATGTGCTGAACTGGACAATAAACTTCTAGAATCATAATCCAGAGTTACTAGACCCGAGCCAATTAAAAAATCTCGTATTTTAAATCGTCTCTATTGAAATAAGAGTGCAGGGATCAGCAAATTGCTAGAATAAATAGGTTTTCATAGTAAATAATTTTACTAAAAAGACCACAGAAAAAATTATACATATTAATCTGTATTTTCTTTTTTATTAAACTACAAGTACACGCTGACAGGGCACCAAGTAAGGAATGATAGGTGAGGTACAGGTAATAGGCCCATCACAACAAATTTATGAGGAAGTAACCACAATGGTTTCCAGGGGAAACCGCGTGTAAGTTGACCGAGGGTCGATCGAGGTTATATTGCTAGCAAGGTATATAAGCTATTAGATTGTATTACTAACAATCCCTTCCTCCCTTAAGGGCAAATTTAATGTTGGTCACATTAATAATTAATATTGTATTCTTATCAATTATTATTGTTATAAATTTGGCCGCATTTTCAGCTTAAGAGCCTTAACTACCATTTTAATTTACTTCGTACGCATGGATTTCAAAAATATTTTATTTGTATAAAATAGATCACTTTTAAAGGGCGTGCCAATAAATAAAACATATATCAGACTTTAAGACGTTCAGAAACACGACTGTGAAAACCGCTTTTAATTGGGTGCAGTAGTTTCTGCATAATGCCAGAACAAACATACAGACAGACCAAATTTCTTAAAATCATTGTTTTGACATCTATTACTACGATATATTTTTGATTACCCCTGATATATTTTTTTTAAATACCTCCAATGTCCATACATCATCTCGTTACAATCCTTACTGATATCATATTATGAATGTATAGCCGTTTAACCAATCACTATGAAATTTGATAACTGTATAAGATAGAGGTTTTTATCCCGGTCAATAAACATATCTTAGTCACGTGAACGAAGTCACAGGTAAAAGCTAGTCTTATTATATTACTAAGATAAATGTCATATATTTTATTTATATCCAGGTGCTTCAGGAGCAAATGAAATGGAAGCGTGGGCTGTTTCACGACTAGTAGTGGCACTGAATACACTCCTACGCGGAATGAACTTAAGCTTGGCAGTCATCACGCCTTACAATGCTCACAAGGAACTCATCAAGAAAAATATTAAGATGTTGCAGAATGCGTAAGTCTCATTATAATAACGGTGCCATGTTAACGTAGACAGTCTATACTTAGCTGCAAAACTAATAGACGACTCATGTGTCCGTACTACTTTGTAAAGTCTGCCTCTGGTATTTTATTAGATGATCATGGAATGGTAACCGGACCTGCGCTAACGATAATGGCCAACGTTGGCAAAGCACCAGGGCGGGGTTATAGGTGAGAATGAAAAAGCAAGTTAATTAGCCCATCATGATGATCACTCCTAAAATTCAACACTATGGTTTCTAGGTGTGACCACGTGGAGGTGACTTGACTGGGTATATTGCTAGCAATGCGACTGATAGACTGCATTAGTAACAATCCCCGTCTATCTCTGATAAAACATAGGTGGAGAAAAAAGTGAAACTCAATTGTGTGAATTAAAGGCTCTCTTAGGTCGCTAATATAAATAACATTAATAGCTTGCATAAATGTGGTATATTTTACTTCTGGAAGAAAATACCCGTTATGTTAATTTGCCAACTTACACTCTTATGCATTGTAATGGTATGTGTTATATTTAGACAAATAAAATACTTAGTAACCAGATAAAATATAAGCGAAACTAGCCAGTGACATATTGATTGCAGATCGGAACCACACGTGGAGGTGAACACGGTGGACAGTTTCCAGGGGCAGGAGCGCGACGTGGTGGTGGTGTCGCTGGCGCGGTCCCATGGCCTGGGCTTCCTAACCGACGCGGGCCGCATGAACGTCATGCTCACCCGCGCACGACACTCGCTTCTCGTCTGCCTCAACCCGCACGCAGTGCTCGTGCGTATATTTATACGTCTTTTTCTGTGTTCTATGAGTATTGATCCCTAAACGCCGATTACCTTATTGCTGGCCTCTCACAGATCCTTTACATTAATGAAAAGAAACTAACATACTAGAAATAGTAATTCGAGCCCAGCCATCGCTGGATTGGACAGGTTGTAAAGATGATAAGAAATGTTTCAATAATATCTAATGAAGCATTTGTCATCATCATAATAAACACTATCGAAAAATTGTACATTCTATCTGTTGCTTGTGTCTGTACTCGTCTATATTCTTGATATTCTAAAATTAATTTATAATACAATGTTTTATAATAAAAACTATTATTGTTTCAGAAAAATTACCAGTGGCGTACTTTGGTGGAGGATGCACAACGAAGGAATCTATATAGAGCACTTCCAAATGTAATGTGCCAGGCCGTCGCGCACATAGGAAATGAGCAGGTGCTCAAATATATAACAGAACAAAAACCTAAAACCCGTTCAAAACGATAAATTTGTCTGACTGGCCCTTTCACAATTTATGAAAGTAACTATTAAAATATTTAATGAAATATTATGATATTGATTACTGTTCGTTATTATACTTAAAAAGTCGAATGTTTATTATTGATATTTCAAGGGCCTTTTTACTGCTAATTTTATGTTATCTAATTAAAGTACAAGGTGAAATAAAATATATACTTAATTTAGTCATGTCTGAACAGGCTATTAGAAATCTGACATAACAATTTGATAATCCGCATTTATTTTATTATTGTGTATTTTTCATTATTTGAATATAATTTATGCTCGGTTTTAATACATGGGCTTAATTGTTGTAATGCTATTCTATTGTAAATAAATAATTATTACTATTTTTGTAATTGTTGTATTATTGTACTTTTGAAAACTAATGATTTCTAGAACTGGATTGTATGTCCAGTTTAAAAAAAAATGTAGTGTTCCATGCCCATTTTAAATGTGAGTGATATTATCTTCCAGAAAAATATTCACTTAATTTCTTTTGCGATATTATAATCTTTAATGCACTATTCGTCCGATAAAATCAAGACGTTCACTGACGGGCATATTCGTCCGTGTAGCGAATCAAATCGTATTCACGCTTGCTCGCACACCGGACACATTGAAATGTCAAGTATTTGCTTCGTGCAGACATACCCTAAGAGTAATAATATACTCAATTGAGCGTATATCGTAAACTCTAACAATAAAACAGCTGTGCTTGCGTGGTTTGAACGTAGAATTTGTCAGTAAAATTACAGACTATTATTATCTTCACGGCATAACCCCACAATGGCAATTCATGATATTCTGTGTCTTCCACAGTGCTGTTGTTCATGTCAATAGACGATGACTGTTACCACTTTCCATCAGGGCCGAATGTGCCATCTTAAAGTGCATAAAAAAAAAACAATAAAGAAAATTAAATAAATTGTTTTGCTTTAATTCATTATCAAATAGTCTACTTATTTACACAACACACTACTACAATGTCTATATTGTAACCAGCATTCATAAAAGTGAAATGCAATTGGAAAAATATTGTATATACCTAATTATTGCGTAATATGAAAATACATAAAGGAAGCAATACTCGTTAAATACGCACATTTGATGTTTACAACATATATTTATGGTCATATTTTGAACTTTCAACATTTTAGAACCGCAGATAAATTTTAGTTACATTTAAGGTTACAAACATGAATTTTTTAAACCGGAGGAGTTACAATGGTCGCTTTAAAGAAATTAATATGATTTGCTTTTCCAATCGCCTAACAGGCATCCCGTCGAGGGTGTAATTTTATAAAATAATGGGCTAGTACATTGCCGAGTTATACGAAATGAGTCGTATTATATGATGCATATATAACAAGTATTTTATTCTTTCGGAACGTCCAGTAAGATCATAAAGTATTTTATTACGTATACTATACATACTTATATGAAAGTATAAATAAATGCATTTAATATTTTAATCGAAGAAGAGTGTTTTATTTCACATGTTTAAAATTAGTTCCAGCAAAAAATGAGATAACTCATTTATCCGTATTGAATTAAGAGACCTCTCGCTACAGATCTAAACAAAATCAAAGTATTTGAAAAAATATTTTAAACACTGGGTCTTGCATGTAAAACTAAAATATTTAAAAAGATATTTTTCGCTGAAACCAGCCGCTTGGTAAGCAAATACCATAGTGCAAACATAACAGTTACAATGTATATAGTTATAAATTCTTTTTTTTTTATTAATCTATACAATACAAATTAAACATTCATTTATTGAATCCAGTTTCATTAGTTAAAAGTATATTTTTCAATATCTAAAACGGCTGCATAATATGGTGATAATAATGAGACAATAGAGGTTCAAACAATATAAGAAACTTATGCCTTTAACAACATTTTATCTGTGATGTCTAGTTGACAATATGCACCAATACTAACAAAAAATCGCATATCATATTATTATTTAGTATATCAGTGATAATAATTCTGTTATTAGACAACGAACGCGAGCAAACTTAAATGCACTTATTGACCTGGCATTGACTATATACAAATTATAATTACAAACATACGATCTCTTAGGTAAAAATAATAGACCACCTTCATTCTGTCGTAAGAAAATAATCATTTTGTAATAATCTCGTTAATAATTATAATAAACACGACAAACTGACTGTTCGACAGGTTGAAATTTAGTATATATATTCATTTTGTTTTTAAGAAATTGCAAAGCATTGTTTGTATTGGCATCGTAATTTCAAAAAATGAACCATTGACGGTAAACAAAGTGGACCATTATTATAACTTTTATCAACTGACTTTAAGGAGATTTTTGATGTATAAAAGTTGGAATGAAAATAGGTGTTGTCGTAAAATCTGGTTCTATACAATAATATTTTATATTCTATAATACAATAATATAACTATTGAGGCAATTTTGTATCGTTTATTAATAACAATGACACAGAGATTTGTTATAGCTATAATTAAAAAAAATTATTACACAAAATTATTAATTTACGCATGTAAGAACTGGCAGTTCTATGTATATTTTACATAATTAAATGGTATATTTAATATGAATCCCTTTTGCTAATTTGTGAGGTTTCCGTAATCAGCAACATGGAGTCAGAAGTGTAATATAACCTAATATCCTAAATATTTTCACCATGACTTGCTTACTACATAAGATTGACTAAATATTAAATCAATATTCTATCTATATATACAGTTAAAAACATATTGGCCAACCGGGGTCAATGGTGGCTTGTGTAGTGGTGACCATTGTTATACCTGGAAAAAAGGTAATGCATTGTTAGAATTATTCAAACGATGCCAAAGCGCATAGTTAGTTATAATTGAAATAATATATATATATATATATATATATATATATATATATATATATATATATATATATATAGGCACAGTCTTCGAAATTATTAGATGTCAACCAAAATATATGAGCCGTGTGTGATGCGCAAGAGGTTATACAAGTTTTAGTCAAGTAGATATTATTATTAAATGTTTGACAACGTCAGAATTGTCAATTTTCAAAACCAATTGAACTTTTTCAATACTTCCGATTGATTGTTATTTAAAAAGTACTCTAATTGCTTATTGAAAAAATGTATGGAGACAAGTTTTACTCAAATAATACTTTCTTCATTATCCTTGCTAATATTATGTAAATTGCGAGTTTTTTTTTTTTTTATTACCACTTGGCGCCTTGACGGCTCAACCAACCATCGTCATATATGATATATATATACATAGTATTTAGCCTACATTTTATCCCGATCTATGTATCACACGAATCATTTTTCAATATAGGCAACAAAAACATACCTGTTGAAACGTGGCTTGTATTTGTTATTATGATGTTTATTGAAATGATGCGGAGGGCGTCGCTCGGCGCGGTGCTTGAAATTGCCTCCCCAGTGTGGTCTGTTCTGTCTTTCCTATATACAATACATTTATATCGTATTAATTTAAAATAAGTATTAGTTTTCACATATTATCTCGTATCTAAAGATCATATTTCATAAGTAGAAATACCATCTTCTCTAGATATATAGATGTCATGTAGGTATTATCTCATAGAAATTATTTTTTTTATTTCCCTAAAAACCTACAACATCGTACTATTACAATTATTAAAAAAAAATTAACTAAATCAATTTAAACGTTCTCGAGTGAGACGACCACAAACTTTTTAATAAAAAAAAAATTTAGAAGAAGTAATCAAGTAAATATTATTTTTATAGAAAAAATAGATTCCACTTATAGTTGACCCTCTTTTGTATGAAAAGGTAATAAATGAAATAGTAATATCTCACATTTTATGAACCACCGTTTCAGAAGAAAATTTTCCAACAAGTTAATTTGAAAAATAAAACATTACCTATATACATGTGTAACGAAAAATTAATGAACTCACTGTGTTTTTGTCGTTTCCGACAATTTTTTAACTTCACCCGAACGTCTTCTTCCGGGGCGTTTGTCACACTTTGCATCACAGCGTCTCGCCTTGTACTCGTTACACATGTATATAGATATCAAAAAAAAGAAACATAGATTTTAAAAATAAAACATTAATATAATCTGTATCTACCGCTTACAAATCCCCGTTAGGAATCTATGAACTATGCCATAATTAAGTGTTCACAAACAAACCTGAAAGGGATTATATCCATTCCTGTTATTATTAAAACGGTTGTAATGGTGAAATTTCTTAATCTTTTTATTACGACCACGATCCATCTCATCTGTAGCTTCGAGGGCACGTTTGCGTTCCTCACGTCTTTCCTCGAACACCTGTTGACAAGTGTACAGTATGTGACAATTTAATTATTTTCTTGAGAAAAAAATGTAATGTAAATCTGATTGAATGTCGATGTATTAGAGAGATTCATCAACTGGCGCCACACTCACTGCTATCGCAAGTCTTTTCCTAATTCCGTGAGAATTAGGGAAATGCTTTCTTATTAGATATGTACAAAGTCTACAGTCCTAGAAATACGTATACAGGGACAGATTGGCCAAAACAATAACAGCTGATTCACATGATTGGTCTGAATCAAATGACAAATGATTTTCCCACCGGAATGCACCAGACATAATTAACAATTCTTAGTTTTGACGCCGCGCAATGTATTTGAAATATTACAATCTACACAACGCATGATACGTAGGTATCGCATGGCAAGGTAGGCATAGTCAATGGCGCTTCTTCGTAGGTAGTTTTCTTACGCTTGTAGCGTAGATCTTTCACAGCGAATTCCACGCGTCGCGGTACGATTTTAATACGTATATACATTGTTGTTTTTTGGCATTTCATAGTATTTCACTATAAAATATTATTATTTCTTTAAATGATAACATACTATCACAAATTATATGATTTTAAATGAAAAAAAAAACTACCAAAAATAAAATTTTCTGAAAAGAATTCCCACTGGTTTCAATTCACAATAATGGTCTGAATTCGTTTTTTCAGTTTTTACCAACCTGTCCCTTACACCTTGTATATCTATTGGGCGGGTTCGATTGCGTTTTTATAGTCTCCTTAGCTAATAATCGTAAAAAAAAAAAAGGAACGAGTTCAACTCTTAGTTTTGCTAATATTTTACTCAGAGGACAAGGGACATTAATTTATTTATAATTTTACGTAACTATTTTAGAAAACACATCGAAAAGGGTAGACATCATACCTGTCTCGACAGCACACTTTGTGTGCCATTCCATGAAGAGATAGGTGCCCCGTAGCCACGATGAGACAATGAATTGAGGTGACGCGCGGCCTCGCCCGGCAGCAACGACTGCTGTGGAGCAGCCGAGGGCACCGAGGCTGCGGGCGGCGTGGCCGCGGTCGTCACTGCCGGTACATGCGCATGCTCGCTGCGATCGCTCAGCGGGGACATACTACTCACACTGGTATTAACACTATCTTCACTTTCAGCACGTCGTTCTTCCTTCTCTTTCACCCTAAGGATAAAAGAAACAATTCATTTCAGTTTTTAAGTTTTTATCTCTTAAAAGTTTTTTTTAAAATGTTATTCCCAGTTTAAATAGTAAAATTCTAAAATATATATATTAAAATTCAATCCTGAAACTTAATTCTGCTTGAAATTATTTGAATTATAAGTTACATTAACATTTAATAAAGAAAAGTGATCGATAGGATAGCATTGTGATAATTTTCTGAAAATTGATATTCCGTTAAAACCTACAAGACAGATTTTTAAAATTTATAAAATTACAGCTAATATCTTTTTCTTTAGTCTGTGTGTTTAAAAATTGATAAAATTTTGTATGATAAAACCTAAATTTATATTACTTTTTATTGGAGAGTTGAAGAGGGTCTATATGCGGGACGAATGGTGCAGTCTACCGCTGGTACTCGGACGGAAAACATGTGTCGCAAAACGTTAAAAGTCTGTGTGACAATATGGTTGAATTTATTTGAGAATACACATAGTAGCTGTACAGATCAGATTCAGATATTTATATGAGGGGAAAAGGAAGCAGGGCCTTATAAAAGTTGTGAATAGCAGCAGTAATTACGTAGATAATTAGTTACTGTATTTTCATCAGAATAAAAAATCATTTTAAAATATTATACACATTTAAAAAACTTACTTTTTATTGGTAACACCATTTAAACTAGGGCTGAGCAGAGGTCCACTCTTCTCTTTAGAAACAGTCCAAGAGTGATGCATTCCCTTTGTGGTAACAATAAGAGCTTGCGGTGACAAACACCTACTTGGCTTTGGTTTTTGGCCTTCCTCTTTAGGACTTTCTTTTTTTAATCTATCTTCAGTCAACCTGTCACTACGCTCATCTCCACTTGATTCTGAATCATAAGGAACAAGCCTAGAATTTAAATTACCATTTCTATGAATATGATTGGACAGATCATTCTTATTCATTTGTTCTTCCAATTTCTCTAAAGGCGATTTTTGAGTCCTAATAAGTTTACTTGTTGATGCAGACTTCTCAGGAACCTTGGAATGGTTGCTGGTTATTATTCTAAGGTCAGTATCACTTTTTGAAAGTTTGGATTTTATATGACACTCATCACTGATTTGCCTCTTTATTATAAAACTTATTTTTTTGTCTTCTTCTATTTTATAGTTAGACTTATCAATCCCATTTAATATTTTCGGCGCTTGTGTCACCTTCTCAACTTCACCATTCTGTTTAACAACCCATGGTTCAGAATTAGAATTGACTGAATCTGATGACTTGCTCAGTGTAGTATTTAATATTATAGGTTTATTTTCTGATTTGTATACTTCAGTGGAAGTGGTATTAAAAGTTATTGGTTTCTTTTCATCATTTCTATAAAATGTCAACTTGAGGGGACTCTTTTCTCTATTGGATATATTTTCTGGCAACTGAGGACCATACACAGCACTAGAAGTTGATGCGGTGGGAACAGACATGTCATCAATATTGTTATCTTTTTCAAAAAACATAATGTAAGAATTTGTACCAAGCACAGCTGACAATGGCAATGGCCGGACACTACTATCATCAAACTGGTAATAATTACTATTTGGTGCTTGGCCTATAGCTGTATAATGGCCACAATTTTGTGATGGACCAAGATGTGTTACTAGACTCACTAATTTGTATGACTGAAAAAGAAAAAAATAATTAATATTAATTAATTATAAGAACTGTTCTTAGTGTGATACATCAAATGCTCAAATATTACATCAAATTAAATAATTTTCGATATTCTGATACTAAAAAAATAAATACAATAGAAATAATCTAAATTTAATAAACTCACTATTTAACAATTCTGCCCAATATAAAAAATAGTAACAGTATAATAGGCAATAATCTCGAACGTTGCCCTTTACACAAAATAAATAAGAGTAGAATGTAACAAATACATTATTTTTTTGTATATTTTCTAAATGGGCAAGTAAGTCGGTAACTATAGTCTAAAAATACTAATAATTCCATGACCATAAAGAATCACGCACACTGGACCCACACGCGTTGCCACTGTTGTAAATTAAAATATTGCCTCTTCCAGAGTTAATATTGGCAATTGTAATTTAGATTTCATAAAATCAATAAAACTTACCAAATACTGGTGATTATTTTTATTATACATATATTTATTTAATGTGATCTTCTTTCGAAATTGCACATGTTTGGAAAGCTTTCCGCCAGCTAATGAGAATCTCTTTAGGGCAATGCAAAGTACCATAGGAGCACGCTCTATAAAGAACTGCTTTGTTGCTGATACCTAAAAAGTAAAAGCAAGAGTGTATAACATTTTGTAAAGTATAAAGTGTATAGTCATGACAAAAAACGTCATAATTGGTGTCACTGTTCATTTCTATCTCTTATTATTTATTCAAAGTCGATGTAATAATTAAGATTATCAGATACTAGGGTACTTATAATATTAATATGAGCCATCTATCGATCATGGACTAAAAGGTTATACAAACTATACCTATATCAAATTCATCATTTATATATATATATATATATATATATATATATATATATATATATATATATATATATATATATATATATATATATATATTATGGTTCAATCTACTTAATATTGTTGCGACTCTAAAATGTAATTATTCAGTATTATAATATACCTAACAACTATAAAGTAATTACTGTTGTTTGCTACAATTACCTTTTTATTGCATGATTCGCATTTGTACCCTAAGTCCTCTAATCTTTCTCTTGAAAAAAATGAATCCAAAGCTTCATCCAATGTGGAATGCTTTCTAATATCTAATAACAAATCCTGAAAAACAAAAATAAATATTCATAAATTTTCATAGTTACATTTTCACTCTATTATTTTCCTCTAAAGATTGAATGATTGAAAGAAATTTCAAATTACATAAACCTTGCAAATAATTTATATAATTATAATAAAAATCAAATCTATTCAGATAAACAGAACTAAAAATTATTATTCTCCATTAAGTTACTGTTTATTAATTGTTTTTTTTTTTTTAAGTAAATTCTCTCTTTAATTTTTAAGTACACAAATTTTAATAACCTGGAAGTGCTGATAAGTAGTAGAAAGGTGTTGACAAGCAAGACAACGAACTGTGGAGCGTAAGTATCCTCCGAGTATTTGATTCAATGGGGTTGTCTCCTTACTGTATTGATCCAACTTTTCAGTGTTGACAAATCGCGACAAATAGCACTTCTCCATTGCTTCTACCAGATATCTGAAAATATGAAAACAAGAATCATGTTGACAAAAAATGAAAAAGAAAATTCCTTTAATTAAGAAGTCATTTATACTTCTTAATCAAATCATACAATATAGTGTATATCAACTATTTACTTTTTACATATTATATGAATCAACTTTATATACCTAAGGAACTCATGAGCATCCTCCTGCCGACCAGGTGTTAAATGTTTGCATATAAGACGTAACTTGGAGTACACTTGCCAAGGTTTGATAGGAGCACCACCACTCTTTTGGGTGGCCATTAATGTAGCACGCATACCACATATGACACAAGCTTCTGAAACAACAATACATTTAATATAATAAATTAATAAAATTGTGCATACTACATATTACAATAGTACAGATATTTTTAGGTCTGTTCATAAAATACCCTATATCCTAAGTTAGGATACAACCTACCCATGTAACAAATCTAATCAGTAGTATTTTTTTATGAATTAGTAACAAACATCCATCCTATAAAGATTTTTTAACTTTAGCATTTATAATATTAACATAACATCATCACATCATTGGACTTCCACTATTTACTAGTAATTTTGTGCCTTCATATAGATACAAGATATGAACAAGATACCAAAATTATATTGTTCTAATTTTAACCTTATATCAAAAATAACCTATATTAAATTGGATTTAAAAATTGTGGCAATTTGAGGCAAGCTTTTCCCACTTTCAGTCGAGTAGACAGCTATTATTGTAAGAAGAATTGTTATTTTCTAAAGATATATATATATATATATATATATATATATATATATATATATATATATATATATATATATATATATATATATATATATATATATTAAATTTGATATTGAATTTATAATTTGTTGTATATTTAATAAAACAATTATTAATATTATATTTACAAACCTTGTTGATTACATTTTTCTGCATGTGGTGCTTCTGAAACCAGCCAGTTAGCTAATGCAGGCACATGAAATAGTGCTTGCAAAGTAGAATTCAGGTAACAAGTATTACCAACATTCTGCATACCAGCACCAGCAGCCCAAGCAGTATGCCATCCCAATTGTACTTTATCAACAGGGAATAATGTTCTCTTAGGTTTTGGTAAACCATCTTCTCCATTCTTATTGTTCTCTGTAACCACCAAACACATCAATATTTACAATATTGTGGATAAATAAACACAACATATATATATCACCATAATTCATCCCCACCAAATAATTGTCAGGTGCCTACTCCAACATGCAAACAGAGCTTTTAACTATGTGCAAAGACATATTTAAAAATACATAATGTGGATTTTTCATGGAGCCAAACTCCTCCCAGAAAATAATCTTAAATATGTCAATGATTTCACAGTATTTAATAAGAATCTTAAAGCTTAAGCACAAATTTTTATGACATTTGTTAAAAACAAATTTACCAGTTTCACATCATTTACTATAATTTAAATAAGTAATTAATTTAAAATACTAAAAGTTTATATGTACATGTATATAACACACATAACCTAATTATTGCACTTTTTTTTGCTTCTCATTTTATTAACAAAACGGTAGTACTAGATTTTATAAGATTTTTTTAAATGATAAATGCATTAACAAAGTACATTTTAATTGTATGGTGGCCAAATAATTATTTTATTTTATTTTACTCCATTATTTATAATTTTATTGCATAACTAAATATATGTATATATTAATATATAAAAATAATCCTGTTGTTATTGACAGTGATACAGGAAATATAACCTATAAATTGAAAATAACATGTACATAAATTGTAAGGCCAATGTGGATATTACACACATTGTATTATAAAATAATGTATTATATTTACCAGAAGAATGATTTCCAGAAATTCCGTCTTTCTTCAGAAGTTTACTTTCCAGTACAGGCTTTTTGGATCGAATCACCACGTACTTAGACTTCAGACCATCTAGTACATTACTTTGGAAATCCCCAGATTCTTCAAATTCAATTTTAGTTAAAAGAACACTTTTAGCTGATGAATAAAGTCTACTGTCTAATATTGATGAACTCTGAGAATCTTCAGTACTTAAAGATAAACGCAATGCGCTAGATACTGGGTCGCAAATGGAAGCGGGCATTTTACCTCCAAAACTGCAGTATCACTACATTAAATCACAACACAATTCATCGTTATTTAACTACTGCACTAAAGCCTTGCAATAATAATTGATTACTAAATCCAATATTTCCTATCAGTCAATAAGAAACCATGTGTATTTCAAAATACTAAAAAAGAAAATTTACAGCCGCATACGCGACACGGTAGCTCGTCAACCAAGAAAAGAATTATAAAAGGTTAAAGAAATCCAAACCAAAGATCGAGAAACTTAAAGATACCCGTATACGACTCAAAGTTTGGAAAATGCACATAAAATGCATAGGTTAAGATTAGTATCTATTTTCTACACATACCACGCACCATCTGTAACTCGCAAATTTCCTTTAAACCTAAGTGGAAAATATACAAGGGCTTAAACCGGGATAATATAATAACTATATTTTATAACCCGCTGTAGTATCCTTAGTCCATGATTTGGACCCCTGCGTCTAAGTCATAGATAAAAGCTAATTTTTTATCTATGCTTACATGGCATTTGCTAAAGGCATTTGTCAAAGTCACAAAAAAATTGTTAACTTCTCTCTCTTTTACTTGCAGTGAAAAATTTCAGGACTATCAAATATATTATCAAGTAAACTAATTTACTAAAATTCTATAGATAATATCTAAATCTGAAATATTTTATACTGTGTAGTAAATGGTGACTTTCGAAAACGTTAACTAATATTAATATCGATAGTGCGCGCCGGTGAAATTGTGATCATGGCGAATCCGTCATCAGGCGTTGGTAAGATTTGAGGTTTATTTTTGTCATTTAATATTGTAAGATATAATATAACAGAAAAATTGCAGTAACGAGATCTTTATAACAAATAATGATTGTCTCCTATATATTGATTAAATAACATTTTGTGTTTGATCAGTGGTGCCACGGAACTTTCGTCTTTTAGAAGAACTTGAACAAGGCCAAAAGGGAGTTGGTGATGGTACCATATCTTGGGGCCTTGAAAGCGATGATGACATGACGTTGACTCACTGGACGGGCATGATAATTGGCCCGCCAAGGGTAATGTTTGCTCATAACATTTTTGTTTTTTTTTTTTTGTATTCAGAAGTGTCATTATAAACAAAACCATTTATTATTTTCAGACTCCATATGAAAATAGAATGTACTCTCTTAAAATTGAATGTGGCACTCGGTACCCTGATGAACCTCCTACTGCTAGATTTATTTCTAGAATCAACATGAACTGTGTCAACAGTCAGACTGGACTTGTAAGTTATTACATAGGTAATGAAAATGAACTTTTGATTTGTATTTTATACAATGTAATACATAACTGTTATATTTTTAGGTGGATAATCGACAAGTCCCAATACTTGCAAGATGGCAAAGAGATTACACTATAAAAACTGTTTTACAAGAACTAAGACGTCTCATGACACTTAAAGAAAACATGAAGTTATCCCAACCCCCAGAAGGAAGTACCTTCTAGTTCCTCTATCACTGAAAATATGTCTTGATAGACCCAATCTACTTTATTCACCTTGGGAAGATACAATTTATTTATCAATTATTTGTGTATGACAGTTTCATTTTTCATTGTAGTCTTAATTTAAGTGATGCTATGCTTTTATGTATCTTCATACTATAGGTATATTTATATCTTCATGCTATTTATTATCTTTCTAGAACAGGCAGAGGGAATAGGTACATGCTGCATTTAATTTAAATGTAAATGCTATTTTGTACATGAAGCTTATTGTCACGAATTTATCTCAGTTGTGGATTGGGCAAATAATTATGTATTTTATAAGAACTTCCTAAAACAGTTCATAATTACCAACTTAGAGGGTAATACCCATTTATTTATCATATTACCTAAATTATTGTGGCCTTTGAAAAATAATGTTGCTTTTGGTATTTTAAGGCTAGTTTTACCAATGCATGTTTTTAGGAACAACTTAATATTTTAATATATAGATTAATACAGGTGTGGAGTGGTCTGCTACCATATATCTTTTGTTGTTTCTAAATACAAGCATATTATTTTTAAAATCTTTTATCTCATTCCTACTGTATCTAAAATTAAAGTTCAAATACTTATTTTCCTTATAATATAACATGATCAAGTGTAAAGTATTTTAGGAAATTTTTATTTCTTAGGCACATAAGATAAAGTATTACTGGTTCAATATACAGTTTGGCATCACTTGCCCTTATTAACAATTTTGTCACAAGAACAATAAGCATATAATGCAATGTTTAATGAAGTCCACCATAATATTTTGTACTATAATTCCTTTGACACATTTACAACTGTTAGCCTTCAGCTCCCATATAATAATATGCTTGAATTTATTGTTACAAACCAAAATGCTAAGTCATTGTTTCATAGCATTAATATTTTTACCAATGTATAACTAGCAAAGGTAAATAAATCAAATACTGTCATTAATGTATTTGTCATTACTAGAAATATAAGAATTATTTAATCTTAAATAACCATTTTCGTCACTATATTGGTATCCTTAAATTTGCAATTCATCAAAGAAGTTATCACATTAGAAGGATTACAGCTATCATTTTTTACTTTATAATATACCTACATAGGAGTAATCAAAACTATTTTCAGTTTATTCCAGAGGGAGTTTTTGTACAAAAGTCGATTGCTTGGGTACCTCTGTCCCATTCGTGTTTCAACTGTAAAGCAGTTGTGTTTGCATGGCTGTTTCGGTTTGAAGGGTGGGATATGGCGTAAATTTACTGGGTATGGAGGAATAACACCCGTGTCCTCAGGAATGGCAACGCATGGGAGGTATTATGGGCGAAACAGTATACTCTGTTATGTCCATCGTACTGCTGACGTCTATAGGCGATGGTTACCACTTTCCATCAGGTGGGCAGTCAGCTTGTTTGCCATTCTAAGTTGTATAAAAAAAAATCATTACTATTTCATGACTATCAATTTATATTTAAAAGCAGGACCAGCCATAGGATATCTAGCGCTCTTAAACAAATTTATGACTGTTAGTTTAGAAATAAATTCAGCACTTTACCATATTAACGAGCTCATTTTTTGGGTTCTCATAGAAATCTATTAAATGATAATTCTCACATTGATCCTATTATAAATCATTTGGTGAATTATCACAGACACAGAAAAGTATAAATCATTAACTTGTATATTGTTGTCTAACCTATTGGATTATTTCCACTAGCATTATGCATCCACCAATATTTAAGGGGGGCCTTGCCGCCATTAGTATGGCCACTTTCATTAGTATTAGTTTGCCATTTTCTTTTCTCATTCGGTTTATTGGTAACCTGTTATTTTTAATCTAATGGTGATCTCGTGATTATTCTTATATAAACTAAATGGTAACTATACAGGCTTTTACTGTAAGTTTCCATTTTATGTTCTTAGTTTTATTATGAAATCTGATCTAGGTACATTCTCGAGCCTACATTATCCGCCTGAAGGAATCGTTCGTCGTATAAGAGCACAGATAGACATACTTTACAAAATATGTTTTTTTTTTCCAATGATAATTACAGACATGATCTTATCCTTCTTTACTACTTTACCAACATATTGTAGTGGTAAGGTCAATAATATTTTAGGCAACAAATCCTACAAGGAAAAATTATTAAATAATTGAACAATGTTATATTTTTACATTTATTTGAGACAAACATTTCAAGAACATTCAAACTAAAAAAATAATATAAGTAGTTTTTTTAAGGATGTACATAACATTTATTTGCCTTAAAACAATATTTTAAAGACATAAAATTATATACAATACATACCGGACAGATTTTTATTGGCAAGATGTTAAGAAATGTCAAATAACTTGGGTACTGTCTAAATATATAAACTTATTATATTGATACAGACATACATGGTCTAGTAACTACAAGTTCTGGACAATTTGCAAAAGCTTACTTTAATGCCAAATACAGATGGCAACCAGGTACACAGTTATTAGAATATCAGTTTAAAATTCTTTTAAGCTAACCACTATTAACAAATATAGATACGTCAATCATACAAATTTAATATAAATGTACAAATTACGAAGCTCTCATTAGATATCCATTATATTGCACAGACTTAGAAATTAATAATATAATGTTAGGTAGTATCAAATGATGTTATTTTATAATTTATGTTGATAATATTTTAACGATGAGTATTTAAATTCATCAAAGCTACCTATCTGCTGTAAGGAATTCGAAAATTATGTCAATCCCGAGGTGAAGTTTAATTACCTAAATGTTTGCGAACACAATCAAATAAATATATAAAACAGGTAAATTAATTTTCAATTAATTAACGTCTACAATAATAATGTTTGTTTCATTCCATAATTGGAATAATACAAAAATTATTATTGTAGACGTTCTGTTTTGTTATAAACATCTTATTCATGTATTGATTTATATCGAATATTGCTTAAAAAAATATTTTACAATAAAAATCAATAACAAAGACATAACTGTCTTCATAAAAACAAGACAGACAAAAGCTTAATTTCATATCAAGGGTCAATTACACAAAAATTAACGGCATTTTTACTAAACACATCGTCTATGACCTTGTAAATTAAACAATGTTATTGTTTTGTTATATTTAACAGAAATGAGGTCAGTTGTTCAATTCTCAGTCTGACCATTTTAGGGAGCGAATTTTTCCAAATTGGGAGATTAAGACTTGCGCAGCGTGAACAATTTTGTTTCATGTAGCAAGGGTTAGGATACCCATATAAGAAATAGTTTGTAAATCAAGATGTAATTAACTTTATTAGTAGGTCCATCCATAACACTCTTTGAGACCGATTCTAAAACGCCATTTCTCTAAACCTAACTCTAAAATTAAAATTTCTACATGATATAACAGCTAAATCTTTATTCCAAGGAACAGTATGAAATAAATTTCTAATAGATTTCAATTAAAATTATTACAAATTTAGTTTATGATAGTCTATAAAACCTCATTTTACGAAACTCAAAATAATAAATTACGAGATAGGTTCAGAAAAATAGCGACTTAGAATCAACTGCATTGTCTTATAACGAATAATTGCGATAAGAAAAAGGGTTTAGTATTTTTACAAACTTATTATAAAACATTGCTAGGAATATATTTGCTATTTAAATTCGAAAAAAATCAGTTCACAATTAAGAAATTGCATAAAAAATACAGAAAAGAAATAGTAAAATCGAGAACCTCTTGTTTCTCTAATAATTATCTAATACAAATAAATTTACTTCTTTATTCGTATTTTAAAACATAATTGTTAGAGTAAGTTTTAAAATATAATGTGTATCTATTCCATCTCCTGCCCACGCTTATGATAGATAATCAAGAACTCAGGTGGGAGACAAGACGGTTTACCGCTACTCAAAAGAAATATTTGAAATGTTTAACAATGTTTTCTCCACGGAAATGTTTAACAATAAAAACTTAAGTTTGTGTGAATACTCCGATCTCGACACTTTTTATTTAAAAATAGATATGAATACAAAACTAAAAAGCTATTAATTTCTTGTAACTATTAAAATACTAGAAAGTCATAAATCTTTAGAGCTTTTAATAAAAGAATAAGCTTTTGATTAACTATGGTTTTGTTCAACACAAACTCGTCAAATTATTTAACAATATCTGCTTATATGTAATTAATGTTATAAATGATAACTTCTTACAAATATACCTCCTGCTCTAAAAGATAATACGCACAGAAATATTATATGTGTGTGAAAATACTCATGATGGTGATCTCGACACTTTAAGAGATCCTTTTTCATGGGCTCCTTTTTCATGGGCTAGGAGAGAGGTCGCTGTCAAAAAATTTCCCAAAAGCGCCAAGCATTCTAAGTTGACCATAGTTTGGCGAAGTAAATATCCGAGACTAAAGTCTACTAATAACTTAAGTAAAATAATTATAAAAATAGTCAAGAGCATATTGAACAAGCGAATATGACTCGAAACCATTTCAAAAAGTTATTCAATTGAGAACTAGTACAACAGCAACCGTTATAAATTGAACTCACTTTATATACTCGAACTCAGATTATATACTACAATCAGACATGTTTATACGTGGCACCATTTTATATTAAGTATACCTAACACATATAGGTAAGTGATACAAAATTTGAAATAGGTTAAATTACTTTCAGAAATATATGAAGTAGTTTGATCTTGACGGTAACATAATCAGTGAAATTTCTGATACCAGAGCTATTTATTCCCTCAAAGCTAGCAATCCTAGAGGAATCGATTCGACCTGTAATATCCATTTACGCTTTTATACATATCAGGTCAACCGCATCTGTCATTACTTCACATGTACCCACCGACGTATACTATAGGTACAGGTGAATGTACTATTCCATTTTCAATCGATACAACCTACAAACTTAATTTGGAATTTGACGGCAATTTGAAATACTTGGGCTATTCGTTTATTTATCCAAATGATATATGCTGGTAGAAGTGGCAATGGGCTGGTCACATAGCTCGAAGAACCGACAACCAATGGGGAAGAAAGGTTCTTGAGTGGCGACCACGTACGGGTAAACGCAGTGTAGGACGATCCCCCACTAGATGGTGTGACAACCTGAAATGCGTTGCAGGGAGTCAGTGGATGCAGGTGGCTCAGGACCGTTCTTTATGGCAGTCTATGGGGGAGGCTTATGTCCAGCAGTGGACGGATAATGGCTAAAATGATGATGATACTGGCTGAAAATATCGAGGAGACTGAAATCTGTCACATCATGTGCGGTGGCCGTATTAATATTTTAAGTAAGAACCTGTTTACAGTGCTAGTACTAACGATAATAGAATTGGTATTTACTAATATTATGATTATCATTTATAGTTAAATTAACTCGCCAAAATTATTTCTGAATAGACCTACACAAAAAATCAACGAATTTATTTGTAGATAGATTTACATTACCACACGCTTGAAAAAGAATAAGACGTCGAGCTGTCAGAAGCATCGTTTACTACTTGTTTAAAGGGTTCGGATAGCTAACCATTCGCCGTTTGGAAGTATCTGAGTTTTCAATCATAAAAAAAAATCTTATAATTTTAATAACTAATTTAAAAATGCAATATTGTTATCTAATGAAAAAAAAAAACTTGGCTAATTATAATTTATTATAGTATAGGCTATTACGACCTAGTTAACGTGTTAGTAATTTTGAATATCTAAATTCCAGAGCACAGATATTAATTAATAAAGAAAAAATAATGCAGTATATAAAACATAAGAATCACCAACACAATGCGCTAACAGCTAACAACGAGCACAGTCATACATGTGTCAGAGTTTTGTGTAACTTATATTTATGTTGGCACCACAAACAGCACAAGACAGAGTTAAAATGCATAACACAATTTGTTAATCTTTGGTCTTATCCACTTTATTGCAAGCACCACACGAGTGGTATAATTTTAAATTGCTCACATATAACATTAATTGTTCATTCACACATGAGATATATTCGTACAATCAAACATAACTAAATGTTTAAAGTCAACTTATTATGTATTCTTGAGATAAACTATTTATATACAACAATTTAATTATGTACATATATTTTTATTTATTACACAACATTTAACTTATTTAACATTCCCGTTTTAATTATATATTTTTACATTACACGCAAATCAATAAAAAAAATCTTTTGTTATTAAAACATTAATCTACTAAAAAATTTATCATTTCATTAAATAATTTCTATAAGCGCTGGAGCAAACAGCACTAGCGTATAATGGATATTATATATTTATAACAAAAATATAAATACAGAAAATTAATTTCATATTAACTTCACAATTTCATAATTTTAACTACTATAATAAACGAAATTGTAAAGACAGCAAAAATAATTTAACTAATTATTATTTACATCCCTTCAAAGGATATAACTACTTATCTTTGTATCTGTATAATAATAAATTATTTATGGACACCTTCGCGCTTCTGGATTTACTTCTTAAGAAACCATAATAATAGTAGACCACAAATTATTTACTTCCAATATGTAGAAATGTATCGATGGTTCAGTCATTGGATATTTCCTTCCAAGCAAGTGTAAGTGATTTTTATGTAATGAAAATAATTCTATATTCGGTTTGTAGAAACCCTGTTTACCTCTCAATCTTTATTGACATGAAATGCAATCATATTGTTCATTAAAATCCATTTAGTTGATTACATGATATATTAAAAGATGTTGTGGCCCCATTCATAACAAGCATGATAACATTTCAGACTTAACATATTTTATGCAAGTAGGTTAACTTTTAAATTACTTTCAATTAGGTTATTAGTGCAGTAAAACTAGGTTTTCATAACTTTTTGACAATAGCCGGTTTTCACATAGTAGGCAAAATTTTTGTTTAGAAAAATATCAACACTGTATTTGCTCCTCCCTTGGACCACTATGTCCTGTAATATCGCCATATATGCCACTATAATTCTTTTTTGTCTTAGATGATTTAAAAAAAAATGCCAATATCTCTTAATTTTATGAAATATATATTCTCAATACTTCAACTTTAGCATAGCTCCCAAAACAAAAGCCTAAATACTCCCAATATTGACAAATTTACATACAAAATGTTTACGCCATAGCTCTTGTTCACAATGAATATGTAAAAATAAAATTTCAGTAAATATATATGACTGGCTGTATACCGTGGCTTCACCTGCGTGACGCAGTACATAAAATATCCAATGTACTAAGTTAGGATATAAACTACTCATATTCCAAATTTCATTCTAATCCGTTCAATAGTTGTTGCGTGAAAAAGTAACAAACATTCATTTATCTACCTTATAAACATTTGCGTTTATAATATTAATAGGATAACTCACTTATCTTCAGACAAAAATATTACATAACTTACAAATTGTAACAAAAATATAAAATATTTTTCTTCAGTTTATCTTACTACTAATATTATAAATGTGAAAGTTCGTAAAGATGTTTGAATGTTGTGATTATTGATATGTTAATCAATCATGTTTAAATGGTTGAAAGAAGCAGAATGAAATTTTATATCCTAACACTAAGGTATATAACATATCATCATAGTCGTATAATAGTGACGGATCTGACAAACATTAAATATACATATCCGTCAGTATTCTACAACTATGACGATATATACGAATTCACGCGGGCAAAGGCGCAGAAAATAGCTAGTATTTTATATTCTTGCAATTAAATTACTCTATTAAATTATGGTCCAAGCTATTTATTAATTAAAGGATAATTTTTATGATGCTTGTACTTTTGCAAAAGTTCTTGTTATATTTTTTGTTGTTGTTGTTTTAATTAAAGTGTTACTATACTGTGAAATACCAATTTATTTACATTTTCGAAAAAGAATCGATCTGTTAGTAACTAGTACTGGTAGCACTTGAAGCTTTATACACATACTCTTACAATCATGGTCCTTTAAGTAAGTACAAGCGTGTAAACGAAATTTTGTACAATCCAAAATCGTTCAGTCTAAAATTGGATAAAATTTTATTTGTATAAGCAAATTATTGTATATTTTTACATTTCTTTTTAAACGTATTGAAATGTTTTATTGGCGAGTAATATGCGATAAAATAATAAATCAAGTGTTGATTTTTCTAAATTTTTTTAGGAAAATGAACTATTAGATCTCAAAGCGGCCCATTATCAAAAAATTAAAAATAATAAGCTATTTTATATAGATTTTGTATACCATATCGCACGGTAAAAGATTTAAATGGATTTTTGATATTTTGATAAAAAAAATCATAACTGGCGTGATATAATCAAGTAAAATTACTTGACTATTAAATATGAGAGAAATCAAATTGTATGTCATTGTAAAATGTATTTATAAAATCTGTTGGGTAGACTGAAGGAGTATAAATGAGGTGAAGCGAATACTATTTAAATAAAATATTAGTTTCTCCTTCAGACTACATTATTTTTTAATGTAATATTCCCTAGCTACATCTACCATTGTTATACACACTTTATATGAACTTTCAAAAATAAATATCTATTAAAATGTAATTTACAAAAATTATAAATATTACAATAAATAATTAATTTATCATAAACAATAATAGTTGTGGTTATTGGCATACTCTAAGCCCGAACGCACACTGAACCGCAAGCAGCCCAAGGCGATTTTGTAAATAACATGTATGCCTGGACTAAATATTTATATGTATATCTTTTAATGACAATCATCAAAGGAGCACTCTGTGAAAATTAATTTAAAATTAAAATAAAATCAGATGATGGAAACATTTTTATAATATCTGAACATTACGAAAACTAACTATAATGAAAATAGGCGATAAATATATTTTAATATCTGGGCTTAGTATAGATTCACAGGTGATTTTCTCGAGTCAAATTTTTTTTAAACGTAAACCTTGAGTACCAAACGAAAGGAATTTTCGTCAATACACACTTTCCGCCACGCAGAGTTTCTAATAATATAGCCTCGTTTTAAAAACATTTTGGCGCAGAAATCGCTCACGATCTATAAAACACAAGCCGACCCTACGGCAGACGAGAACCGATAAGATAGCAGTGGCCGGGTGATCGTGATTAATCAATGGTGGTCGGCGACGTCACGCCGCCCGGCTGCCGCGGCGGCGGGCGGCAGGCGCTAGCACAGCCCATGCAGGCGCCGCGCCGCCGGCGCCGGGCGTGCCGCCGCCAGCAGCCGCAGCAGCGGGCGTCCGCACAGCGCCACCAGCCCGCCGCCCGCCCACCGAGCTGCCGCCGCCTCCTCCACCTCCGCGATACGGTTCAAGGATCGCGACTCCCGCAGGCGGCTCTCCTTGCGCGCGGCGCGTCTCCGCCGTCCACCGCCGCCGCCCCGCGCGTCGCCGCCCGCGGCGCCCGAGCCGGCCGCGCCGCCCGAGCCAGGCGCGGGCGTACCGGACGGAGCCCCCGCAACGCCTGCGAGTTGTGGCCGCGCGGAACCCCGAGTTCCGCCCGAGCCGCTGCCGGGCTCCTGACTATCACTCGAGTCGTCGTGCGAATCCCGGCGCGGGCGTTCGACGGGCCCGTCGGCACGCTCCGCAGCTCGCTTCTTCTTCTCCGAATCGTCATCAGAAAGATCCGAGGAAGAGCAGGAGCCGGCGCGGGGGCGGCGGCGGCGGCAGTCGAGCCGCTGGCGGCGGGCGGGCGGTGGCGCGGGCGGCGGCACGCGAGGCGCTGGCACGTTTATCGCCGCAACATCCTCACCACCGCCTCTCGACCCTCCCATTTCTGACGTACCATCATCTTCGAGGTTCACCTGCAACACCATTACTTACTTACCGTTTGAGAAAAACTAGCTTAGTGGACAAATAGATTTATACATACTATATTTTAGGTAACATATATTTAAATAAATAATAATTATAATAATTATATATATATACACTACATAGGATTTTTTTACGTGTTATGGACTTTTTTAGCACACTAACGAATAATTTTTCTGGTGTATTTATGCACTCATACCACATATATGCTCAACACACCACTTGTAGTACATTTTCTTTCTTACAAAACAGTAAAAATTCACAAAAATAAATACTAACTACCTCGCATATTACACTCGATGATATTTTACTTTCATGTGATGTCACTGACTTCATATAACTCAAAGTTGCGTTACAATGTTGTATTTAAATTGTATATTTGCTTTTTTTTTTAAGAAATACTTAAGTGAGTTAAAAATAACAATCTTTTGAGGGCTTTATAAACACTAAATAGTTTGAAATGGTTTCCAGAAATTAGTCAAATAAATAGCCTATACTGACCTTAACGAAGTTGTCCACGAGCTGAGCAGAGCGAGGTGCGGGCTGCGCGGGAGTCGACTGCGAGTAGACGGCGAGCTGTGCGTGGGTCGCGTGGGTCGCGTGGGTCGCGTGTGTCGCGTGTGTCGCGTGTGTCGCGTGTGTCGCGTGGGGCGCGTGGGGCGCGGGCGGCGGTAGCGGCGCGTGCGCGACGCGGTCGCGCGCGGCGAGGTGCAGGCGGCCCTCGGAGCGCGAGCCTCGTCGTGCGTCGTTAGCGCGCGCGCTCGCCGCCGCCGTCACGGTACCCTCCTCGTCGTCCTCCTCTTCGCGCACAATGCTGCACTTCCGTGATCTCTAAAAGATTAACACTTGTTTCAGGTGGAAATCATTTACACATAGTATAACATCATTTACACATAGTTTAACGCATACTTATACGACTAGTAATGACGAAATTCAAAAGGAATAATAATATTTTTATATTTAAGACTTATTCGTAATATAGAATATACCATACATAACCATTTAGAACATTTGTTTTGTAAGTAATCATTTAATTTGTAACAGCCCTTATTCCATGTTTCTTAATAAAACTTTTAAATTTGACCAAAAAAATATTTATTTATTTATTTATTTATTCATAGGAAAACCAGGGCTACACTACAGCAAATAGATACAGTTTTAGGATAACAAAATAAGCCACTAATAGGTTTTCACAAATAGCAACAATATAGATACAAGGCGCTTTACACAAAGCTACAGAAATACGAGTTAACAAAAAAAAAGTGAACAAACAAGATCTCGGATTCCAAATTTGTGAGGCGTATTCCACTTTACTTCTAACCAATGAACAATATAGAATTTTTAATGTTTTGGCTTGCTGAAAATACGTTGAACTGCGCATTAGGAAGCCGAGTGCCTGTGAAGCTTTAGTTACAATATCGTCGATATGCCCGTCAAAAATTAATTTTGCATCATGAATAACACCTAAATCTTTTATAGCTGATTTTTTCTGAAGTTCATGACCTTTAAGATTTTATTTAGTATCAACTAATTTGGATTTACGTGTAAATGTGTAAATATACTCATATCTGTTCTGAATTTGATTTCTCAACCCTTGTCACCAAGATATTTTTTTATTAGCAATATAGAAATAAATAAATATACACATCAACTCCAGAATATCCTCCTTTTTGACAGAAAAATATAGATGCTTAGAAGAGTATGTAAAGCCATTACTTCAATAAGCCATGTTGAAAACATTCAGAAAGCAATTTAGAAACTTTAGATATCAAAAGGAGCATTTCAAAAGACTAGTACAACCAGTAGAAAGTATGTAATAATAGCAGGTAATATTTACCGGCGGTACGTCCTGAGGGGTCCGTGGCGCAGCGGAAAGCGTCGGCGGCGCCAAGAGCGTGCGGCCGTGCCCGCCGCCGCCGCCGCCGCCTCCACCACCGCCGCCACGTGACACGCTCAGCACCTCGGGTCGTCGCGCGCTCCGTGTCGCCTCTTGCCTGCGTACAAAACGACTATATTAACTCGTATCTATCAATTATATGTATTTAAAAAGAACAGGATATGTTGTATAATGTAAGTGAGTGAGGTATTGCCTAAAATTCCCACGAGTATACCCAGCTGTGAGATATCATAGGCTACGATTGATTGATTGACGAAAATTAATGAGTTTTCCATATGACAAATACTATAACAGGGCACAAAATCGTTTTGCATTTGGGTATCATTTTGTATCTACTCATATAAAAAATTACTGTCACACTAATACCACATTGTAAGGAGTTTTCACATAGCGGTTTATCGCCTATAGAAATCTGTTGTCATGTAATATAATAGTTAAATAATAAAATTCAAAAGTATTAATGAATGCATTAACCTTTAGCAGGTACCAAACACATGTATAGCAGTTTGGGATACTCCTGCCCCCATCACCTTAAAAGTTACCCTATATAGACTCCTTCTTAAAAATACTTTATGAAAAGTAGTTTTTTAAACTGTACTAATAATATAATACTAATATAATACCCATATTATTAAATTTCAATTTACCTCTTAGATCTCAATTTTCTCTCTGCCAACAAAAAATATGTAGCGGTAATATGATTGTATTCATTCTTCTCTAATGCTTCCATTATCTGTTCCTTTGTACCTATAGTACCATTGACCATTCTTTGAACAATAGCTGAGCGATCTTCTTCTGAAAGTTGTTCCTTAGCTACTAGAGGGGTATCAAAGTCTTCTACTGTGACCCCCTCACCAGCAGTAACCCATGGGTCTGTTGCAATTTCAGATAATGTGGCCCTTTTTTCAGGTTCTCGTACTAACATTCTTCCTATTAACCTGTAAGAAGAGAACATTACTAATATTAATCCCTATCATTATTTTTGATACATTAACAAAATGTGTGAGTGTGTATATATGTTTAATTATTAAATACTGTTATTAATAGTACACTACATAATCCAGCAAAATTTAATCCCTTGCTTAGATCAAAAGAAATTATTACACAAACCTTTTACAAGAATTTGTTATGTGTGGTGGGATAGTATATTTGCAATCCATAATCATTGTCAATGTTTCACTATCATTAGCTTCTTGAAATGGCGCCTGTCCACAAACTAGCATATACAGTATCACCCCCAGAGACCACACATCAACTGCTGGGGCATCATATGAATCACCTAGTAAAATCTCTGGAGCTGAGTATGCTAAAGATCCACATGATGTTTCTAATTTTTGTCCTGGACAAAATTTGTTGCTAAATCCAAAGTCAGTCAATTTTACTATACCTAATTTTTCAAAAAATACTACATTCTCTGGTTTTAAGTCCCGATGTACAACATGCAATCTGAAAAAGAAACAATGTTATTTGTAGTACTTAATACAAAGCAGATTTTTTTTTATAAAACAATAGACATACCTATGGCAGTATGAGATTGCACGCACAATTTGTCTGAAATAATCACGAGCTAGAGATTCTGATAAACCAGATTCATGTCTCATAATATAGTCATAGAGGTCTCCTCCATCTCCTAGTTCTAATATCAAATATAACTTTGTTTGTGTATCTATTACTTCATATAATCGAACAACATTTGGATGCTGCACCAGTTTCATACAGCGGACCTGAAAAACAATATTATATTAATATTATTCAACATTAAGAAAATGAAAATAACTTAAACAATTTTATATTTTTTTATGCAACAGAATTGCAAACATGATGGAAAGTGGTAACTATCACCTATGGACATGAATAATACCATGGACACAACAGAATATACTGTCACCCATGATACCCTGTCATGCATTGCCATTCTTGAGGAGTAACATGTTGTGCCTCTGTACTCTGTAATTTTATTGCCATATCCCACTCTTCAAACCAAAACACAGCCATGCAAACACAACTGCTTCACAGCAGAGACACTAATAGGACAGAGTTACCAACAACAAACTCTCCCTATATGATGCCCATTGTGCAGCCAATTTGAACCTAAGGCATGGGTTTAGGCACATCATTAAATATTAAACTCATACAAATCTCTGAATATCAAGTTATTTTAGTTTTTATTTGATTTCTTAATTATTGCATTAAATTTATTACCACTAGGACTATTATAAAACTTCTTTCTTATGATTATAAAAAAAAAAATTCTAATGCTTCCCTAAATACTATATACTGTAAATAATTTTAGGACCAATAGAAGCAAAGCAATAATATTTTGGAATTTTGTTTATCTGTATAGTTGCTGTGGCATCACACAAAAGCTACTGCATCAAATTGGATGCAGTTTTTTACATTTGTGTTCCTGAACTTAATTGAATAATTCTCAATATTTCTGTTTAAATATTTAAAAAAGAGTTCTGTTAGTGAACTAAAATATTTATCATACAATAAAATTATTATTTAACTAGTGAAAATTTTAATTTTGATGAAAATTTAAAAATGTCAAAAAGCAATAGGATATATAAAAATATTTAAATTATCTTTTAAAATTGACTAACATTGCCACATTTCATTTAGTTTTAGTATGAACATTCTTAATCAATACAAAAGAACTAAATTTATCTTAATTTAATTTGAAACAAATGAATATTCTACTACTTTAAGAGATACTAATTAACATTAGCAAAGTTGCAGGTTACCACTAGTATATTAAAATATATATTTTATTTTAAAAAGATATTTATTTTCTTGATATACTTAAATGCTTACATATGCCATTCAAAATTTGTATTATATTTATTAATTATAATAATAATAAATAATTAATAATAAATAAAGTAATTACCTCTTGAAATAAATGTGATTTTGATACATCATCCAACTTGCTTTTATCTATAACTTTTACAGCTACTTTTTCACCAGTGAATACATGTCTAGCTAATTTAACTACTGCAAAATGTCCAGAGCCAAGGGTATCAAGTAAGTCATATAGTCCAGCTATTTTAGCATCATAAGCTCCACCTGCTGTACCCAACCCACCCCCACCTGCTACACCACAATTATTCATTGCCATAACCTGAAAGGAAAAACTTGAGTCCCGTAAAATGTTCACAATTTCCCAATCTTTTATAATTAAAAATATTAAAAATTACACCTATGCTGCTTGTAAAATTAACCAAATAAACTGAAGTGATTTTTTGTTAAGAATGCTCAAATAGTTTCTGGATGGTCCTTTGAATCATGAGTGGCCAATTAAATAAACATAAAAATTAAATTGTTTGTTTTCGAAAATTAACACATGATGCAGATGTTGTCACTCTCTCATATGTGACAATAACTAATCATACTAACAATTCTTAAAAAAATTCTAATATTCAAAATGAGTGCTAAATTTATACTTTCGGAGACTTCAAAAATACTTAAATTAATTTATGAAAACATTTGATTTTTGACTTGATTCACAAAATTATTATTACTACTGTTACAAAGTATCAATATCAAAAATAATTTAGAATGGGAATCATTCACACTATTTACTATTAGCACTTATATTCGAAATTTCTATATATCTAAGAAGCTTTATTTGATATTGATAATAACATGTACTTACTTAGAAAATAAGATATCAAAACATTTAATTAAAGCACAGTAAAATACGAAGAAATGTTAAAGATTGATTTCACCAACAAATCCTAAATACAATGGAGGTCGATACTAAATGAATATGTTTTATAAATAATAAAAATAACGTCATTCGATTTAAGACGTGTTAAAAAACTGCATTATTTATCATAAAAATGGCTAACTAACGAAGTTAAAAAAATAGATTGATCGACAAGAGGTAAGATTTTCGCCATTTCACAAAATTACGTTCAGAATTTAAGAAAGAATTCGATTCGTAAACAGGCAGTCAGCCACGTTCAGAAATTTGGAAAAAGTGGTATTTTACAATAAGAATTGTAGTTCCAAAATCGATCAGCAGAGGCAGCACTAATAGTTGGGCATTCATTTGCTTCATAAATTATATGATATTGTTTTTCCTGTTCCTTCTATTATTATCCTTACCCCACAAATCACAAATTTTCTGTAACTCCTTAGCTTCCTTTTTCTTATAATAACATCAAACTACACTAATACGAGAGTCATTTGATTGCTAGCACTGGGGATTAACATCCCCATAACATCCACAGCAATATACCCAGTCAGATCGACCTTCACGCGGTTGCCCCTGGAAACCGTTGTGATTAATTATTGTGAAGCTCGTCGCGATAGGCTTACTGACCTGACTTCATCCTCACCTTTAATCATGAGAAAGACTTTGTACAAAAGTCGTTTGCTTGGGCACTTTTATTCCATTCGTGTTTCAACCGTAAAGCAGATGTTTGCATAACTGTCTTTCGGTTTGAAGGCTGGGATATGGTAGTGAATTTACAAAGTACAAAGAAAAAACTGTTAAGGTGCAAATTAAGTGTTAATAAACTCTTTAGTGAAATTTGAAAATAGAAAAAGAAAAATAATATTGCCTAGTAACCATAATTTTGTCATGTTCTAAAAATTGACAACTTTTTTCTAAAAACTGACTTTACTAATTAAATAATATTTTAATGTAATAGTGTGATATAGTGTTTCTTGTATTTAGAGTGTGTTGTGTTTATTATAAATAAATTGTAAAGTTACTTGGACTAAGAACTAAATCTATTGTGTCAAATAAAAGTGCTACTATTACTTTGATGCTGGTCACCTTTCCATGTATATCTACTTCTAACAAGGTAAGTATTCAGCTGCAACTCTAACAATAACACCCAAGTCTTCAAAAATAGCAACGCATGGGAGTATTATGGACGAAACAGTATACTCTGTTATATCCATAGTACTGCTCATGTCTATAGACGACGGTTACCACTTTCCTTCAGGAAAACCGTCAGCTGGTTTGCCATTCAAAGTTACATAAAAAAAACCTCACTGATGCTCCGCTTTGAGGGAAAGGGATTATTAGTAATAGGGATCTAAGTGATCCATAGCTAGCAATACACCCTATCAGGTAAAGGAAAAGGGGTTGTTTGTAATGAGGTTTAACTGACCCATTGCTAGCAATATACTCTATCAAGATGGTGGGCCAACTGACCTGCATTCAATTTCACCTATCATATTCCACTGGTGCCTCGTCGGTGTACACCAATAGCGCGGGCGGAGTTCTTTATGATAAATAGAGTCCGTGTTATTTATTATGAAGATATTTAGGAAAAAATAAGATTACGAATTGTTCAAAGGAAAAATAGACAGAATTTTATTTAGATACAGAATGACATCTATCGTAAGTATAACTAGCCAGTAACAGAAAGGTAACCATAGTTTCATCTACATAGGTTGATATGCTACAAAGTCTAACATCTTCTCTTGAAGCTCATGGTTCCTTTCTCAGGATCTAGTATCTGTAAATTATGTATATACATTAATTTGTTGGCATAGCATCACCAATCTTGGTTTATAGAGTGCCTTGGTGAACATGTCCGCAACTTGATGTTCAGTATCTATCTTTGCAATCTTCATATTCCCATCAGCTATGCCTTCTCGAATAAAGAAATGTCTTAGCTTAATATGTTTCGTTCTGTTGTGGAACTCATATGGTGGATTTAATGCAAGTTTGATGGCTGATTCGTTATCTAAGTACAGAATAGGAATACTCGTTGGTTGTTCTATACCTTCAATAAAACGTTTAAGCCATATTATTTCTCTAGCAGCTTCGCTAGCGGCTACAATTTCGGCTTCAGTGCTTGAAATCGCTACTGATGTCTGTAGTTGACTTCGCCATGATATTAGACCTCCATAAATACATACTAGGCCTGAAGTCGATCTTCCAGAGTTAGGATCACCACCATGATCAGCATCGCTGTAACAGATCAGTTCTTTCTTTGTATCTTTCCTGTAGGTAATGCAGTAATCCCTTGTACCATTCAAATAGCGAAATATTCGTTTCACTTTTGTAATATCTGTTTTTGTAGGAGTTTCTAAGTGTCTAGAGGCAACCCCAACTGCATAGGCAATATCGGGTCTTGTTCCTACCATAAGGTATGCGAGAGCTCCAACTGCTTCTCTGTAAGGAAATGCATTGTCTTCAGTATCTTCTCTCAATTCAGAATCTTTAACTATTGGTGTAGCGGCAGCTTTGCTATTCTGCATACCAAATCTTGTAAGTACTTTCTTAGTATAGGCACCTTGATGTATTTTTATATAGTTTACATGTTTTTCTATCTCAAGTCCCAGAAAGTAATAGAAATTTTTATTACTTTGGCCCTTAATTTTAAAGCGTTTCTGCAGCGTTTCGAGAAACTCATTAATCAGTACCTGTGATGTACCAGCTATCATGCCATCGTCAACATAAAGGGCTAGTAGTAGCTTACCTTTCCCCCTCTTCATGGAGAAGAAACAAGGATCTTCTCCAGCTACAAACCCTTGTTCTAGAAGAAAGTCTTTAATACAATTGTTCCAGCACAATGGTGCTTGTTTCAGTCCATATAAACTGCGTTTTAACTTGCATACATTGTTAGTTCCATCATCATATCCTTCAGGTTGCTTAACATATATCTCTTCTTTCAAGCTTCCATACAGAAATGCGGTAGAGACGTCAAATTGAGTAAGAAACATATTGTCGCGAGCAGCAATACTCAATAGTAATCTAATTGTACTCATTTTTGCTACGGGACTAAACGTCTTCTCGTAATCAACGCCTTTATTTTGAGAGTAACCAACAGCAACGAGTCTGGCTTTATACTTGTCAGTAGACCCATCAGAGTTCCTTTTAATCTTAAATACCCATTTACTGGATATAGCTTTGCGTCCATTGGGTAATGACACTAAGTCCCATGTTTCATTTTCTTTCAGGGAGTTGATTTCATCATCCATAGCCTTACGCCATTTTTCTTTATCAACAGACTTCATCGCATCTTTGAATGTCTTTGGTTCTTCTTCATGGTTATAAACATTTTCAACACAGTGTAAGACAAATTCGTCAAATCTATGTGAAGGATTTAATTTTGAGCGATCCCTTAAAGTGATTTTATCTATATCTACATTTTTCTCTTGAGGCTCTTCATTAAGAATTTCTTCTTGAGATACAGTATCTTCTCTTATTAAATTGTCCTCTGATACGTTTTCTTGATTTGTGTCAATCTGTGGTAAATTATCTATGTTTGAAGAAGTAACCTCATCTTCACATTCAGTAGTATCAAAATGTTCATAGTTATTAATTGGAACAATCGCTATGTTTGATTCGTTCGGTTCTCGATCTGCAAAATCGGGACAGACTTGGAGTGGGATCAATATTGATCTAGAGACCTTTTCTTCAGATCTAGGAGATCTATTGTCCTCGACAGGATTAAGTGTCTTTTCGTCAAAAATTACATCTCTCGAATTAATAATTGAAAGAGTTTTATGTTCCCAAATGCGATATCCTTCATCATCATTGTAACTAATAAGAATACCCTTTTTTGCTTTCTTGTCCAACTTTTTGCGTGATACTTTCGGTACATGAGCGTAGCAACTGCTTCCTATTATTCTTAGATGTTCAAGTCTTGGCTTTTTACCATACCATAACTCATATGGAGTTTTATCTGTGTTAGTAGGACCAGTACGGTTAAGTACATAAACAACTGTTCTTGTTATTTCAGCCCATAAGCCTTCAGGTAGTTCCCTTCCAGGAGTATGCATAACAGCTCTGACAGCTTCAACAACAGTTCTATTCTCACGTTCAGTTGAGTTTTGCTGTGGTGTATGCGGCATAGTGAATCTATGCACGATGCCCTCCTTTTGTAGAATTTTCTTTATATTATCATTAACGAATTCGCCTCCATTATCGGTGAAAAATTCTTTGATAACATGTCCTGTGGTTTTTACTTGAGCTATAAATTGTACCAATTTATCTTGGACTTCACTTTTCAATCTCATTAAGAATAAATAGCGATATTTTGTAAAATCGTCTTTTAATAGTAGAAAATAACGATATTTGGAAACGGAGTAGACAAACGGACCACATACGTCACCATATATGCGTTCCCCAGGTTTTGACATCCCGTCTCTCGTTCCAAATTTCAAACGATGAGCTTTTCCATATATACATCCTTCGCAAACTGTCTTATCATTAGGATTTGATATTTTGATACCTAATTCCCGTTCTACGAGTTTTCTCACATGAGATTTATTTTGATGTACAAACCTCTCATGGTAGAGCTGTAGCATGTTTATAGCATCCACTGAATTGACATTTATCTTGATCGGATTTGATGGTTTGTTACATAATCTCAGCTTATAAAGACCTCCATGTTTTTCTCTATCTCCGAGAAGAGCAGGTTCTCCATCTACAATCAATTGACAGCTGTTTGTTTTAGATACAAACGTACTGTCAGTTAACCAATCTTGAGCAGCTAAGACAGAGAAAAGGTTTTTGAAATTTCTGGAACAAGCCATACGTCATTTAATGTTATGAGTTGTTTTCGACCATAAATATCTGCTTCAACTATTACTGATCCTTTGCCAGTAGCAGGAATTGTTTGTCCACTTGCTGTTGTCACTGTATGTGACTTGCTATCAAATGATTCAAAATCCTCAAATAAATCTGATCGATTTGTGACATGACTAGTTGCGCCATTATCAACATACCATTGATTACTATCACTATTTCCTATAGCGTTCACCTCAACAATCGACATTAGCATCATGTTGGCTTTGCATTTATTGTTGTTAGAGGTATTACCTTGTTTTGATGTTGATGGTTTTTCCATTGATGTTAACGGACATCCATCTGATATCCATTTACGACAATCTTGTATATAGTGATTGTTTAGACCACAATAATTGCATTTCTTCGACTTATCTTTGACAGCTGACTTCTTTCGAAATTTAGACTTGCCTTTACTTCCGGTAAGCATGAGAGCATCTTCTACTTGACCGTGAGTCCCCTGAGACTGTAGTGCTCGTTCGAAAGAACACAGGTGGGCAGTCAATTTCTCTATACTTCGATCTTTTTTTGCTAGCAGCTTCCAACTTGAAATGAACTGGAAATATTCATCAGGACAGCTTTCTAGAGTCTTGCCCATAAGAAAGATTTCTGGTAGTTCTTTGACTCCTTCTTTCTTCATTTCTAATGATAAATCTCTCCATATATTTCGTAGTTTAGATAAATGCGTACCAATATTGTCAGCAGGATCCTTTACGAATTTGAAGAAGGTCATAATCAAATCAAAGGCTCGATCTTCTGTATCTCCTTCATAAATTCGGTGAAGTTCCAACCAAGCTTCTCTTGCTGTTTCGAAGCGCATCACCTTCATGATGTTTTCTTGTGTCAAGTTAGTCGTTATAATAAGAAATGCTGTACTATCTTCCTTGCCATACTTCTCAAGCTCAGCAGTCGTAGCTCTTTCTTTGTCTACGAAGTCTTTTTCGACGACATGTAGGAGACCATGACCTTTTAGAGCTAGTCTTATTTGAAATTTCCATGTGACCCAGTTGTGTTCATTTAGTGGTAAGACTTGAAACTTTGTAGTTCCGTCCATGGCGATAACTCTAGTTTAATCTTTTTCACACTTATGTAGAACCCGGTGTCTAATCTTCAAAATAAAATATTTGTGAACGACGGTTAAGTGCGATTCACTCAGTACACGTAACGTTCTGCTACCACTTTATGATAAATAGAGTCCGTGTTATTTATTATGAAGATATTTAGGAAAAAATAAGATTACGAATTGTTCAAAGGAAAAAATAGACAGAATTTTATTTAGATACAGAATGACATCTATCGTAAGTATAACTAGCCAGTAACAGAAAGGTAACCATAGTTTCATCTACATAGGTTGATATGCTACAAAGTCTAACAGAGTTATCATTCTATTTTCAACCATTAATAAAAACACCCTATCAGGTCGATCTTAATATAGGAAATTGATCTAATCAGTATTAAGAAACGTCGGAATCAGGATCAGTATTAAGGAAGACCAGATCTAAGACAAAAGGGTAATCAGTCATTTTTATTCTATTATTTTTTTATTTTACATTGACAGGCGCTGCAGGGTTGCATATCACCTGCCATTGAACCAAAGAGATTCTTAACAGACTTCCATGCGGTTGCCCAGGAAACCATCGTGGTTAATTCTAGTGACCCATCACGATGGGTTAACTGACCTGCTTTCATCGTCACCTATGACCTCTCACTGGTGCTTTACTAATATAATACGCACGATAGCACGGGTGGACTTGCTATTTCATTATTGTCCATTAAAAATACGAGAGTGGACAAAATGGCAGGTTAATTTAAATTGAAGAGCTATAATTTTAGTATACATAAATACACAATGCGTAAATGTTTGTCACAAATATAATAATTATATATCTGTATTGTTTATTATGATTGTAGTGCGCTTTGAATCTTACTTGTAGAAAAATAATAATTTTCGAGTTAAGAGCTTCTTATAGAAGATAAAGAATCTTCTTCTACATGACGCTTACAAAAATGGTCGTAAAAATAGTGTCAGATTACTACCGAGAAAAAGATGAAGTAGAAGTTTACTAATACCAAAATATATACTTCTTCCTCTTGGTAACGGTAAATTACCGTTTTTTTTTAATAACCCGTCTTGTTTCCTGTTTGTTATTGACATAATAGGTAGGTAACACTTTTTGACAAAATTTAAAAAGTCATCTTGTCATAGTTTCTCTAATCTGTCATCTTGTCTATAAACATTTCAAAACAACTACATTTCTTAACAAGTGGTTTTATTCATTACAAATATTTAAAAGGTTAAAAAATGGTATTAGCACATGATATTAGTATAGGCCAAAGATCCCAAGATATTCAAATATCTGAGGATGTAACATTTGATACGATGTTACTAACATCTAATACTCTTCAAGGTTTAAAAAGCTCCGGTTTCAAAAAACCTTCGCCCATTCAATTACATGGAATTCCTATGGGGAAATGTGGTTTTGGTAAGAGAAAATTTTACCTTCCTTGTTATTTTATTTCATTGAAATTACTACTAGACTTTAAACAATCTATTTGAATATATCGGATATAATATAACCTTTCATTGTACATACGCAAACCCTCACATTCTCTGAATATCTATGTCTGTATATCTATTTCTGTACATTACTAGAGGCTCCTAAACAGACTTCGTCATGATGATTGTACTACACCAATTATAGGTAAAAGCAATAATTCCTATCCAACAGATAAAAAAAGACCAATGAGTACTTAGGTCTAATAGGTGTTTCCAAATTACAAATAGGTTTGGGTTTGATTTTGTAGCATCATTCTCTAAATCAAAAATTAAAATTTATACATCAAAATCTTTATTATCGGGATTAATAGAACTGAATGTATATAGATGAAAATATTTTTTTTATTATTTAAAATAGAATGATAATGCTGCACTATCAGTATAGTGGGACACCAGTGACAGGTGTTAAGAGAGAACTAAAGCAAGTCAATAACCTATTATAACTATTTTCACAATGATTTCCAAGGGGAACTGCATTGAGGTCAATCTGATTACTACCAATACATTGCTAGCAATGAGGTAGTAAGACTTGTTACTAATCTTTACTCCTAATTAAAATCAAATGCCACCTTAGGATCATCTACCATCAGGATAGATATTGTTTGAAAAACCATAAGCAAAATGAATTTAGTACATGAAAATTAAAACAAAATTCATAAAATTATCAAACTAAAATACTATTTTTAGAGAGTTTTGGAAAATGGTGTCATAAAATCAGCCCCATTCATCACTTACTATCATTAATTTATTTTAATGAATATTTTTGTGTATGTCATTTGTTTATATTTTTTTACTCACTTGAAAACTATTAACTTTCAATAGTTAATTTTCATTAATAATATTCATAAGTATTAATAATAAAAGTTTCAATTCCTTAGCTAAAAGCATGATCCCTGTTGAAAAATATCAATATATTAATACTGGTAATTTTTTCTTCTAGATCTCTTATTAGAAGCAAAATCTGGCACAGGAAAAACTGCTGTTTTTTCAGTTATTGCTCTAGAAAAATTAAACTTGGATAAGGGCTTACAGGCTGTTATATTAGCACCAACAAGAGAAATTGCATCACAAATATGTGATGTTATAAAACAAATAGGATCATACTATAAAGGTAACCAATGTGTACAGAATAAAAAATTACATACCTCACATCACAATCTATCATAACCACAACTTATCATATACATAATTTATCATATTATGCATTTTGCCAAGAAAGGCTATTAATTATTAATAAATAGTTTTGGAACAAAAATTTGTTAATTAGTCTTTTTTAAGTTTCCATGATAAAAAGGTAACATTTTACTATACTTTTTTGGAGAGAAAGGGGAGGTGATACCTATTATAAAAATTATGATTTACAATACAATTATTAGAAATTAAAATAAATAATTAATCTATAAGTAGAATTTGCTTAAATGACAACTACAATCTCACACTAATGTAGGACCATATGAAGTAAATGTTATAGCAATATAATTGTACACTTATAAAAACTGATAATTTATTAATCTTTAAATAATTTACTGTCATGCACATGTGAATGATTGAATGAATATACTTTTACTTACATTATACAATGTAGTGAATAAAAGAATATAAGCAATAGATATACATGGATCTTATTCCTGAAAACTGTTTTCAAGACAACCTTACAATTAAATAATTGTTGAGAAACATAGTAAGTTCATAAAATTCCTACATATTAAATGTTAAAAATAATATTGTGTATATTGAATATATGTATAATTCTTCTATATGTATAAAAGACTAGACCGATTTTAATGTATGGATAGTTTAGGTCTTAACTGGACCTGAGAGGTATTTTTATATGTATATATAAAGGTGTATGGTGTGCGAGTTCTATTTGCACCTGTCCTGTTTTTATTTTTATATTATTGAAAGATGTCAAACTATCCAGCATTCTTATGTCTATTTGGGATAGTCAAATAAATTAATAATCAGATTTCAATTTTCAAAACATTATTTAAACACATTTTTGATTACTTATATAAAGAATCCTGAAATAAAAGCAATACCATCATCACATCCATAATAATATATGCTCTTGTTACAGGATTAAATATTGAAGTTGTTATGGGTGGCCTACCAGTTCAAGATGATATTTGTAAATTTAAAAACAAAGTACATATTGTTGTGGGAAGCCCCGGACGTTTACGTCACTTGATTCAAGATAAGTATATTGATGTATCTGCAGTTAGACTATTAGTTCTTGATGAGGCAGATAAGCTAATGGAAAAATCATTCCAATCAGATATCAGATTCATATTTTCTATTTTACCTAAAGAAAAACAAGTTATAATGAGTAGTGCTACATATAGTGAATATGCCAAAGATTTCATCACTAACTATGTACAACATTCTCAACATATATGCCCTAACACTAATTGTATTCTTTTGGGAGTGAAACAGAAAATAACCCTAGTAAAATACAACAGTAACATTGTAAGACAAACACAATATCGTTTTAAAGAACTATTGAGAATACTGACAGCAAAACAATTTAAGCAATGTTTGCTATTTTGTAATTATCAAGTTAGAGTTGCAGAGGTACATAAACTACTACTACAAAACAAATGGCCAGCTGAGCAGTTATATGGTCAACAAGAACAAACAGATCGATTAGATGCTTTAAAAACCTTACAGGAATACAAATGTAGGATTCTGATATGTAGTGACTTAGCAGCACGAGGAATTGATGCATCCAATGTCGATTTAGTAATCAATTTTGAACCTCCATTAGAGTGGCAAACATATTTACATAGAATAGGCAGAGCTGGTCGATTTGGATCATATGGAATGTCGATTACTATACTAAGTGAGGGTAAAGAAGAAGAAAAATTTAAAAGAATGTTAATATTAATGAAAAATACATTAAATATAAAGGAGCTTTGGTCTGACAATGATATAAATTTTGATCCCAATTTACACATACATCCACAACCAAAAGATGTATGTATACTGCCAGAATCTGATATAAAGACTACAAAATATGAAGAACTATGGCATATATTGTCAGAAGATACCATGGTGTCAAATAATAAACTGGAAAACTTTGAAAGTTTATGCAAGTCATATGATAAAAATTCTAATAAAATTGATACTTTCTATACTTTATTGCAATCTTTTCAACACAATCAAAATAATTTGGTTGATAACAATGATTATCGGGTTTTTAAAATTAAAGATATTTCAGACAATAATGTCATGTCTACATTGAAAAATGTCAAGAAAATATTTAATAACACTTTAACTGCAGCTACAACAAAAGACACATCACAAGAAAAAAATAATAACTTCAACACAAAATTAAAAAATGGAACATCTAATGTGGAAATATTTGAAAATGTTCATCAAGTCAATACAGATATTCAAGAAATAGATATTTCAATTAAACCATGTAGCGAAATAAGTAAAAGTAAAATGCCCAATGAAAAGAGAAATTCAATTATAAATGTTACAGATGATGTTTCTTGTATGTACAATTATGAAAGAAAAAATTTAAAGGACAATACAGATTTATCTCATTCAACAAAAGACGCCTTACTTGCTTATAACCTCCCAATGGCCTTTAGCAGTTCGAAAAATAAATATCCCAATAAAGCACACATATACAGCAATAGAAATGAAACAATTTCAGGATCAGGCGTTAAATATAATAATACAATTGACAAAAATTACCCTTTACAAAATAACAAGTTATATTATAATATAAATAAAAAGGAAAAAGAACAAAAATGTGCTGCTAATTGTAAGGAAACAAAAGCAAAACTTCGAGTCAAGAGTAATAGCATTAATCAAAGCAATCATAAATATCTATATCTTCAGTCTAATAATGGATATAAAGAATATAATACAGAGGAAAAAAACACAAATTATACTTGGCCAAATCAAGAGTATTTAGAATGGTATAGCCAATTAAAATTTAGGATGAAACAAATAGAACAGATTGTATATTTTGATGAACTTTCTAAAATGTAGCATGTCTTCCTATGAAATAGAAATAAAACAATGTATACTACTTTTAATATAATACTTTTTATTGAAAACCACACTAGCTCACATTTAACTTTATAACTTAATTATATTTATACACATTATTTATATCTTAAAAAACATAGGAACATGCTTATGCATATAAACATAATAAAAATACTGTATTATAAAGCCCTCATTTACTGTAGCAAACTTAGTACAGAGCTTAGCTCGGAAAACATAAAACTGGTAATTGATGACCTTAGTGTAAAATGGTCTAACCATAAGAATAAACAATCTAGGTAGAAGTAACATTCATTTACTTTCATTTGTGATGGCACCAATGCCAAAAAATGTACCCCACTTCCTCTCACTTAAATAAGATTGTCACGAATTTACACTCATTTAATAACTTTGTCATACATAAATACTAAACAATCTGTTATCATATGGAAAAGCGAAAAAATCAGTGTATATATAAACTTATTACTATAAATATATTTATAATTACTATAAAAACATTAAATTAAATTTTGTGAATTTCACGTATGCTATTAAGTCGATAAAATAAACAATCTAAAGCACCATCTTGTAGCTTACGATTAAATGCACGATCAAACTGATAAAAGGAACTCAATTTTTGCCTACAGCTCGATTAATGAAGGCGGTATTATTACTGAATGGGCGAGAGTGTCTCTTCTACCTAGTCCTTTTATTTTTACGGTATAACACCGACTCACGTTCCTTATAGTTGCGGATTCAATGCACCCTTTAAGATTGTTTGATTATCTGAGCGTTCTGTATGTATAATTAGCAATAGATGCTGCTGTGCAATATGTCTAAATTAATTTTCTGTACTTCAAACATTTGTTCTACTTTGGTGTATTTTTAGGTGTCGTATATATATATATATTTATATTGGACGTAGCTTCTGGGTCAACCTCTGCACTTACAAGAAAACGCTTTGTAACATACAGCTCTGTTATTATCATTATGAACTAAGGTGTATGCTGAAGATCTGCGAAGGTATAGAAACTATGCTAAAAGCAGTGCTTGAACACGCATAAAGGCTCGCTTCTTCTTCGCTCAAATGGCAATAGGTTGTTATTTTTACGGCCATTTTTGCCAGCGTCATATAGAAGCTCGTACTGAAGATGAAAATTATATTCAAACAACTGGTCTAATTTTATGTTTATTAGAACAAAAAATTGAAAATAGTTTTGATAACCATTTTTTTCTAAACTGTGTACTGTTACAGTAATGTCTATTCAAATTAATAAATATAAATTATAAGGATACAAGGATAAATCAAGGAGACAATAATGTGAATGTGAATGCACTGTGATATTTACATCATTAAAAAAAATTAAGTGTAGGTCGAACTTAGTTTTTTTTAATGGGTGATAATGGTATGGTAACCCCGTCTGCGCTATCAGTATACGAGTACAATGGCGGGGCACCAGTGATAGATGACTAATGAGGATGAAAGAAAGCAGGTCAGTTAGCCCATCTTGACAAATTCTACTAGAATTAGCCACGATGGTTTCCAGGGGGAACCATGCGTGGAGGTCGACCTGATAGGGTATATTATTAGTAATGGGGCTATTTGACCCCATTACTAACAATCCCTTTCCCCCCGGTCGAACTTAGTTTGACGGGCAAATAATGACCACAAATGATGGTCGATTCCGAATTATACTAATTATAATTACATTAAACAAGCACACATTTTTGGTAGTGAGCAAGATTACACTTTCCATAATCGTCTTTATTTTTTTTTTTTTTTTAATATTAACACGAACTTTATAAACAATAGACAAATAGTTTTGTCTCATCTCTCTATTGCACACCATGACTACAAGATGAAATTGAAATATTTACATCTATTAGCTAAATCAATTTCGACTTTATTAAATAAGAATAGCTAACAACTGCCTAGAAATGATACTGGACGCTTTTGAGGATTGTCACAAATTGAAACGTATATATTGTTTTGCATTATACAACAACAATGCAGTGTAATACCGAATAGGTTAGCCGTACATAAAACGTAAGAATCTACTTTCGGTATGCTTTTTGTGAAACAAAAATTTAAATTGAGAATAAATATTAAGCCTTCTTTATAAACTTAACTGTTGAACGCTTTGTGTTTGTATGGGTCTTTCAAACTTTTTTTTTTTTAAATTACGACATGATTCTTTATATCAATTTCACTGGAAGACCACATAGTAATAAATAGTCATATTTATTAACATAAACATTTGTTGATAATCAAGTATACAATCCACCTTATAATAAGGAACGCGAATGATGATACTTGTCCACCACATCTTATGATACCTCCCTTAGCACTTGCTAAACAAAAAAGTCAGCAAATTTGCACTTTACTGACATCGTGATATTCAAAATCTTAAGTCACAGCATCATACTATTTTCTTACCAATACACATTATGCCAACAATCTGATAGAGACAAGGTTACCTATGCAAATTATTAAATATCCAAGTGGTACACTTTTATCACAATCTATATAATACTAATTTAGTGTAAAAAATTATTCATTACATATTTACATGCGCTAAAAATCAAATATACTATGAATTAGTATTAATTCTTACGACAATAATATGCTACTTTTAAGTCAGTATAAAAAACAGGAGTACTGTTACTTTTTTTCTACCCACCTTAATATGATTTCATCTTTATGTATTTAAACAGCATTAAAATTATAAAATATTATATGGATAACTTGATGCAGTACATTTTAACTTTTCTATACATTTCTGTATAGTAATTTATATAATATTTGTATTTCTTTCTATTGCCACTTTGTAGTTAAGCACCTGATAATGCGATTTTTGTTATAATCCAATTAACAAACCGTTTCAATCTATTATATAATTACGAAACAATGCAGCGATGACACAATTATACAAGACAGCGACATACCAGCTTTAACTGCAGTTTCTTGTCTTGATTACAAAACTTACATGTCTTGAATGATGAAGCTGATAAACAGAAGTAAATAGAAATGCAATGATGTCACTTCTACCCAGTTCTAATTATTGGTGATCAGTTTTAAAACTTATTAATTACATCTGTGCAAACGAATCCTTGTTCACAAGTTATGTAATGATTTTATATGATTTGTAAGGTCCACTATTTAAATTTTTTTTTAAAGATGGATAACTTATTTTAATATAAAACATGTTTTTAATACATAGTTTTTTTTCTATATATATCTTCATACAACAATTAGGAAAATAGAAAATGATAGTAAAATTAAAAAAAATAAAGAACATTTTTCTGCCAATTTAAATTACAAATAATATTTTGTTAAATAATTATTACATTAAATAATTATTAAAATGTTTTAAACTTATTCATGGTTATTTACTAGTTTACAATATTAAATGATGAATGATTATGAAATTACAAACATCATAATTTCAATAGTGATGTAAGTTCATTATAAACAAATTAAAACCTAGAAATGTTTTGAAAAGTCCAAGATATAATTATGATGAATAGAAATAAGTCTTCAATGCAGTACCTAACATGTTATTCTACTGACATGGCCCATTTTGAAAATATATATGATCACTATTATAGGAGAGAGGGAGGAGTTTCATCTCTGGAACCGATGTGCATGCATGAATCTAAAAGTGCATAAAACAAGGGATGTAAAGGTTTGCTTTTTTTTTATACAACTTAGAATGTCAAACAAGCTGATGGCCTACCTGATGGAAAGTGGTAACCGTCACCTATAGACATGAACAGTGCCATGGACATAACAGAGTATACTGTTTCGCCCATGATACCCCCCAAGCGTTGCCATTCCTGAGGACTCAGGTGTTATTTCTCTGTACCCTGTAAATTCATGTACACAGCTATGCAAACACAACTGCTTCACGGTAGAAACACGAATGGGACAGAGGTACCCAAGCAATCGACTTTTGTACAAAGTCTCCCTCTAGGGTATGCCTTTGCCAGTTAGTTTGTCCTCCTAAACCTGTAAGGGTCTTAGCGTAAAGATAGATAGTATAGAATATTTGTATTGGCAGTCAAATTCTTTCCACATTCGAAAACTCTTTAATATATAATACAATAACAAGAAAAGTTTCTGGACTGTAATAAATTTGGGCCCAGTCAATATATACAATGTTATAAAAAGCAAATGCAAGTACAGACTTGCATTCTCTTTTGCGAGAAATGCATACTACCGTCGAAAAGTACAGAAGTGGGGCACAACACTTAAAACAAATGGTCTGAGATGGACATGTCTTAATAAAAAAGAAGGCTACTATTTATTTTGGACACACGGTATGAGACCTGATGTAAATCATATAACCAAACGCATATATATGATTGTGCCAATTAATATACATATTTTTTTATGAGAAGCAGTACCCGTGAGTTCGTTCGCAAGGTAGTCCAAATTAACATAATTTGTAAAATCAAGATTACATAACTTCATAGAATAGGTTTCCTTAAAAATAAAAGTGACAATATTTCACTCAGAAAAACATAATAAATTAATGCTAATTACTCATTTTACTGGTGATACCATTCTACGTTCGTTGGCTTGTGAAATTCATTGACAAATATTGTTCATGATTTAGCAATTGTGCTAGTGGCATTGACATTTCAGCAGTTTTTACTGTAAACAATTCAAATTTTTTGAATCAAATTCAATCTAATAATCGTAATACTTCTTTGTATTTTGTTAAATTCGTAAACTTTTTCGTAATGTGTTCCATAGTTTTTTTTAACCTGCCACTCAAATCAGAGTATAGAAATATATTTAATGCTATACTCACATTAACCGACTAGAATAAAAAATCCATGTATAACTTGACTTGTTTTTTTACTATTATCCTTTCTTTTAGTAGCCCATACTTAGTCTTTCTTTTCGTGTGTATCTGCAAATATAAGAAATTGTTTAATATACAATACTTGTAGTAGGTATATTTTTGTTACAACTAAAAAAAAACACTACCTGATGATTCTTCCTCGTCGGCGTCAAGTATGTCAGCACAACAAACTGAATAGCAGATAAGAGATAGAAAACCAAGTGGTAATCCAAAAACCAAAGCTGTTAATACTGGATTACCACGCCACATATTTGTTAGAGTTGTTCTGGCCTCAAAAAACCCTCTGTATAACCGAACTGGCCAACTGTTGCCACCGTATGCCTTAAAATGCAAAGATTATGCTCAAATTATATTACAAAATAAAATTATCTCAGACAATAATTACAATACAACTAGACATTTGAGATTTTTTTTTATGCAATTTAGAATGGCAAACAAGCTGAAGATTCACCTGATGAAAAGTGGTAACTGTCGCCTATAGACATGCAGTACCATGGTATTAGCAGAGTATACTGTTTTGTTTTTCAGTACAGATTAATTTGAATTATCTAATTAAAAAAAAAGTTTAAGTATATACAATTTTCTGCGCACAGTTAATAGCTTCACTCATACCTTGGGGTGGCCATAGAACTCTATTATGTCTATACCTGTATGGATTTTAGTAACATATTTTGCTAAGCTTATTAAAATTTAACATAATAAAGAAGAGTTGAAAGTTTAAATTGACACAAATTCTTAGTATCAGCAAGAAGTTACAATTTTTGCGGTCTAATGTGTAGCGGCAGTACACTACTAGACTATAATACTCTGCATGGGGGAACGGGATTGTTAGTAATGGTGTATAACAGCTCCATTGCTAGCAATATACCGCTGCAGCGTTGTCAGGATATAAATTTTTGGGGTTTCCCTTATAAACCGTCGTTATTAATTCTCAAATTCATCACAATGTATTAACTGACCTTTCATCCTCACCCATAATCACTCACTGGTGCCGCCAGCATATACCAATACCCAGCATAACGCGCAGGCGCAATTACTATTTCATTTTCACCCATTAAATATTCTGCATTGATATTATAATAGTCATATTTTTAAAAAGCCCAAATGAAATGATTTGTTTAAAGCTAAATAGAAGAATTAAGCATATTAATAAATTATGATAATTACTGGTGCTATTTGATCATGTATTTGATCAAGAAAAATTGAAACGGCCTCTGGCGTCATTAATACTGGGTCATCGTCAGGGATGTGATGATGGCTAGTAGTAGAATTTAGTACTATGAGATGTGGTACTGTCAATTCTGACATTACTATAGAATTTGCCAGTTCTGGATTACCCATCCAACCAAATTGGAATCGATGATGAAGCTCCCGTTTCCTTTTCCTAAAAAACAAAAATGAATGATATATGTTAGTAACAAATGAAAAACAAAAGAACGCCATATCTTTAAATTTAAAAATGAGGCCGCCAATCATATATAAAGTAGGTACTAGGACTTACTGTCGACACAATCCTTGTGTAATTAATTTATCGATGATTAACCTTTTTAATATTTTTTTTTTGTTAAATGCTAGGCTGGTTAAATGCACTTTTCTTTGACAAAGAGTGTCATTTGCATTCAACTGGCAAAAGAGAAAGCTAATATATAAAAATTAAACTTTAGTAATTAATTTCTATTGATGAATTGTCTGTATGTCATACAACAAAACAAGTGCAAAACTCATGAATGGGCTGGAACAATTCATCAAAATATTTTCAGAAGTCCAAGGAACATTCTTATAAAGAAACCCACTTTTAAAAATAAATTACGCTAAGGAAACCCTAAAATCCCCATTTTTTTCTATACGTCTTATTTTAAGCAGCCAATTCAATCATTTTTATTTCCGAAACCATTTAACAGATATCAATAAAATTTTGTAAATATATTTTTTTTTTCTCTAAGTTTAGAGATAGAGTAATTTTTATCTCATGTACAGGACGATTGAGAGTAAAATGTTTACTAGTAATGCGAGATTCATAATCAGGAGGCCAGTCGTTATTTTTAAAGATATGCTGCTTCACTTTATTAAGCAGCACAAATCCTTTTTCCTTATCTGTAATTACAGTATAACTAAAATGTCATTTTAAAATATATATATAAACAATAATACCAACTTGATGATCCCCTCAATCATATCTTTAAAGTCCCTTTCTGTTTGTGTAATTTCACTAAGTTTGTTTTCAGAAACAACAGCAATAACTATATATTTTTCTGTGTCCATTAAGTCATTTATATTAGATCTGGTGATCTTCGGAAAAAAGCCAAATCGTTCCGAGTTAATCCATTTGTCTAGACTAACATTCAAAGCTTCTTTGTCTTCAAATACAGCTGAACTTGCTGTAATACAATTACAATTTAATAGAATACAAATTCATAATAACCCTTGAATAAACAACACTTTTTTATTGATTATATTGTTTTATATTTGAGGATATTTATTGTTATTGTAATTGATAATTCAAAATAAATATAAATACCTTCAAAGAAAAATATGTCATCTTCTTTGTAGACAAAAAGTGCTGTCTCATTGGGAGGTTTAAATTCATTCATTACCATTTCATGTGACATGGAATAAAACCATGTGTGTGGTTGATACTTTTCTGCATGTAATGTGTACATTTCCTGTAAAAAAAAAAATGTGAACAAGTATCCTTCAAATATTTCAATAAAATTTGCAATTCAGTGTGGATATATCAATATTAACTCAAAGAGAGCATCTATTCTGGCCACCCTCATGATTTTTTTCACTGTCGCTTCATGCTTTTTTTAAATATAATGTATAATCAAAGCTTTTTACTAAACAATAAAATGTCAATATCAGTCTATCTAAGATTTACAAGCAATAAACTTCACAGTATCTTATTCGCTTGCATGAATCATGTCATAATGTGAAATTATTTGTTAAATATGAATAAATGTGTGACAAACCTCCAAATTTAAATGAGGTCTAAAGAGAAGGATAGAGTTTGGTAATATAACCACATTCAAAAAGAAAAGTATATTAGTATCACTTCTACCAAGTCCATTTATACTTATGGTTAAATTGTGAAAGTAGCCTACACCTAATAGGGAAATGAAGGATAGATAATTTGGAATAAATTCTCACTGAATGTAACAAGTGCACCAGCAACCCACCTTAATAGGTAATTATCCTTTTTCTTTCATTTGTCACAGTTAATGTTATTTTAACTAACAATACTAGCAACTAAATCATTCCATATCTTTTTATTCTTGTTTGTCATTCTTAGTTGCATAATAAAATACAGCAAAATTAACCTGATGATTTTTCATAAAGTGAATACCCAAAGTCCAGATAATTTTAGTTTAAATAATATTTTATTAATTATGTAGTTACAACAATCTTATTAATATTTTCTTACTATTTAACATTAACACTTACCCACAAAGGTCCTTGCTGTTTTCCAATATATCCAAAGAACACAGGATGAGCTTCTTTTAAATATCCTATGCTATCTGCATGTGACACTTTTTGGATAGCTGGTTGAGACATTCGCAATGCATAATTTACCATTTCTTCTTTCAATCTCTCACCATTGTATTCATGATAAAATGAACCCTTTATGCTAAAAATTAAAATAATTATAACTGTAAACATAGCACAAATTACAATAAGAGACAGACAATCCCTGTTGTCCAATCTCTGTTACACAGATAGATTATAGATTACATTAATAAATATACATAAATGAAAACTACATTGCCCATTTTTGTTGAAATATTTTTATTGCATTATAAATTGGATGTTTGGAAAATGAGTACCATTATTTATTCATTAATAGTGGAAAAATGAATAGAGTTTGGTAGAATTGTTTACTTACAACATTATAGTAGGATAAGCTCGTACTTTAAAATGAGTAGCTACTGCTGGGAACCGTGTGCAGTCAACTTTTGCTACTCTTATTGGTGAATTGTAGAGAGTTTGGGCTACATGTGCCCAGATCGGTTCCAAACGGCGACAATGAGCGCACCATGGCGCATAGAACTTCACAAACCACATGCCATCACTACTGATATCAATAAATTTGTCACTTAATTCTAAAACTCTTGATGAAGCCACAATATTTAGTACTACAACAAACAATTTCTAATTAATATAATTTTAGGTATTAGGAAATAAAATTTATCAGTTCCAATTACTACACATACCTGTTAATAAAATACAATACAGGGAAAAATACATCTTTATCGCAACCTAAACCGTCACTGTGGTACTGAATTAAGTGTGTATAGTTTGATTCGTAGGCAAAGTTTTAATTTTATTACTTGCAAATTGTTGGAAGACAAATCAATACAAAATACTTTATGAGCACCTAACGTAAAATTTCTCTCAGCCTACTGCTGTCAGAAAATAGTTTATAAAAATATTATATTCGTTAGCAATATTAAAATAAGTATCTTTCTAATTAGGCACATAGAAATAATAAAAAACTATTATTAATCGAATTGCCGGTTAATAGAGGTATAACGAGACAGATGAAGAGTATTAAGCAATTAATCAATCACTAACTAGGTTATGAGAGTCGGCAGTAGTCTCATATTGACGAAACCTAGAAAATAAAATGTGTGTTACCTTTTTGAAGAAAAGACACAATGAAATAAAAAAAGTATTCATAGTGTTGTGCCACTATTTACATATATCAGGATTGCGACAGTTCGAACATCGTTTTTGGAATAACGTTTTCCTATGAAACTATATCATCAACAGTAAAAAAAGTCCGTTCATATAGTAGCAGAGCTAATTTCTATGCTACAGGATAAATTTTGCTTGTTAAAAATTAGTTAAAATAACTAAAATCTATTAGTACTGTTCCTACCCTTGTTGCATTCGTCATTTATCGATGTGAACTGAAATTAAATTATAGATAATGATAAATCAATGAAGATAAGTAGTACCTAAAATTATGTATGAATTATTAATTGATTATATTTTTAGAACCCTGTTACGTGTTAAAATGTCACCTTTTATATTTAAAAATAATTTTAATCATATTATAGTAATATGTAATCGAAATAATGTTATAACTACAAATAGAGCCATTTCTCCTGTATGTATATTATAATATATGGTTATTCTTCAGAATTGTATACATGTCGTTTTTTAGATGCTGTTTGACTCAGCGCCATGCTTCCAACTATTGTTTAATGCGCCAAAGAAAACTTGTGTTACTTACCTGTCAAAGAAATTAGATTGAAAATTATAATAGAGTAAAATAAAGTAACTAAACGTAGATGCATGTTTTGTTTTGTTTTTAGTCCATGTTTTTAGTAAACTTAGAAAATCTTATATTATGAAATAACTAGGCTTTTTTATGGCAACAAAAACAAAAAATAATAACAATAATAATAAACACTTTATTGCGCACAAAAAAGATATATATATTTAACACATTATTCATTCAAAATTATAGGTACTATTTATCTTCATAACGTATGATTATTTATAAATCGATAATTTATAGCGAGTTGATATTGATAAACATTAAGGACCATGATAGGAGCAATTCTATGAATGCGAAAATTTGTATCGACGGATGGATACTTGTTACGCTTGCATACAAAAAACTATTTTTACTACTACTATTTTTATCATGGAGCCATGACTCCAACTGTTATGGCATATATTCAAGATGATCATAATCCGCCATAATTGAAAAGTTTTTTATATTGACTAAGAACGGTAACATAGATGAATATAAAAGTTTTTTTTGCCACGTATCGTAGGTCTAGAATGCTAGCAATCAATGCGAGACACCACAGACTACTTAGAGTAGGTGCCGTATCACAGATTATTGAGATTATTATCTTTGACAATATCACAGACTTAATATATCTGTGGACAATATGATCGTTACCAATATTATACCTTAGATTATAAAATTTACGTAGTACGTTTATATTATTACCTTAGATCATTGGTGTATTTGAGATTATTTTCAAAGTGGGCCTGGCCCCTTGAAAAAGGGGCCTACTCTTCAAACGTGTATTTGTGAAGTTTCTATCGCATTTTGAGGTGGGCACGGCCCACACATAGCTAAAACATGTGACACATGACGCTTATGTAGGAGCAAATTGATTAACCTTTTCGCATATATACACATGCCAGTTACATTCCGCAAAAACATTGAAGAACCTTTTGCAATATTTCTAAAATGCCATTCATTACTGTGAAAATACGCTTGAACTTATTTCTATACAAGACTTAAAAAACAAGGCCACCGATAAATTATTATTTTGGCGTGAATTTACAGGGTACAAAGGAATAACACCTGAGTCCTCAGGAATGGCAACGCATGGGGGGTATCATGGGCGAAACAGTATACTCTATTATGTCCATGGTACTGCTCATGTCTATAGGCGACGGTTACCACTTTCCATCAGGTGGGCCGTCAGCTTGTTTGCCATTCTAAGTTGTATAAAAAAAAACAATGTCCATGATTACTATATTATATTATACTTAATCTATGACTAAAACAAATACTAAATAAGATTTGCACCACTACAAATAAAAAATGATTATATAAAATCTATGCAACTATTTTTAAATAACATAAATTATCGAAAATTATCTACAACATTTTAATGAACCCCTCCCGTACTTTCGACATACGTAGACGGAGTACTAGCGAAGTGATGATAAGTGAGATTGAATTTAGGTCATCACTAAAATTTATAAGGAATCATCTATGATGTTTTCCAAGAGGTATTGCATGGAGGGCGACCTAATAGCAGGTACTCATTACTAATTTGGATTAGCTAACTTGGCGACAGTAGAGAGGAAAGGGATTGTTAGCAATGGACTTTGACAGCCCCATTGCTAGCATTATACCTTATTTGGTTGACCTCCACGTGGTTACCCCTGGAAACCATCGTGAACAATTTATTGAACCCTTCCCGCACTTTCGGCATACGTCGGCATACTAACGAATTGATGATAAGTGAGATTGAAACACTATTATTAATCATAATTAAATTTTAATTAATTCAAGATAGGCCAATTGATTTACTTTCATCTTCATTTACTAGTGAGGTAGATTTTTACCTATCTCACTAGTGCTTCGTCAGTTTATACTAATAGCACAAACGAATATTATTCCAAAGTGACAACAGCTGGTCTGCCACTCTACGTAAGAATAATTTTATAGAAGCTAACTAGCACATTAAGTAGTATTGCAGTTTGAATGTAGGGTTCTTAAATGAATGTAACTTTTACATAATATTTCAAAATTAATAAGCAGTAGTCTCTCTAAACTGTGTAGGTAGTTCAATTTTGATTTAAAAAATATCAAGTATTCGTACTTTTAACTGAGTAAGCACGAGTAAAAAAAACTTCTACAGTTTCTATGACTTATTTTTATGAAGAAATTTTACTTAAAAGTTAGTCTGTTTGTGAAATGATTTATTAAAAATGGATCATGCAAACTTATTGTATATACAAAACAAAAAACGCTAGAAGTTGATAACCTCATTTTTCAAAGTTGGTTGAAAAGAAATTTAATGTAAGATTATTACTATGGAAGCGGTATTGCACTTATGTCCGAGATTTAAAGACGATGATCCACTGGTTATCTCATTCAAGAGATAGTGAATTTTGTTACGACATAGCCTGTATGATCTGTGAACATAACCTATCGTAATTTGTAGCGTGGTCACAAGCGTGGTATATTGGTGGACTAATAGTGGTGCGAAAGTTTTGCTAGATAAGATATACTGTATATACATACCTATCGAGATACTTTTAACTTTCACTTTCTACGACAGACGTCACATTCTAACTGCTCTCCATGACGCTGCAACTCCTACGCGTCATACGTAATTCATTTACAATTCGCTTTAATAATTATACACATAAGTGTACACAATTCGGTTACCATTGTCAACGTTGCAAATACCGTTATTCGGAGTGGGGGCCGGGACGCGCGAGGGGGGCACGTATCAGTGGAACGGTTGAAGCGCGAGTTCACTCTGTCACTCGGTCATTACGGTATTTCTCAACAACGCGTCCCACATTTACGATCTTGAAAGAAAAAGTGACAATGCCAGAAAACAAACCATTTCAGCGTCTTCCGAAAAATGTTGTTCCTAAACATTATAATTTAGAACTAGTACCAAATTTGGAGAAATTCACATTTACTGGAAAGACTGCAGTGAAAGTATCGGTAAGCAGAGATTTTAACACAATATCATGATAGTGAATATTTATCTATTTTGCATGTGACGCGTTAAATTATACACTGTTTTCAGATTGTGAATTCAACCAAAGAAATAGTGCTCAATTGTTTGGATTTGGAGTTGACGAATGTTAAACTTCAATATAGTGATTGTGGTTCTGAGTCCACGCTGAATCCTGTAGAAGTAAGGTTGAGCGTGCCAGATGAAACCGTGTCCATACTTTTTGAAAAATCATTACCAGAAGGTGAGGCAACGTTATATTGCGAATTTACTGGAGAAATAAACGACAAAATGAAGGGCTTATATCGCAGCAAATATTTGACAGCGAATGGCGAAGAGCGATATGCTGCAGTAACGCAGTTTGAGGCAACAGATGCACGCAGATGTTTTCCTTGCTGGGATGAGCCTGCAATCAAAGCTACCTTTGACATATCATTGAAGGTGCCTGCAAATCGTGTTGCCCTGTCCAATATGCCTGTTAAAGAAGAAAAAGTCACTGGTGATATAAAATATATGCAATTTGATACTACACCTGTAATGTCTACATACTTGGTGGCTGTTGTTGTAGGAGAGTATGACTATGTAGAAAAGAAATCCAATGATGGGGTTTTAGTTCGTGTTTACACACCTGTGGGGAAGAGCAAGCAGGGCCTCTTTGCTCTAGAAGTTGCAGCTCGTGTCCTCCCATATTATAAACAGTATTTTGATATAGCTTATCCACTACCTAAAATTGATCTGATAGCAATAGCAGATTTTTCTGCTGGTGCAATGGAAAACTGGGGTCTGGTAACATATAGAGAAACATGCTTACTGGTAGATGAAGAACATACATCAGCTGTGAGAAGGCAGTGGATTGCTCTGGTAGTTGGGCATGAATTGGCCCACCAGTGGTTTGGTAACCTCGTAACAATGGAGTGGTGGACCCACTTATGGTTAAATGAAGGTTATGCCTCATTTGTTGAGTTCCTTTGTGTCAATCATTTGTTTCCTGAATACGACATTTGGACACAATTTGTAACTGAAACCTATATTAGGTAATTATTTTTATGTAACTTTGTGATATTTCTTCACTTTACCCAAATGCAATTAATAGTAATGATTTTTTTTTCATAACACATTTGGATGTTTGCCAGTTATATGTTTGCACTTATTAAAACTGCACAATCATTGTGACTACAGCAAACAAAGGAGTTCATAATCTGTATACTTAATATACTAATAATTCTGTATAATATTTGGTATTTATAGTCTTCACATAGGTATGCCAAATATAAAATACAGGTTATACATTTTACAACATTTTTCATTAATTCCATATTTTATATTTGTAACATTTTTCAGAGCTTTAGAGTTAGATTGTTTGAAAAACTCGCATCCAATTGAGGTGCCTGTCGGACATCCTTCTGAAATTGATGAGATTTTTGATGACATATCATACAACAAGGGTGCATCTGTTATTCGCATGTTGCATAGATACATTGGAGATGATGATTTCCGTAAAGGCATGAACATTTATCTTACGAGACATCAGGTACACATTCATTAAATAGTATAATAATATTATTAGTTAATATTGAAATACCCATAATCTAACAATTACATTAAACAATTTTACATAATTATGTACATAAACTATTATATTATAATAAAATCTATGCATATATTTATCTCAACCTACAAATGCCATATAGTTCTTCATAATTTTTCACAATTTTTCATTTAGTAAATCCTTGCTCATAAACATTAACCTTATCACAATCCTAAGATTATGCTATCAGTCTGGAAGGTATTATTTTGTCTATATCAACTAATAGTGTAATAACAGTGTTTTCATTTTTAGTATAAAAACACATTCACAGAAGATTTATGGGCAGCACTAGAAGAGGCATCCAACAAACCTGTTGGGGCTGTAATGTCAACTTGGACCAAACAGATGGGCTTTCCAATGGTGCAGGTCTGTAAATAAAGATATATGTAAAATAATACTTCCTTATTCATAAAAACTGAAAAAAAAATTCTACAAACTTATTTTAACTACTAGCAGCCCGTCCCGGCGTTGCAAGGGTGGACATTTTTACATTTTAAAAAGTGGCCATTAACGCCGGACACGCGACGGAAGCTTAAAAATGGAGTAACTTCTCCCGTTTTCCCAACATTTCCCTTCACTGCTCTGCTCTTATTGATCGTAGCTTGATGAAAAATATACTATAACCTGCCCAGGAGTATGAAGAATAATTGTACCAAGTTTCATTAAAATCCGTCGAGTAGTTTTTGTTTCTATAACGAACATATAGACAGACAGACAAAAATTTTACTGATTGCATTTTTCGCATCAGTATCAACCACCCTGATAGTTATTTTGGAAATATATTTCACGTACAGAATTGACTTCTCTACAGATTTATTATAAGTATAGAATAATTATATCGCTCTCTTTCGAATTGAAAAATTTGCACTAAAGTAGAAGACAAAACACTTCAATAGCTAAAATAGTTTTATAGGAAGTTGACATTTTTATGAATAAGGTGCTAGTAAACACTATTTTGTAATCATGTCTAAATTATGGTGCAGTATTAAAAGACATTAAATATTCTTTTACTAATATAATAAAATTGTAACTAGACAGTATCTATGTTTAGTGTGCCCTTCTTGGCATGATTTTTTTATTTGGTCATCTTGATTTATTAAATAAATCATGGTGATATAATTCATCTTCAAAATTAAAGGAAAATGGTTAAAAAAATAAATTAGACACCTATGTTTTTTTTTTCTGCAATGGACATTTAAAAGATATCCAGTCACAATCAACTTAAAGTGAACTTATTCTTTTATATAATTTTGGGCATTGAATGCTATGAAGGAAATTCCCACCATTATGCAAAGAAGGTTTAAGAAAAAAATATATGAGGGGTCTGAATAAGATCAATAGAGGCTAAAACAATAATTTTTAGAAATTTGATCTATCAGTGTGTTTGTTCTGGCAAATTATCAAATTGGATAATTTGGTGTAGTGGTTTTTGCATGATGCCAGAACTATTTTCACAGTTGTTTCCCTGAAAGACTAACTTAAAATCAGATCTATGTTTTGTCTTGATATGCCAACTAGAAGCAGTCTACTTCATTAGTTTTCCTACTTTGGAAACAACCACATGCATGAAGTGGGAACAAAAAGCTAGTTCTAAATGGAATTTATTTATTACACTTAATACAATATTTATATTAATAATAAAGTTTTTTTTTTCAGTAGCTACTTGAAATGTCCCTACTGATTACACATGCACACCTTTTGTTAATATACTAGAACTAGCAGGGTTGACAAACATTATTTTGCCTCCCCTACTGCCGCCCACATATTTTTTTTGTTGGGATATAAAATGTCTCCTATATCTTGTTTTGGAGCAAAAAATGTGTTTGTACAAATTATTATTAAAATCGGTTCAATGATTTCGAAGATTTGTATGAATGAGTTATGACATGGGATTTTTATATATTTACATTAATGTGAATGCAGATTGATATCAACTAATATTTTCCTACATTATTTGAATCACGAATGATCATGCTAATTATGGTTTTTGTCTTCTAGGTGAGCTCAGAACAAAGAGGTTCAAATCGAGTACTCAGACTGACCCAGCAAAAGTTCTGTGCAGATGGAAGCCAAGCTGATGACACTCTCTGGATGGTACCAATCACTATCTCTACACAGGAACAACCTTCTAAGGTATTGATGTAATGTTTTCTTCACAAATTTATTATCAAGGTTAGATACCTTATCAAACATAACATTAAATGCAACTTAACATTGACCCATTTTTAACTCATACATCTGTATGTCTCATATATCTGTTTGATATATATATGTATGTAGAGATTAAATATTAGATTAGATATATTATCATAATTCCATGTTCAACTATAATGTTTACATTTTGTATGAACAGTTACGAAAAAAGTTGCTGCATGAAAATAATGCCATTGAAGATTGTGAATATGACGTTATTTGCACATGCCAGTGGTTGAGCGTCAGTGATGATTATGTAAAAAAGTCATTTTAGTAACATTCATATATTTTGTGGTTACTGTAATATTTATGCCGTAATTATTTTAATTTACTATTCCTATATAATATCTACTAAATAAGTCATTTGATATTTCACTTTCAGGTGGCACTTTCTACTGTGTTGGAAAAGCGAACTCAAGAAGTAGTCCTAGAAAATGTTGCTGAAAACTCTTGGGTTAAGCTTAATCCTGGCACTGTAAGTATTAATGTCTGTCAATCAACCTATTTATATTATTAGAAATGACAAACTAGCTGACGACACGCCTCACCTAAGGGAAATTACTAATCACTCTTAAGAAATATAAATAAGAAATGTAATCACCGGATATAATAAACATGAACACTATCACAGAAATCATAAAATATAATGTGTGTATGACACAGCTCTATTGTTAGGCTCTTTCGATAAAGATAGTATGTATGATAGTGTGGTACTTTTTAATTAGCTAATTGTTATCGTGTATAATTAATTATTAAGTTATTATAGCTGTAACCTTCTCTCAAAGATAATAAATAAAGAAATAAAAATAACCTCAAGAACTATATAATGCCCACGACTTCGTCTTGACACCACGCAGTTCACTCCCACATGTTTTACTAAAGATTGATTACATGGATTTGATTGATAAATGTAGTCTATATCTCTCCTATCCTCATATATATATATATATATATATATATATATATATATATATATATATATATATAAAAAAAAATAGATAACCTATTCTAAGACCTACCGAGTATACATATAAGATTTCATCAAAATCGGTTCAGTCGTTTCGGAGCAGTATGGCAACTAACACTGACTCATGAGAATTTTACATATATAGATTTTTCGGCCAATTTATCTAGTATTTTTTTTATTTCAGCCAATGTGCTGTTCTGATGTATAAGTTATGCAAAAGCCATCAAATATTTCTTGTGTGTAAGCGGAACAAACATCCATCCATCCTTAAGAACTTTCGCAATTATAATATTAAATAGGATGAAATATAATGAGACATCTATATGTTAGTAGTTAGGTATACCACTTTAAAATTTAGATTAACTTCCTATATTCCTGTGTATCCTGATGCGTTCTTTTTGTTTGGATTAGGTGGGATACTATCGTACACGGTACCCAGCGTCGATGTTGGCTCAACTGGTGACGGCGGTCCGTGATGGCTCATTGCCGCCACTCGATCGTCTCGGCTTACTTGACGACTGCTTCGCGCTTGTACAAGCCGGACACACACATACTGCTGAGGTACAGTATTTAACAATTCTCTCCTTTCTATAGATCAAAACAGATAAGCTCGTGAAAAATTTTTAAAATCTTTTAATAAATGACTGATCTTGAAGTTTACTTATTTTAGCGTGAAATGAAATTATTGTCACTGTTGTTCCGTCAGTATATATCGATAACGCGAGCGGGGTTACAGTTTCATTATCATCCAGTAAAAAACAAAAATGGCGGCTGTTGTCACTCCACCTACTCGAAATTGTCACCCTGCAAATTAGTTATATCTTTCATTGTGGTGTTCGTGTTTTTTGCCATTATTTTGTGAAAAACATTTTTTTATTTTATAAATATGTAATGTACTTTTTATTTTATCATAATGGAAGAAGGCTTTGTAAAAGGACAAAGTGATACTAGGTAACCTAGAATTCATATAAATACTTCGAAATTGTGACTTGTGACAAATACAATTTGTAAATTATAATTATTTCATTTAAGTGCATACATTTCCGAAATACATACATATATTTCTCACATAGAATGGGGCATCCCTTCCTGTCCCATGGGTATTGTAAGATGCGACTGGGAGCGCGAGGGATGGGCGGCAGCATCCTTCTTAAAACATCTCTAAAAGCCTAACTGTGGTTGCCAACTCGCTTGCCAAGCATGGCAATTACTGGCAAAACCCTTTCTTGTTCTGTAGAGGCCTATATTCAGTAGTTAACAGCTAATATGATGATTCATAATTACAAAAAAGAAAAATTTATGAAACTTGTCCTTTCCATTTCATTTCTATCCCAATTTATAGAAAACTGTTTTATCACCTAATATGGAATTTTTAATACTTTTATTTAATACTTTATTCTTTTTTGCAGTCGTTAAAACTCATGGAAGCATTTAATAATGAGACAAACTTCACAGTGTGGTCATCAATATCTAATTGCTTATCGAAATTAAGCGCCTTGTTCTCAAACACAGCTCTTGACAAACCGTTGAAAAATTATGGCCGTAAGCTATTTTCGAACATCACCAAAAGATTGGGCTGGGATGCTGAAGAAAAAGAAAGCCATCTGGACACTCTTCTTAGGAGTTTGGTACTCAATAAAATGATCAGTTTTGAAGATCCCGAAACAATAAAAGAGGCTAAAAGTCGGTAAGTTTGTTTATAATAAGTACATAACATTATAAATATGAAAGTGAGTTTGTTTATTTGTAATATACGTACTATATGGGATGGAGGAGGATATAGGCTCCTTTTTATTCCAATCAGTAAACACATCCCGGTCACGTGGACGAAGTTACGGGTAAAAGTTAATTATGTTATAATTTTGTTCTGATTGATCAACGCACAGCCTAAATTATAGGGATTAAAAACTTGCCAATTGATGTATTTTATGATGTAAATATCCACTGTGGAAGGATTTTTAAAAATTCCTTAAGGCGTTTATTAAGAGATGAACGGTTGTATAGAAACCTGTCATTTTTAAAGATAAAAACATGAAACTTCATATACAAGCTTCTGGTTAGAAATAATGAAATTGTATTCATCGGTTTTGAAAATATCTCCCGCGCTAACGGTATACATTGGCGAGGCACCAGTGAAGGATGATAGGTGAAGATGAAGCAGGTGAGTTAGCTCATCGTGACGAATTCAACAAGAATTGTTCACGATGGTTTCCAGGGGGAACCATGTCGAGGTCGACCTAATAAGGCATATTGCTAGCAATGGGGCTGTCAAACTCCATTGCTATCAATCCCTTTCCCCCCCTCTCCACAGAGTTGCAACCCTCCGTTGCGCGAGCCGACGGTGTTCAAATAGATACTTTATATTTTAATTCACAAATGCAATGCCTAGAATTATAAATGTGATAATTAAAGGTGTTTGTATTTTTGGATGATTATTACTCAATTGCGCTCGAGAACCAGCAGAGTGTACAGACGACATGTAATATTCAGGTTTGAGAAGCACATGTCGGGCGCTGCGCCGCTACCGGCGGATCTGCGGTCGGCGTGCTACCGCGCGGTGTTGGCGACGGCGGACGCGGCCACGTTCGACCGCTTCCTAGAGCTGTACCGCGCCGCGGACCTGCACGAGGAGAAGGACCGCGTCAGCCGCGCACTTGGCGCCGTCGCCGACCCCGCGCTGCTACACCGCGTTCTCGACTTTGCTATATCGGTTAGTTTATTTTGAACTCTCATTTTATTATCACGTTGTATAATATTGGTTGTTTCCGTAACATTCTGGTTCCCTTCAGCATTTTTTCCACCTTTCTTCCCATCATTTTTCTATAAAAAACTCAATATTTAAAAATAATTTTGTATTAAAATTAAAATAAAACCTTTTTTAATTTTTCAATTAGATACTGTTTTAAAATCATTATGTACCAGTTAGAAAAAAAGAACACTCTTTATCTCACTAGTTTATACCCTCCAGATTTGAACAAAAAATATACACACATTAATAATATCTCTGTTCTCCTTCTCTTTAGTAATAAGCATTTTTACTAATTTCAAATACTGTTTCAGGATGAAGTGCGGTCCCAAGATACAGTTTTTGTGATTGTCTCTGTCGCAGTCAGTAAGAACGGACGTGATTTAGCGTGGCAATTTTTCAAGGATCATTGGCAAGAATTTATGGACAGATATCAGGTATCTTATGCATTTTTTTCCTTTGTTTTCCTTTGACCAAGATATAATGGAATCGATTCTAAATTTCTATTTGACACTACCTTAAAATCATTAATATAAAGATCAGTTTCAAATAAAATACTGTTTGTTGAATTAAGTTATACTACTGTTAACATAGTTCTTTTAGAGATAGGTTTATGGATCAACACTTCAGGATCGACCTTTATATTAGAAAGATTTATTTACCAGGAATTCCCAAGGAGGTTTGATGTCAGGCACGCGGCAGATAGTAGATTACGCCAACCCCAAATAATTGGGATACGGGCAAAAAAATGATGATATTTATCGGGGATGCATTTCTTATAATAATGTGGTATTATTTATCATAATAAACACTTGAGTTTTCAATTTTAGGCAAAAATTAAGATCTTTAAAGATTTTGAATGACGGCATCTGAGATCGATCCATGAGAAAATAGACGTTCATAATATCTATTTCACGAAAGTCGATATCATCTTTCATGTGCATATTGATATTTAAAAAAAGAAAAAAGGAAAGGAAGAATTTACTATATTCAAAAGGAAAATAGCAGAAATTAACACATAGATATCTTCTATTTTTAAAAAATCCAAATAATCGCAGTTCTGGGGTCCTAAAGGTCGATACGAGTTCGTAGTAGGTAGAATGCCTGCATATAAGATTACCTATTATAAGGATTACTAATATTGTAAAGGTGATAGTGGATTTGTTTGTTATCTCTTGGCATTTCAACGGCTCAACCAATCGTCATGAAATTTGGCATATAAGTATACACGTACTATATGCTATGGAAAAAGACATGGACCGCTCACGTGGACGAGGTCGTGTCTAAAAACTAGTATGTGATAATAATGAACGAAAATCTAATAGAGGCCAAAACAATAATTTACAGAAATCTTATATTTGTCTGTATGCTTGTTCAATTTCATTGGTTATCCTACTTCTAAAATCACACATACAAAGTAGTGAGCAAAAAGCTAGTAATTATATAAAAAACTTTCTTCATTTTACAGTAACTGTTTCTTGCGCCTTTGTCCGCGTGAATAAGTAAATTAAATATTCTATGAGTTTATTTTAAACAATCACCTTGTGTTTCCATCATTTATCCGTAACGATTATTATATGAATTGGAGTATAATAGCAGGGCGGTATTTTGTTTGCAGGGCGGTTTTCTATTGGCGCGGTTGGTGAAGTCGACGACAGAGAACTTCGCGTCAGAGACGGCCGCACAAGAGATAGAGGAGTTCTTCCGCACCCACGTGTCTCCCGGGACCGAGCGGTCGGTGCAGCAAGCGCTCGAGACGGTCCGCCTCAACGCCGCCTGGCTGCGCCGCGATCTCGCCTCCACCACCGCTTACCTACAGTCCTACCATTGAGTTGCACCGCCACACGCCCCCCTCCCCAAACACTTATAATTACATCAAAATAAGAATAGGATTGACTTCCCAATTTTCCATTCGATTTTTTAGATGTCTAAGTAACTCTATAACAGTTACATTACCATTTTATATTTATTTTGCACGATTTGGAATGGCGAACTAGCCGACGATTCAACGAGTAGAAAGTGGTATCCGTTGACTATTATAATACATCTCAAGTGATAGTAGACAGAATGATGGCATTGATGTTCCTATTCTTATTTCGATCGCATTGTACCAACGCCACCACTGGATCCGAATCACACAAGACTGAGCTCACATCGAAGTCCATACTTTCGATAAGTAGGACAGTATATACGGTTTTCCGGTATAGTTTTTATTCGGGTCCAGTGATATTCTGTAATATAAATGGATAACAGTTATTGTAATTTACTTATTGTAAACTATTTATTCTATATACTTTTACTAGAACCGCCTTTTTTTCAAGATCATTTACAATTATACTAGCCAAACGACAGCGAATGGTGTATCATTTGGATTGTAATTGCTGAAGAGCAAGTTTTATTAAACCGATATAATTCTACAATTAGAGAAATTGGGTTGACAATGTCTTGACACATATATATTTTTTTTTGTTTAGTTAAAAATATTTTGCTTTTACACTGTGTATAACAGCGGTCGTTTAATTTTAGCATTATATAATTATATATAGGCGCTGTAATAGGCTATAGTGGATATTTGACTTATACCAAAGGTCTATACTGGTATATATAATTATGTAAAATTAGTGGCGCTAACATTGCGCTAACAATCGTTAACATTTTTATAGTGTACAATATGAAATGAATTGGAAGCACATCTAGCCTATTACAACGTTTGAAGACTAAAGTTGAGGGTACTGTCTGTACGTTTATTTATAGATTATTTAACCACGTTTAATATCTCTTTAAAGCGGAAATAGATACTAGAATAATATGTATCGTCGCTATACATCTACTCGTATACCACATTACTTTGTGGAACAGGATAGATTGTTTCAATATTTACACTAGATAATTCCAGTATAAACTATAATAAATGAATTTATGTAGAAATATTTAATTTTTATCTTTTTTATTTTATGATTTTTATTGCACCTGAATCTGTATAAATGTGTAAAAATATTATTTTAATTTGTAAAATATGTTATTGAGTATTTTAATGGTGCTGAATGCGTTGTTTTTATTTGAGTATAGTTATCTTCCCAAGAACTAACAATTTTCATAATACAGTTTCAGCATTGTGCAATAGATTAACTTATATGTAAGGTGTGTAGCGTTTCTGGCTTTATTGGACTATTATTGGTCTAAATTGTGATGTATGCGACGGCTATAATAATATTTCGAAGTTACCAACAGTTTAAAATCTTTTGTTGTGATTATAGATTTGTTTTGTAAGACTGTGTTATCGCAATAAATCGTACAAAATTGAATCAATGATCTAATGCCTTTTTATTCCTCGCCGTAATTCGTAGCGTTATTTTCTGTTTATTAACCGTTAACACATCTGCATTGTCACTATCATTTTCGACTACAGTCACATTGTAAATTTAATACCAGTCAATTTAAAACCACAAAAAAACATAAACCTAATCAAATATTTTAACTCTAGAAGTTTTTTTTAATGAGTGAAGATGAAATGGTAACCCCGCCTGCGCTATCGGTATACATTGACGGGTCACTAATGAGGGATGACAGATGCTGATGAAAGCAGGTCCGTTAGCTCATCATGACAAATTCAACTAGAATTGACTGTGATGATTTTCAGGAGGGACCCCGTGGAGGTCGATCTGAACTCTTCTCCCCAACTCTTAGAAGTTAGTTTATAAAGGTTAGGTAGTTTACAGAATTATGTGATTACAAAAAATACGTTATTGGCTTATTTTTAAGGATGGAGAAGGAGAGTAAATGACATTTGTAATAGGGTTCTACTTCACAGTTACAGTCCTAGGTATATTAGCAACGACTTTTTTCTAGATTCTACTTGATATATTTTTTTTTCCATATTCAAACCATCTTTATTTAAATAGACTGATTTACAAGAATTTATAAATAGTAATTATTTAAAATCTACTACAGGGTTCGGAAAGAAAACTAAAATTACATAGTCATTAAAAAGCCCGTGCATGATCGAGTAACACCATGCACGTTTTCGTTTAATAAGTTTTATTCAATGAGTGTTTTTAAATAACAGTTTTAAATGTATTAAAAGGTAGAAACCAAAATATCCTTTGGTATTTAATGCCGATTTCCATAGAAGACTAAAAATCCCTGACCGCAGGTATCTAGGTAAATAAAAGTTACCAGTTACCAACCTTACTCAATTTAATACTCTGTATAAATGCGCGAGTAGTATTCAAGGGGTAAATTATCGAGTGTCAAAAATGTATATTTCAAAATATATAGGTCTTTCATAGATTTAGGTTTATAGTATGTGATAACAATTTAAACACCATATTAAAACAGTACGTCTATATTGCACTATAACATCTCACTTAGTATTGTACAAAATATGAGATTGGGCTAAAACACAAAATTATTACACAATGCCAATTAAATATCCAGCAGGTGCAATTTACACACAAGAATATTGAAAAAGTTTACAAAAAAAAATAATATAAAAGAAAATCACATACCTAATAGATGCCATGATATATTACTGTAATAGCCAAAGCTGTACAAAAATATTTTTAAACATTTTATACACAGTATCACCAACTAAAAATTTTAGGTACAGAACAGTGAGTGGTTTATTTATATTACGACCAACAGTCTAAACAGTGTATTGCTTGTATAGATTTCATTACAACCTTAAAGTTGGAAAAGTTGGATCTTCAACAACAATAATTTAAGTCATAATTAATTTTAATAATAAACTAATTATATTATTTGTTAATATTTATCTATATACAATTTAAGTGACATATACCATTTACAATATTTAGACTCCAAATTACGCCAGTTAAAACGAAAACATTAAACTCTGTTAAATTTTTAGGGGTTTAACTGGTACAAACAATATTATATGTAAAATAGGTACACCAGTTAAAAATCGTAGGTAGACGCATAATAAAAGTAGCAGTCACTGAGATGTAAATACACAAAATATTATCAAATAATTATTTTGCTTATTAAATATTTACAATAATGTACAATATTTATATTGATCTATATCACTTGTATTTAAAGTATTTATATTTCAGATTTTGAATTAGATTAAATAGATTTGTTCAATTGTTATTATATATTTTCTAGCATTTTAGAGATTAGAAAATTAATAGATTAATCAATGAATAGGTAGATTTCCATATATTGTCTTTACATTTATCATTTATGCCATAAACAATGATAAAATATTAATAATAAAAAAAAAAAATCAGCAGCACCTCGTGCTATACAAGTATCTCATAATCAATTAATATCTTATTATAAATGCTGTTTGTTTATAAACAGATTTTGGGACACAGACAAAAATCTGATGTTATACGTAATTACATTTAGATTAAAATGCGGTTTTAGCTAACAGTGATCTGTTACTTCTGATCAGACTTTATTACATTTTGAAACATATAAAATTATTTACACACACACACACACACACTCACACATTTACGGACGGTCGGTATAGCTAAAAATAATAAGATAAGAAATACTTTAATAATGCGAAGACTGGAGTCTAAATTTATTAATATTCGAAAATTCATAATGTGGAAGGCCAAATATACTCTAGTCCTAATATGAAAAATAACTATATTGCTACTGAAATAAAACTGGATATCATAAAAAAAAAAAACATGACAATCTGTCTAAATCTAATTATTTTTTATCGAAATTCGAGTAATTTATAGTCACTTTATTTTATATGAGTCTGATGATAATTTAATGAACTATGTAGTAAGCAAAATGGGAACATTTATAATGATAAATGTAAATCAGTCAACAAAAATGACTAGAAAATATTATTTATGTATTTTGTTAATAATTATATTCTGTTACACTGATTATTGTATGATGTTAAGTTCTAAATGTGAATTGTTTGTTTACTTTATAGAGACCTTTGTTACAGATACTGTCAATTAACTTGAAAACAAATTTGATAATATGACCTGCATAGTCACTTACAAAAGCATCTACAACGTAGGGTTTATAATGTATGATTTTGTTAAAGTTCAACAAATAAAAAAAAAAGTAATATTAAAATACTATCAAATACTTCTAAAACCTTCCATTACTATTCTATCGAAGGCCCATTAATATCTTTGAAAGATTAACAGTATCTAATGAGAAATTATTATATAATGGACGATGGTAAATTTGAGGTTTACAAAACTCTTATATACTATAAATAAATAAATACTAATACGGACAACACAAAATTACACTAATTTATACATAAAAATCCACACAAATTATAACTAATTATAATTTAGTTTTACAAAATAGCCGTTTGGTGTGTGCATTTTCGCTGTGGTTTATTTCATGTTTATTTTTTTTTTATTTTGGTGTTAGAAGTAAAGTATTCGCTTTTACGTCGCATTTATTCAACTAGTCACACTATACAGAAATATGTGTCTAGTTAGCAATATATAATGAAGCTCTGAGAAATCCACAACCATAAATAAGTAATATAAAGCCGAGAACACTATCAGTTTAAGTATTTTACACTTATACAAAATAATATCCAATTTGTTTTGTTGAAATAATGCAAAATTAATAAAATCGAATTTCTGTGAGATGGAATCACGAAAATAATTATTGGCATTTAACTGGAGTGCTAACTTTACTGCAGTACCAACAACATATACATATCTGACATTTGAAAAAAATATATTACATCACTTGCTCTAACATTATTTGTGGGTGTTAATCGCCGCCTTACATGGCGTCGCTTGGAGCGTTATACATTTTTATGTTCCGTTATGGTTAACGTTGCTATTGTTAATAACATTAGAACCGCGCAGCGATACATTTTAATTCAGAAATAATTGTATTCTGTGTCTCATTCAAGTTCTTCTATAAAATATATAAAGTACGGAAATTTTAGTAACTGTCAAATTGACATTTCAAAATCAAGTTATAAATTATTACATTAAAAATAGTAGATTGTATCATGGAACATTCAAAACATTGTAAAATATTTATATTGCACCAGTGGTTTTGGTAATTTTACTGTATGCACATGTCAAATTTCATTAGCTATAATTATAAACAAAGTCATTGCATAATACAAATATAATTTATATATATATATATAATTTATATATATATAGATACGGTATTAAATAATTTGAGCAAAATCGTCATATACAAGAAATAAATAATCATGTAAATACATGTACAACAAAGTATGCTTTCGTATTGTTCGTATTGACATTCAAAAGCTTGCATTGTTATATAAAAATAAAAAAAAATGCTTATTACATGTATGATAAAAAATATTAAATTCAAATATAAAAAATTATATATATATAATTTTTAGTAAAGACTGACTTGGTTTGTGTGTTAATATAATATCATAAGAACCTTTAAATGAATGCACCACACCTCTATTTTATTAATTTCACTAGTGCATTGTCACTGGTGTAAAATATGAAACTTACTGAAAAATAAAATAAGTGCCAGTAAATATAACAATATTACAAGGTGATTCTATTTATTACTCTATCCTCCACGAAAATTCTAAAGGCCACATTTGTATGTAAATGAGCTCTACTATCTATCTAGACGAAACATTAGGTGGTCACACAGTAGGTGACCATGCACCGTTCAACTTGACTATAAAACATTTGAGCATATCTCGCGCTCATACTACCCGTGCAGTCAAATGGCATCTGCCACCAGCTACTTAAAAGAGAATAATAATTCTTTAGGTATGGTAACTTATCACGTTCATACCTTTTCATAAAATACAATTTATATGAAGTTCCCTTGGCTTTTGTCATATATATTTATTATAGATTAAGCCATTTTATTCTGCTATTTTTAAATCTTGTAAATGTTTAATATACTGTGGCATATTCACATCTGTAACGTGCATGTAATGCTTTTTGGATTATAATCTATTTTTTTTACTGATTTATTTGGTAAACAATCTCGACATGTGTCCTTTTACTAAAATAGTAATATTACTTAAGATATTTTTCTACTAAAAGCGGTGAAGAGTTGGCGTGTTAGTATACACAAAAAATACTATTAACCTCATTTTCCAAGGCTGTCAGATTATATATATATATATATATATACATACAGTTAAAGGGTATGCCAAGATTGTTCACTACTTAAGACAAGTAAGAAAAAAACAGATTGCAAACAATATATTCTTATTCTATAATGAGGCATCTCGGCAGGTGTTCATGAAGGTAGTCAAAAAGCTCAGGTGACGCTCCGGGGCAATTTGTAAGCTCTAGTTCACGCAGTTGTCTCAGTTGTATGAGACTAGAGAGACCACCAGATGTTAAAAGCGGACATCCTAAAAAAATTAATAAATCATAACTGAACCTGACGTTTGGCTACATTAAAAAAAAAAAAGGTCCACAGATAAAAATTATATACAAAAAATGTATAAAATACGCGAGATTTCGAGATTGTGTTGTATAGGAATTCATATTTGTGCCTTAGACTTTATTTTACTGCATATTTTGGATGATAATTTATAATTTTACAGTGTAAGGAATGAATTGCGTATTTTTACATTATTTTTCATTCTTATTTAGTCGCGATTGTATTCGTGTGACCGTGATAAAAATACTAAGTGTTACATGTATATAAAATTTGAAGAATGGTACAAGCATGAAAATGCTAAGAGGTAAAAACAAATTCAACTTTACATAATACTAGTAAGAACGAAATATCTAAAATGAACAAAGATAACTGGAAACAATTTTGTGACAATAAATTACTTAGCAAATTTATTTTACTTTATTTTCTATAATAGTCGTATTTTTCTGAATATTTTTATATACTGTAGAATTATTGATCACAAAACAAAACACCTTTCAGTAAACTTACCAGCCAGAGATAAAAGTTGTAGTGATCGCATGCCACAGAGATGTTGCACGCCGAAGTCACGTAACTGTGAGCACCAACGCAAAAACAATGCCACTAGTGACTGCATGGTACTGATATACCCTATGCCTATATCTGTTATGTGTACACATCTGCAAAAAATAGACGATAATAAAAAAAAAAAAAAACTGTATAAGGATGTTATTAAGATTGCTGTGCTGTCAAATTGGATGGTTATCAATACACTTTAATACATATATATGCTAATATTTAACTTAATTGTGACAAGAGAGTGGGGCAACGGTTTGCTGTAGTTCAGGGTAGGGAAGGCACTCAACGGATTTGTTTAGCACTTGTCTTGGGGGTTTGATTTTAGAAAGTATGAATAAATGTACGCTGCGACCTGAACACTTTTAAATTACCCAATCTACCTGCAGATGGTTGTGGTGTTGGCATAGATTATTACTACGATGGCACCTGCATGTTGAGAAACTCACTTTCTATATTTATACAAACTTTTTGCCCGCTTCTGTGTACGCGCTGATTCCAGGCCTGGGATAACTACAAGTTTCATCTCACAGAAACACCCACTACAATTGTTATTTTGATTTAAAAATTATACTACTGAGCCAATCTTTTCTGCCAACTTCAAAAAGAATGAGGTTTTTAATTCGATTGTTTTTTCTGTTTCTTACAGTCTCCTCCTACATCCGTTCCAAACTGATATGGAAAGTTCTTTTTTTTATCTAAAAGGATATACTTATAAATTAGTTCCATAGAAATTTTATCAAAATCAGTTCCATAGTTTAGTTTTCGATCAAAAATTACTAGTTTTGTCACAATTGAAGTTTTTTTTTTTGTGAATCTGTACTTATCTTAGGACAGGAATGCACGGGTGAGAAGTAGTGAGCTAAAAGCTAGTATAAATAATGAAATATGAGTTACTCAACATGCACATGACAATGAAATAATAATCTGTACCACCACTTTTCACATACATTTTTTTAATGTTCCTGACCTTTTGGGGCTCATAAATCGGTGTAGTAAAATACTAGGCTATGATGTTCTCTTATCAACAAAGTAATATATAATAATTACCTGTCAAGTGTTAATTCCTCCAGGTGATTAAGATCACATGCGATGTACTCGAGCGCATTGTCGGTGACTCGTGGACACCAGCTAAGGTCGAGGCTCCTCAACCGCGGTAAATTCTCGGCAAGTAGCTCAACTCCTTCGTCCGTCACCTTACTGCACCCGCTCAGCGACAATACCGTTAAGTTTGGCAATGAGTGCACTGTAAACACAAATAAATTATAATTTAAGAGGGTTTAAACATTAGAAAGCTGGCAATATCTGCATGGAATGCCAAAATGAAAACAATTTTATAATTCAATGAGAATTCAAAAAGTGATCTTAAAATAAACTAAAATGTTAATTATGTACTGGATGATAAAAAAAAGTACCTATTTACAAACTTAAAAGCATAGATAATATAAAATGGACACGAAGTTTTAATGTTTTATGGCAATACAAATTATTAAAAGTTCCGAAGTATTAAACATTATTAAATTGTTTTGAAAATTAATGGAGATTACGCCACTTTAAGACATTAATTCACTTATTGTGCGAACAAAAAAAAATTGAAGTTTTTAAATTATGTGAATATATCTAAACATAGAAGAGAAGAAGGGAGGGATTGTTAATAATAGAGACTAAGGGTCTCATTGCTAGCAGTATACCCAACCAGGTCGGCATCCACGTAGTCCCTTCTGGAAACCATCATAGTTAACTCTAGTTGAATTCATCATAATGAGCTAACCGACCTGCTTTCATTCGCATCTGTCATCTCTCACTGGTGGCCCGCTAGTGTATGCCGATAGCGCAGGCGGAATTACTATTCCATCGTCACCCATTTAAAAAAAAACCATAGCACAGAGCCCCTCTCTGTGTGCAAGTAGTCACGGTTACTATCTATCAGTAAGGTGAAGGTCTAATATGAGTAATAAGTAATAGAAGTATAATAATGTATTATCTTGAAGCAAGCTACCAAGCTACATTTAATATTCCTGGAAAGATTGCTTAGCAATAAGACCGCCTTTTGTACTACACTATATGTATTGAAAATTGTTCAACAAATCCTGTTATGTTGGTGCAATAAAGTATTAAATAAATAAATAAAATTCCTTTCATTAAACTCTATACAACATAGGTTGGTGTCATTTGATATTTGTCCATATACAGGTACTTATATTTATAACTTATATTATTTATAACTTAAGTCGTAAGGGCAGTACTTAAATAAACACTGAGCTATAGTTTCTTCATAAGCAAAACAGTCTAAAGATAACCCTTCTGAGTTCAGTTTAATTGTGTCAAGTGATATACAGGGTTGTAGAAGTATACCTTTGTTGGCACATACATATATTCGTGTCAAGTATGTACTTTCTCAAATGTACTATATGACAAAACCTTCCCGTTGTAACTCAGCTCCTACAATATATTTATATTCATGGTCATGGGTGTGTCTGTTTCTATTGGTTTATATGTAACACATGTATGTAAAAAATGTAAGTATATACATAGTACAAATTTTGTTTAGTATAGATGGGCGCTGTACGATAAGTGTGACACTATTTGTTATTATTATTCAATAAAAATTATAATTATGCAAATTAGAAACATTACAAAAAATAAATAATAATCAATACTTACATATAACACTGCATGTATGAGACGAGTTATGAATGTGTAGGAAACAAGAGGTATATAGGTATATAATGTAATGTAAGAATTTCTGTTTCTGTCTATGCTGCAAGGGGTTTATATACATGAAGATAAATAGAATGTTAATTACCAATATTAACAACACCATGATTGGTAAGTTCCCAACAGCTGTGGAGTCTGAGGACGCTTAGCGAAGCACTTTGCTTGGGTGAGAAATATCCAAGTGCAGCATCAGTCACGTGGTACGCTTGCAAAGAGAACTCGTACAAAGAAGGTAGTAGTTGCGCCACTGCGCCCACCTGCGAGCCATTATATTTTATTAATTTTCAGACATAAAAATAGATTCAATTAGTGTTCAGGTCCTCCAATATATCCTTAGTATTTGGTATTAAAATTCATAGTTAAATTATATTTGTTATCAATAAATAAATTACCATTTATTTATTGATAATGATTTATACTAATGCTATTTTATTCTTATATCAGTTACTTAAATAATTGAGTGACATCAATAATAAGCATTTTTAATACAGTTTCTAGATAGCAAACAGCAGGGATTTATAAATATTACCTTAATTTAATTAGTAGTAAGGTAATGGTATCCTTGAATAGTAACATTATGAGCCATACTGCATTGTACATGATTAGAATTAATTTATTCAAATTATATCATGACCACAGTGTCATAATTCTTACTTTGATCGCATTTTATAACTTTTAAAACTACACATCCAGATTTTTAATTCCTTGGAGACTACTTCATACAAAATATACATTAATACTTACAGCTTCGTCAGCAATGTTAATGCAGTCAGTAAGCGTGAGTGAGACAATTCGTGGAGTTAGACATGCCCATAGACCAGCCTCTGTTATTTCATTGCATCCCGTTAATTCTAATTCAAAAAGAACCTAAAAATGAATGAGTATTAGGTAAAATGAAAACCATGACAAAATTTTAAGATGTCAACTAAATGATATAACAAACCTGCAAGTGATCCAATATAGCTTCTAACCCTCTATCTGTTATGGTGCATCCTTTTAAGCTGATAGCGTGCACATGGTGAGCTGATAGAGGAAACTGTCTTATGAATTCATTAATATCATCATCCGTTGCCGAAACTAATACAACCCCACGAATACCTCTCCTAATTAATGAATTATAGAACCTTTGCATGCAACAACCGGTTGATGAACGAAGTTCGCGACAGTCGAGCACCGAAACGAGCCCGGTCCACCAGCGCGGCGACGAGTATAGCACATCTCGCCATTTAGTGCACACTTGCGATAGTGTTCGCCTGTCACTCGCGTTGAAGTACAAAAAGAACTTCTCGAGGAACCTTTCTTCTAGAATAAATTGACTCCACACTAGAGGTCTCGGTGAGGGTCGACGACGGCGAGGAACACGCGGAGCGCTTGCTGCAACAGCCGGTCCACATAGCGCGTTTGCGACGCGTTCGACCACGCCAGGCGAACGCTTGCGACCGCGCAGCCCCAGGCCCGTGATGCGGCGCGATAGCTCCGCGGATGCGCGCTCCACCACGCCCTGAGCCGACACCGATGACATCTTCACCTTGACACGGCGAATGGTGTCTGCCGGCCGCCCGCCGCCTGGCCCTGCGCCACCCGATCCGTGCTCACAACCCGCCACTGCGCTACTATATAAAATAAATGACAGTGTTAATAACAAATATTGTAAAATAAATATTTAAACAGTTTAGTTTCCTTTAAAAAATAGTTTTTATAAAGACCCCATAACTAGCATACCATATAACTATATTTCCTATAAATCATTTATTAAACATGTCCAGATGTCCAGAATAACAGTGCAGAGAATGCAAAGAAGATGATGCACATATTGTGCATCTCTAAGTTATCATATATTTAATGTATTTCAAAGGGCTGCACTGCAATACCACTTTCAAATTATAAAATGTTTGATTAGATACCAAATGATTATCAAGGCGAGTACAAAGTAGATGAGATAATCAGCAACATTCCTTATAAGTCCTCCTATAAGAGATAACTAAGACATATGCTATTTAGGCTATTACATTTAGTGTATTTTATATTATTAGTTTTTTATTAAATTTTGAAAATTTTTTTTCCAGTAGAATTGTATGTAAAAGAGTCTTCTATAATGCACATTTATAAATAGTATATTCACTTACTTAATAATATAGGTATTCAACTAAATTTGCTGACTAAATACGTTAAGGAATTTTGACAACATAAGATAGTAGTGTTCAAAATTTTGCATATTAATTATATAGATTTAATAATTTTTTATTTTAAATATAATTTATTTGATTTAAAAATTGTAGCATTTTTGGATTTTGACAAAAAAGATGACAGGTGTAAGCAGGTTTATATATTTTCAATGTATTTGAGTATGCAACTATCTTTATTCTTCTCAAATTAATTAAATTGAAAACAGTACCTAGTAATGTTCCTTAGTTGTTTTATAATTGTATAAACTGCAGTGTATCTTATATAAATTAAATATTAATGTTTCTTAAATTAACTTATAGAGTCCTTTTATAATTTACTACAACAGGGCACAATATCTTATAATCTTATTTATGATCATGATATTATAACAGAAAAATAAAATACACCTATCCCCCGATTTACACGGTAGATATGTTCCTGAGAAAAACGTGTAAATCGAAAATTAAAAATTTTCAAGTCATAACCGTGTAATTCGAAAAGCTTGCAGAAAATGCATAATTTTGCTATTTAACAGTTGTGATTTTTTTCAATATTTTTAGATGTACATAGAAATAAAAATAAAAATTTTCATTTGTTCTAATAGTTCTTATTGTAGCTTCGTTCATGTTATATGATTTTGCAACATCTACTACTCTATCTCCCTTTCGTAAGCGATCCAAAATTTCGATTTTAGTTTCTAAAGAAATAACTTTTCTTTTAACTTCTTTCGACATTATAAGCCTATAATTTTTTTTAATTTATGTTAATTTATAAAAATCTTAATTATGCACTCACTTGTAATTTACGAATATGAAAAATTAAATCTTTCTGACACTGTGAAACTTTCACTCAAATACAATTTTCCGTAGATAAAACTTTAATTTTATGCGAAGAAATACAGACACAGTGTGCATGTGCAGCAAATCAGCACATAAGCTCGGGATTCCCCGTGAGATGTGTACACAGCGCACATGTTCAAACACAGTAGCATTTAGTAGAGTGCGATAAAAAAAAAAAAAAAAACTTATTTGGAAAACCGTGTAAAATCGAAAACGTGTAAAACAAGTACCGTGTAAATCGGGGGATAGGTGTATATGGAATTATACAGAGATAGTATAGTGTGGTGTCGTTATGATATAAAAAAAGGTTCATTGTTTTTTACAAATTGTAGTACTATATATCTGAAGAAATATGGCACATATTGATGGCCCTGTTAAATCAAAGTGGACTTGATCCTTGAATTAAATACAGCAGTATAGTTTGTATCATATTTTTCTTAGAAATTGACATAGCCAAGTGAGTTATGCAATACAATATATATATATATTAATACTAAATTGACAGACAAAAAGTAGAAGATTCCTTCAAGACAGTATTCAGTCCCTTTAATAAATTTCTCCACAAATATTGAGAATATTATATATCAATAATTTATGTAAAATACCTGAAGCTTTTTTTCTATTTTACTAGGTAGTACATAGTTACATGAGTCGTTTTTTCACAACTTTAGCATGAAATAGTAGATTTTACGTGGATTAAATTTTTTATAAGAAAAATAAAGATATGCAAAAAACATAAATGAAATTACAATTAACAAATTATATGTGTTAAAAATACGTCAACGGTTAATCTATATCTGCAAATACAATTCAATGTAAAACCTGAAAAAGATTTCATTTAAAATCAGTGCTTGGCGTGTGTGACATAAAAAATCAATGATAGTCCATACAAACCTTTGTATAATTGACTGGATATAGGAGCACCATTTTTGTTATCATGTGTATTAACGCACTTATATTCTTGCAAGATATCAATATTCACCATCAAAGTAGAAAAATTATCACTTTTAAATAAAAAAGATTATTTAGATTACATATATTATAGAAGAACTATGGGTAATTGGTAATTTGGAACAGTAATTCGTGCTATTAAAAAAGTCCGTATTTATTGGAAAATTGTTTATTCTTTTCAAGCTTCTTTTATAAAATGTACGTTTGTACGAATGAGATAGAAAGAAATCTGTTAAGCCTTACTATCAACTATTTAATTTGATGTCCTTACAATCCCAAAAATCTCAATATTGTTCTGATCAGGCCCTCTTCACTTTCAATAAAAAAAAATTGTATTTTACTAGGTAACCGTTCAATTATCTTGACAATTTTACGACATAAAGTATTTAGATCTTTTATAACTCCTATCGATATCGATCTTAAAAAAATATATTAGAAATAGTTGTAGTACACAAAAAAATCTTCATTTATAATATTATATTGATACTTCTAGTTGGTTGCAAAGAATGTTTTTGAGTTTTGTTGATATAAGGACAGTGGTAACTCTTCAGCAATGTAGAGATTACATATTTTTACATTTTTTTTGTGATTCTAATTTAGAGTAGCAGACATAATCTGTTGTCAACGGATATATTAAGAATAGCAATTCGCAGGTTGCAATTTATTTCTTACAATTTTCAATTTGTTTGCACTTGCAGAAAAGTTGTATTAAGCAACATCATTGTTTCGAAATCACTAGATAAAACAGCGCCATTTACAAACTAGTGGCAATAGCAAAAGTTTATATAAAAAAAACTGAACCTACAACAGTAATTTTAGTTTAAAAATTGCTCTGTAATATAAACAAAATGTATACCAAATAAAAGAAAATTACAGCTAATCTCTATTTTATTATACGTATAATGTTGAATAGATAAAATTGTGTTACAATAATAAAATGTGGAAAATAAAATTTACGTATAGTAATTTGGATATATTTTCGAAAGTTTTGGTATTTATAAACCTTTGTTGTAAACCATATACCATACCATATAATCTACAATAAATGGCAATGAAAGTTAAAATCGTACCAATGTTATGTATATAGTAATGTATTTATAATTGGGGGAGAAGTAAAAAATTAGATCTGGCTATACTGATTATCTACTGTCACTGTCACTATCAGAGTTCTATGTAACCATAAATTTACTTTACAGATTAGAGAAACTATGTCTAAAGAATTGGCTTATAAATTCAAATTCACACAATACTTATACTCTACGTTCAAATTATTTCGATCTATTTACCTATTTTAGAACATTTTGGTTATTTTCTTGGAGCATTAAAACATATTTATTTGTTGCCCAATAAAAAAAAAACTTGTTTGTAACCTATTCTTTGTTGTGGTTTTGTTAAAGTTCAAATTGAACCATGGAGTTTGCTGAAGCAATACCGGTGACTTTTAAAGAAATAACTCCAAATCATAATATTCCTGAAAAATGGAAGGAAATAGTTTTAAATACAGGTACCTCAAACAAATCTGTTATTTATTACAAAATTCTTAGGGTACTCACCCAAAGCTTGCGTATGTCTATAAATGTACATGTGTCTATAAACATTTGTCCATTTATTTATCTTTCTAGATATAAAATGATAATTTTGAGTAATAGAAATTAATTTGAGGAAAAGAGGATAGTACTTAAATATACTTCATGTTCAAGTACTGACCTAATAATATTAATTTTCTTGCTAGTTATTTGAAGGGAAGTTGACATGCTGCTGCATCATTTAGTGATAACCTTAAGCAATAAATGGATAGCTTCAAAACCCTCTCCATGACAAAATATATATGCCAACTTTCACAGTTATTGGTCCAAGGGTAATAGGAGTCAATTAATCTCAAATATATATACCAACTTCCATTTTATACATAAGTATATTTCAGGGGAGTTAAACTTTAGAGAACTTAGAAACTTTAAAGAACTAAAACCATGTAATATATTTTGTTAATAGGTGGTACTCACAGTACTTTGCAAGACATCAAGTTATCTCAAAAAGGTGGTGGATATTGGTACAAAGATTCAATTAAGGCCAATACGAGAAATCGATTCTTATACTGGTATGTACTTGCAGTGCTATTTCTCTAGATATTTAGTTCTTTTATAATTTTATTTAATTCAATTTAAAAGATTAGCTGTAGAAGTGTCTACTTTCTCCCTAGTATTTAACTTTAATTTAGAAATAGTGCCTCTTATATTTTTTTTACATGAAGAAATTAAATAAATGCATATATAGTAATAGAATGCAACTGATTTGTAGAAATATGTATAAAATATTTTTAAAATTTTAGCTTTCATAAATATATAATAATTTAATAGTTCATTATTTAAATGGAGTTCTGTTTGCTTCAACTTGGAATGTCTCACATCAAGAAGGCATTTTTATATTTTCCATGATCCTCTAGACAAACATACAACAGATATACTTATGATATAGTAGTTAAGGAAGGCAGCTTCCACTTATCCTAATGTAATCATTGCCAAGGCTCACTAAATTGAAGCTACAGAAAAACAAGTAAGACTACTAGTAGTTAATAAAAATAGATTATACCTATATACAAAACTACTTCCAGGCAAACAACATCAGATGCTATAGAACTATCAGAGGCATCCCTAGATGTAAATCTATCAGGTTCTAATTTAAGGTGCAAAGTGGCACCTGGCACTCCTCCACTGAGTAATATTACAGCATATGAAAGACCTGCTTACAGAGAGGTTGTCATATTAGCTGCAACAGTCTCATCAGTTCATAGATTAATCTTTCCACATCCAGAAAGTTTTGATAAAAAGGTAAAGTACTGATTGTGCAATTTATTAGTGTTTTTTTTATAGATTGTAATAAAAAAATATATGCAAATGTATATGAGTCATCATTATCACATAAGCCTTTAGCTTTAGTTGCCTCTTACGACACCCACGAGAAAGAAAGAGGTGGCCCAGTAAATGCCTGGACCAGATGGTGAATATATATGAGTAGCTATCATTTTGATTTGAATGCAAAAATCACAAAGAACACAAGGCAGACACATTTTTTAATTATATTCTACAAATAGCTTTTTGTCCACTACTTCGTACATGTAGATTACAAAAGTTTCCTACTATTGTAATTACATGTATGTAGTTGGTAACCAGAGAAATATACCACTTCTAGATGACATATAAAACCTACACCAGGGTTTAAGTTAAATTTATAGAAACACAACTTGATTGAATTTCATGCAATAGTTTTTGCATTATGGTGCTGGAACAAACATACAAACAGATGACATTTAAATATTATAAAAATATTGTTGTGTCATATATTGGTCTCATTAAGAGAGTCTACATATTTTAATTTTTTTAATATCTCCTACGTGTAGACATCTACTTACAACTTTATTATATTATTAATATTTGATCAATGCCAATGCTACAAGCAAACTGCCCCCTCTTCAAAGCTGAGATATATATAATCAATCAATGATATATCAATTTCCATCTTATGTTTTATTTTGGTAAAAATAATTCTTCCAATATTTGAGTATAGATATGATGATATTTATGATTGATGATTATATTTTACATTTCAGTCAACTTTTGGATCAATGAGCACATCATCACCTTCAATATTTCATGATACCAGTCTTGTGAATAATCCTAATAATTATTATATTTTAAATCAATATTCAAATGCAAGTAAGTATTGATATATATGTAATAAAAAATATTGAATTACATGTATTTTAGTTAAGAATGCTTGACTAGTTTTGGGTTCATCCGGGACCCTTTGTTATAATATTACACACAAGTCATGTGGTTATTCTTACATTAAAATACAATATGTACTTATAAAATTTTCCAAAGTTTAGTTAGTTTTAGAAATTTATAAAAAATTCTAGGCATGATAAACAATGACTTTAAAATTTATTATTAAACTTTACAATTCATCATTAACATATTGTATACTGAACAATAAAATGTTGATGAAATCTTTATATTATTTAACTTTTGCTTAAATTATTACCTTTACATACATTATTATATATAATGAGGTGTTATTATCTATATTCATACTTGTAAGCCTTTATACAATATTTTTTCTTACAGCTACGGGAGTAGCACACACGTGTGCCTCCTTGTTGCGTGATACAGGAGAAGCTGTTTTTGCTCTGGCATTTGGTTATGGAGGAGAGGGCGGATTATTGCTTGTGAAACTACCTGTATCAGGTACAGCGGTCACCACTGTTCTTAAAAGGGAGTCTGCAGTGCCAAGATTCTTATCTGGAATTACTGGAGCATTGAGGTATGTCTCAAAAAAATAATAATATTTATATAGTTGGGCCATTTCAGTTTTTATTACTCAACTATGGAGAAGCAAAAAGGTTATAAGGTAGATTTTGATAGATATGTATGTTCATCTGTTCCCTCATAACTTCTATCATATCTTATCATAATTTGATAAATGTTTAAATGTTTCATGAAAGTTTTTTGATTATCTGCTGGTTAGGATATATATGTAATTATTTAAAGATGCTCAAAGATCTTACTCATTCTTCAGCTAGATTTTTAAATGTTTCTTAAATGAATTTATCACAAAGAAATAAAAACTGGAACTATTTATTAAAATATGTATTTAACTTTATCATTAGGGGTAAAAGTGGCGCAGATGGTGTAGAAACTTATGGAGTGGCACTCACAAACAGTTTTGCAATTGCGGTGTGTGGGGACACGTGTCTTCGAGCTTGGTCTTTGGATGATGGCGGCGCACCTGTGGTTGTGTCCTCGCCGCTTTCTCAAACTTTAGTCAGGCCTAAACCACCTCGTAAGCATTGTTCTTTTTTTATTGTAAATGATTTGACATAATATAAAATATTTATTATTAAGTGTGGCTCTGTCCACATAAATCAGTCAGTACATAAAGTATTCTATGTTCTAAGTTATATATATTTATTTGAATTATATATATATATATAAAAATAATATATATAAAACTACATAAAAGTCTAGAATACTGTTTGAATTATTCTTTTATAAAAGAAATAATAGTAGTAGATTGTCTGAGCGGTTTCATAATTGAAACAAACAGGCACGCGAATTCAGTGCGTTTCTGACATATGTACTTATAGTATGCATGAATAAAAAAATGCTATCTTTTTTTATAACATGGAGTCCAGTTGGGACTGAGGTGGTCAAAGGTTAATATGAATGTTAATAATATATATTTTTGTTACAGCTCATGGTCACATGTTACAGAAGACGACTGGCTCTGATGGCAGTATCATATTAGTAGCATACTTATCTTTTCCAAATGAATGTGAATTTGTGGTTCTCAAAATGCTCGACGGTGTAGCAGGAACTGTGAAGTTCTCAAATATTTGCCGCCTCTTCGGGCCACAGGTAAATCGTAATAAAGTATAATTAAAAAAAAAAGAAATAAAAACTGATTGTAATTGAGACAAAACCAAGTATTTTGATTTAAAAACTAAACTACTGAACTGATTTCGATAAAATTTCTATGAGACCAATCTGTAAATATATTCTTTCAGGCAAAAAATAATTTTTCAAAACAGAATAGAATTGACGGAGTTATGAGGTAACAAACATAAAAAATACAACCAAATTGAGAACCTTATTCTTTTTGAAATTGTTTGATAAAATTAAGAAGTGTTTCTCGTTCTGAAATTTTGTTTAATGTAAAATAAGATTTTACTTATACATTCTAATTACAGATGGATCTGCTGGATTATGCAATCGGATATGGCGATGGGACCAATGTCATCTGGGCGCTATGGAGTCAATCCGATGGAGAGACAGTTATAACTAGTGAGTATGGAATATTTATTACTGAGGCTGGAAATAAAGCAAAGTTGTATGTATGCAGGCAACGAACGCTACTCAGTAGCCCAAAGTATTGTAATAGTATGCATGTTATGTTGCATCAATGCTGATACGCACATATGTGTGATACGCACATATGTTTATAAAGCAGAACCAAGCTCAGTATATGTACTGAGCTTGGTTCTGCTCTATAAAGCCTATCCCTTTGGTATGCCTATAGGCAACGGTTACCAATTTCCATCAGGTGGGCCGTCTGCTTGTTTGCAATTCTAGTTCAATAAAAAAAAAAAGATTATATAGATAGAGTACCGAGTGTCAAAAACGAGACAAAATTTTGTCAGTTGGTCAATAGCTAACACGTACTTTTTTTTTTCACATTTCTTTCAGTGTTGCAAGTAATTAGATTAAAATTTTTCCAAATCGACTTACATATTAATATACAGGTATCAACTAAAATGTCGGCCATTTTCAATAATTTAAAAACGAAAATCATATTTCATGTTATATTACGATACGAATCATTACGCACTGTTTATGTTGCTTTTCAAATACATTATAGTATGTTACCATATTCACGCACACGGCAAAAAGTTGACCTATGTTAGGCGAAACGTGTGTATGGAGACACTCTATGTATGTGCTTAATGTAAGCGTGAAGTGTAAGAAGGTGTCCGTGCGCGTGCGCAGGCAGCGGCGTGGGCGCGGCGGCGGGGTGGCGCGCGGCGGCGGCGCGCGCGGCGGCGGGCGCGCTGGCGCCGCAGCCGTCGCACCGCCACTACCGCGACCGCCTGCTCGCGCCCGCGCTCTTCCCGCCCGCCGTCATCAGGAAGGCGCTCGCGGTCAGTATCGCGCTACACGCTATATTATCACAGGCTTTTAGAGACCACGATATATACTATATATTGATCGATCGAGCGAAGTAATAGGATATATAAATTCTTATATAGCCTATTTTTATTACCCTACCACTCAATTAGGAATGCAAGTGCTTTTTTCCAAATAAAACTTAAGTTTACAACAAAAATGTGAATGGGTAAAATGACGAACTTCATATTGTTATAAAGAAAGAAAATAAAATATACAATCAATCATAGCATTCTTAAACAGAGCAGGCCCTATTAGAATAAGTATATAGACTAATTTCTGTAGTAAAAAAGGCTCCACACCAAATGTTGTGTTAACAGTTAAAAATTTTTATACTGTTTTTTAACGACAGGTATTTCCCTCTCTTTTACGCTAATTAATTATTTTTTAACGATATCACTTAGCAGATTTATAAGTAGAAGTCGGTTAATTATAAGTATTCATATTCTTCTATTTAAAGATATACCGACGTACGTGGGGTGGAAACGAGACGTCCCTCGACGGAGACCTGGGCGAGTCTGCGATTAACGCAGTACAGGCGCGAATACAGCACCTGACCGCTCGATCCGGATCTACCGATCAATCTCATCTTATGCACAAGTCAGTACAGTTTAGTTTTCGATCATAACAGATAAACACTCCGGAGTTTTAGTATGGAGGCTCAAATTTGTTTCTTTTTTTATCTATGTTTAGAAATAATCAGTTTCAACAGTAGCAATTCGCAAGTAATAGTTATTAATTAATTACTAATTGTTGTCTTAGATGCTGGTCAGATTTATACAGTTGGTGTATGCAGTATATGGAGGGCTTACAGAAACCGCTGGGTATTATAGTGTCTAATCATGTAAGTAACTAAATATGTAAGCATATAAAATAAAATGTGATATGAAATTTATAGTTTAAGTTAAATAAAATGCATTTTAATATAATATTGTATGTATATGTACAGAATTTAATTATCTATACATTTATTTTTGTCAATTATTTATCACTATAATTGTATAAAAGAAAGTTATATTTATTTTATAATAATTATAATGTTGTAGGCTACTGACATTGAAAGCGGTTGGTGGTGCGCAGTCGTTCGTCGCGCCGGAATTTCGCTTGTACGCGAATTAGAGCCCCTTGAAAAGTTGATGCTCTCACCTGATACATCTTTAGTTGACGCTGGAGTAGGTAAGTTGTAGAGATATATGTTCTTTAACATAGAAAAAGGTAAAAGTACAGTTTACTAATATCCTCTTAATTACATTCCTTCGTATCAAACAGATATTTTTTATGCAATTTGCCTCTGGCAAATCTTTTTATGTATGGAAGTGTTCTTCTTCAAGTGCCGAAGTCTTCACGGTGATGTGCTCTTATATCCTTTGTTTTTATTATATACTATTGTTTTATGCTAAGTCATATCTAACGTCTTTATCTTATTATAAAAAAAAAATTATCTCACAATATTCGAAATCGCCAAATTGATTTTAATTATATTTTGCAAATGTATATTGTTTTATCTAACTTGAGAGATACAATAGTTTGTATCTTAACGAGAAAAAATCCATCCACTAAGGGGAAAATAACGTTTACCGGACTGGCTAGTCAGTGGAGAGTTCAGGTGTACGTCGAAAATCAGTTATGCTCACTACAGCTAATGCTGAGCTTGATACCTCTGTGCATGCTTTGTTATACAAAATAAATTGTTTATTGTAGTATTAAGAATACGAATGTGTAAAGGTAATACATCCAACTATAATCCAATTTATATTCTGAGAAACTATTAGAAAACTGGTTATAAAAAAAAGGAATATTGTTGTTGTTAAATTAATCGCTATGTATTTTTTTTTAAGCGCAATAAAGAATATATATATGATATTGTGTACGTATCAGATTGCGAGCGTACGAGCGAGCTGTCGCTGTCGGCGGAGGCAGTGCGCGTGGTGGCGGCGGGCGCGCGGTGGGAGCGCGCGGCGGGCGGCGGGTGTGCGGGGGCGGGGGCGGGGGCGGCGGGCGGCGCGGCCGAGCTGGAGCGGCGGCTGTTCGCCAGCAACGCGCCGCAGCACCGCCTGCTGCCGCGCCTGCTGCACCTGCTGCTCGCCGCGCCGCTCTCCACTGACGGCGCCGCCGAAGCCCAGCACCCGGTAAATGTACACTCGTTACGAGCGCTCCTAACAAAATATGACAATGTCGCATTTGTTTATTTATGAAGTTAACAAACTGTCATACAATGTATTACATTTAAGTATAATTCATTGTACCACCAACGACGTTAGATTACTATATAAAAAGAAAATAGATACATAAACATGCAAAGCTAAGAAGTGGATTTCCATTTCTTAATAACGATCAGCTATCATTATTATCTATTCATTAAATTATATTGACCAAATATTAACACAACAATAACGTTATCGGTATTAATTATTATACAATAGGGATACAAAGAGGGATTTAAAAATATATCTATTTTAATATTTACAAATTGTGTACGTACTTAACGGTAGAGGGATAGACAACAGTGGCCCTCTTAAAACATCTCTAAAAGTCTAACTGCGGTTGCCAACCCACCTGCCAGGCATGGCAACTACTGGCAAAACTCCCTTATTATAAATATAAAGACTTATGTTCAGCAATGAACAAATGATGGTTGAAATGATAAAGAAATGACATGCATTACTAAATTCGAAAGGGAGAGAGGAATTACTAATTATTTAGCTACTATTTTTTATAAAGCGAATGCTTTAATGGTAAATAGGTATATCCATGTTATAACATTTATCATTATATACTTTCACAATTCTAATTAAATGTTCAACTATCTATAATTTTTTTAAAACAATTGAAGATTTTTCAATGCTTCTGACTGATTATTTAAATAGTGCTCTGCCTACGAACTAAAACGTTGGTCATAGAATATTTCGCATATAAATCTTATCACTCAAAGCTTTGCATCTACTTCATAATGTGCTTTGGAATTTTTTAAATAATTTTTTGTCATTAAAATCCAAATTTTCACCAACAGCTTAATAAGTATATTATTGTATGATTAACATTTTAGTTTGTAGGCAGAGCACTTTTTAATTAATCGAAGTAAAAACATTGAAATAATTGAATAATTGAAGAAAAAACATTCTTCGATTATTTTTAAAAAATTACAGATAATTGCGATGTTGCTGCGCTTCGTCAAGCTGAAATTATAAACTCGTTTAAACGACTGGGATAATTCATTCATTCATAAATATTTTTGTTAATTCTGAACTTATTTTCACAATATTAGATTTTAAATTTGTACGTTATACTTGTTGCCACGTAATATCTACATGTAAACACGCAATATTTACAATGTACAGTATTCGTAAAATAAGTTGTCGTAGGATATCTACGAAATATCCTTTATCGGTGCCTGTACTTATTAATCATTATTCTTAATAAATACAATATTGAGCATACAATAACAAAAATGCTAAAAAACATACAGACATGTAAGAAATCTAAAGTAGTGGTAGTAGTGTAAATATTATTTAAAGTATTTCTATTGTATATTGTATACACATTTGACTCGAGTGTATTATTTCAGTGTTTATTATTATAAAAGAGATATTATTCAACAAGTGTAAGCGACGCGTTCTGTGCCTCAAAACTGAATTATCAATAAAATAGTTTGTCTATGTCATTGTCTCTGCGTGCGGTCGCTTTTAAACTTATAATCGGCGCAACGGACGCCACACCCAGTCTGCACCTAGATACGATCGACACCACACGTCTATTTATTACCTGTAATTAACGATATTAAAAACGTAAAATAAAATCCAATTGTAAGAGTCTTCGTTTTCTTGCCATCATTCGTGACCTACAATATTCCATACCATACAATTGTGTTTGATCATTTTCAGATATTAACTCCACAGCAGGTGGATGAACTGACCTCTATATTGGAGCCAATCAAAGATCTACAGAATGCCGTACTCGAATTGAATGATGCATTGAGATTAGATGTGCCCGAGATTGACACAACTAAAAGTATGTACTATTCACTGTAAAATACGTATCTTAGAGCATATCTTTTGTTCTTATCTGTAGTATGTTTTATTAGTTTGTAAATAGATAATTAAATAAAAACATTGCAGTGTAAACAAATAAATAAAGATTTGCAAATTGCTTGTGTTCGTATCTATTTACTGTAAAACTGTATATACTATTTTATGTTTTACTGAAAAAAATATAGTAGTAAGTTATGAAGAGTTTAGTGAAATTTGTAAATGTTGTTTTACAGATGAAGATGACGAATATAATGAGTATGACAATCTGTTCGCGAGCGATTTGGGTGTATCTATACTTACTGAAGCGATTCGGCAGATGGCAGAAATGAGGTGAGTGACTATGTAACAACTTGGATATTACTGGAAATTAAATAAAATATTATTTTAGTTTAAATTTTAACTGTGTCTACAACAAATTTCCTTGTATATATTGATTCAGTAAGCAATATAGATGGATAAATATGTATCAACTAAGTAAATACATATATTGTTCAGAAACTTATTCATTAGGATCTTTATTACTATTAGGATATACTACCGCCTATTGCTCTAAAATATTGAAATTCTATGAATATTATTAATGTGAATGTTTGTAATTCATTTACGCATAACTAGTTACTAGTAAAATGTAGTACGCAGTTGGATCACGTCGTGATAATGTATGAAGTGTAAGTAATAGTTGTGTGCGTGCAGATCGCGCGTGGTGCGCGGGGCGGTGGCGGCGCTGGGCGCGGCGCGCGGCGCGGGCGGCGTGCCGGGCGCCGGCCACTGCGCCGTGCACTGGCAGGCCTACCGCGCCCTGCTGTGGCTGCGCGCGCAGTCGCTGCAGCGCCCGTGAGTACGCGCGCGCCAACACCGACACGAGCCCACTGTCTCATTACACACGCAAAATAAACAGTAACAGATTCATAGCGAAGTCATTTTCAACAGAACTATACTACGAGGGTCATTTGAAAAGTTCCTAGCCTAACATGGTTAAAGTCATTGGTTTTTTTATAACTACCCTCATTTTGTAGGTACATTATTTAGCAACAAGTATGCACAGTTTAGTTTATTCACAGTAACTCATTGTTCGTTTACACGTGATACCGTAAGTCAAGTCAGAGCTGTTTTTGAAAATGGATAAAATTGAACATCGTGCAGTGATAAAATACCTGAACTTGAAAGGTTTAACCCCAAAAGCTATACATGTAGACATGTCTGCTACTTTGGGCGAATCCGCTCCTCCGTATGCGACTGTTAAAAACTGGGTGGCAGAGTTTAAACGTGGTCGTGAGACCATTCGAATGACACTCGTAGTGTAGGTGTGTGCGTGCGCGGTCAGGGCTGCCGGTTCGGCGGAAGCGTTCCGGCTGAAGCTGAGCGCGCTGGGCGCGGAGCCGGCGGCGGGCGCGTGCGAGGCGGCGGGCGCGTGCGCGGCGGAGAGCGTGGTGCAGGCGTACGCGCGCGGCGCGGGCGGCGCGCGCGCCCGGCGCCACCTGGCGGCCGCGCGCGCGCCGCCGCACTGCCACCACGCGCTGCCCCTGCTCGCCTACCACCTCGCGCACCAGCTGTATCCTTTTACCACGCCCGCCCCGCGGACTATCCGTGTTGGGGACTTGCGTACACATTTTTACATTAGCTTTAAATGTAGCAGTGAAATTACAGGATACCGACGCATAGTACTTATTCTTGAAGAACGATAATGTATGAAAGGTATAATGAGCCTAATAGAGTATTTTATGTCCAGGATTCTATTATTGAGTAAAGGCAACAGCTAGCACTTTTCATCATTGAGTTCTTAAATTTTTTTGTGATTTAGATATTCTGCTACTGTTGCATTTGTAGCTACGATATTATTTATTTTAAATTCCTCAACGAGGGCACAGATGGGCCGTTAGCGGTGGTTTCGAATTTGGTTGGTGGTTGGCGACTATTAACCAACCGAGACTTGTACAGAATTATGTTGCAATGCTTGAACCCTGGTGTGAATGGAATGCTTGTTCACGTAAGTGTTTGATTACAACAAAATATTTTTTTAATCTATTATTCTATACGCTATACAATTTGAACTCGATAGGTATCTATATGGGATGTACTAATGTTCAAGTCGTGATTAGGACAATTCATCTTGGGACTGTCGCTGCTGGACACGGAGGACCCGGAGGGTGCGTACACAGCGTTCTGCAAGGCCGCCAAGGGCGTCAGCACCGAGCCCTTCCTGCGGGCGCTCGTCGCCGCGCCCCACGCTCGCCTCACGCAGCACCACGCGCTCGTGCTTTACTATATGAAGGTCCATATTCCTTACCCAGTACAACGTAATATATAGTATACATACCATAGCAAACTGGGGAAAAGGAATTGTTAGTAATGGAGTCTAACAGACCCTTTGTTAGCAATATACCCTATCAGGTCGACCTCCACGCTGTTTCCCCTGGAGACCATCGTAGTAATTTTTTATGATTTATCCGTGATCATATTTATTATCAGTGTAAACTGATAGCGCTTGCGCTTAGCATTCCATTATCACCCATAAAAGAACTATAACAAACTACAGTAGTATATCAAATTACATTAAATATTAATTTGGTTTGTGTACATATTGTTAATATTTATAATCTGTATCATTCTTTGAAGGAAACTATAAAAAGAGTTCATTCAATCGTTCATTCATATCGTCAGTGTCGAGATTTTCCTGCGTCAAGATTCATAGTCCTCACATATTAACTGTAACGGAAATTCTAGTAAAGTTCCTAATATATAATATAAATACAGGATTTTTTTACATTAGGTCATAAAATTGTTCGAGATCCACGACGCTGGCGCTTGTGTGGTTCGTCTTGCTGAGACTGCTATTAGCATTGCCGACAAGGATGATCCTAACTTGGTATGTTTAAATGTTATATTTTAACACTTCGTTAAATTTGATTAGGATATAATGTAAACTAGAAAGGCTGTGCTGTGGTTACCTACAGAGAGGTGCCTAGGTCTCACCATTCCACATCACCTAAAATTAGTACATTAATTTGAAGAGTAAGAGATATGAGGTTCTAATATAAGATTATAGCTAGATTCATAAACAGACATGTCTATAGGAGGTTACGGTTATCTCTTTACATAAGGTTAATTAAAAAATGCGCCGTCAGCTTGATTATTATTAGGGGGAAAAATTAATTTTCTTGTCAGAATCTAAAGTCGTAATGTTTGTGATCCGGCTCAATAACCTTAGTGGATCTTTAATTTTGTCATCTTTACGACGCCATTTTCCTTAGTTCTATACTGTTACCGATAGAAAATATTTAAGTCATGAAAGTCTATGACTTTGACCCATTCTTGCCAAGGTTGCCAGAAGGCCAGTTGATGTAAACAGAGTGTATGTAAAGCTAACATACGTTATGTATGTAGGCGATGTTCCAATGGCTGGTGTTCAAATGGCATCTATCCGGCGGGCGAGTGTCGCGCGCGCTGGCCGCCGCCGCCGCCAGCCCGGCGCCGCACGCCCGCGCCGCCGCCGCCGCCACGCTCCTCACTACGCTCGGTAACATACACACTGCACACACACTCAAACGCGCACGCACACACTCGCACTCAATACCCAAATACGAGTATATTTGCTGATATATTAACCCATGCACGTGTGTGTTGCTCTAATTGTACTATTGTCTATCTGAAATAATACCCTGCTAATAATTTCGACTGTGGTTGAAATGAATATTTTTATATTTAATAAAAGTGTTCGTAATTAGTCTGTATTTTTTATGGGTATAATACGTAATGACGTCATCAATATTTCATTTTATTTACTGTAATTAACACAAAACACTTTTTTTTTTGTAAGTTATAATGTAAGAACCGATTATGATCATATGTGTAGCACGACGAAAGCAGCTGAGCGCGCTGGTGTCGTGCGCACCACTTGCGAGCGAAGCTGAGCGAGCGGCGGCCGCGCGTGCTAAACTGCACGACCCGATCGGCCACAACCCCTACTACGACTTCCTATACGCGCTCCACATCTCCAGGCACCATTACCGCAAAGGTCAGTACTCGGCATCCACTACACTATGTAAGACGTTTAAATATAGTTTATCTATGAGTTAGCGTAATCGTTTTGAAATTGGTTTGTGTTTGTGTGAAGTTGTTTTGAAGTTCTATATAATTTTGTGTCTACAAGCTAAACTAACTTAAAATTATGATCAGATTATACTGTTATAAGAAATTATTCTTTGTAATTGTCCTGTACTTATATTACACAAATTCGGGCTCGAAGGATAAAAAATATGGACGATCTAGAGCAGTGTTTCCCAACCTTTTTTGTGCTATGCCCCACTTGAACATTTCTAAAATTTTTATGCCCCCTATATATATTTTTCCCGACAAAGTTTACTTGTCGACTCTAATCGCCCAGTTGATATTTAGGTAATGTCAAACGAAATGAACCTAATAAATATTTACAGAATTTTTTTAATTTACTTTTTTTTTGTTAAATTTGGCACTCGTAGCATTGCATTTAAATGGCCCGGAGAAAGAGGGTTAAAATAGCTTCGAGTCCATTTTTAATTCCCCTCCCCCTTAACTATCAAATTATTTTACGACTATGACGATATGTTCGAGAAAATGTCTATAATTATTTTATGTGTGTCATTCGGGAGATATTGGTGGTTAACGGCCGAAAGAGGTTTAATGTGTATGGATGCGGGTGCGGGTGTGGGTGCAGCGGCGGCCGTGATGTACGAGCGCGCGGCGCGGTGTGCAGCGGAGCGCGGCGGGTCGAGCGAGGGCGGCGCGGGGGAGGGCGCGCGGCGGCGGTGGCTCGCGGCCGCGCTCGTGTGCCTGCGGCTCGCACGCCCCGAGCACGCCTTCCTCGCGCGCCCCGCACCCCCCGCCTCCACCGCCGCCGTCCCCGCACTCGCCGACGCGCCCGCCGCCGACGGCGCCGACCGGCCCGCGCCCGCCTCGAGATACTTGCAGGTAACTTACGAGTCGTGCAGATATTTGCTTCGCAAAAAAAATATAATTCGCATCAAACATCTGACTTGTATCGGAAGTCAGCTAATGATAAAAGATGAAACAGTGGAGCAAGTGAGTGAGTTTCTGTATTTGAATTCATTCTTTACTAAGAATGGAATATTTGAGGAAGATATTGAGCAATAACAAGCAACTTGCTGAAGAAACTCAAAAATACCCGTAACTAGTGAGCTTGTCTGAATAGATCGATGAATGTGGAGGAGGCGAAAGAGTTCTGTTTGAATCGTAGTCATTTGGCGTTCTATTGTTTTTGCCTACCCTAATGGTAAATGTGTCTAAAAGATGGTTATGTATGTCTGTAAAAGCCAAAATTGTTTACTCCATATGATAATTATAAATAAGTATGACATGAAAGTTAATCATGACTTTTGTTGAATTATGTAATAATATGAAAATCAAATTTTATATTATAAGTCATCGTTATTTATTTATATTATAGGTCATCGGGCCAGAAGAATTAGCTGCCGAGTTACGTGACGAAGATCCTGAATCTATGGATCCCGTTCAACAAGCATTACTCAGTAAGACATATTAATCATTTTCATAATTTAAACAAATCAATTTACGGAATATCATAATAAAACTAAATTTCTTTTATTTTTAGAAAATGAAGATATAGATTTTGACAAACTGTACCCATATCTAAAAGAAGCAGATCCTGAAACTTTACTGGCAGTGACAAAAAGAATATTGAGTACTGGCCAATTCATGCCACATTGGTTTCTTCAGAGATATATGGTATGTTTCAGATTGTAATTTTTTTTTCTAATATTGGAAATAGCAATATCAATGTAGCTGGATGCTTGCTTAATGGAAAATGGTAAATAGTGTCCGGTTGAATTTTTAGTATCGGCCAAATTTGATTACATTTTTGATATTTTGTCTTTGAATCTATCGGAAGTACAAGCTGGCGAGATGCACCGCCAATAAGGCCCTACACTGGGCTAGTAGGGGGAAGGGATTCTTAATAATGGCCAGGTTAGTCCTTATCGCTATCAGTATACTCTATCAGGTCGACCTTCACGCGAATTTCCCTGGAAACTATCGTGATAAATTTATCGTTGAATTCGTCACTGACTTGCCTTTTCATTATCACCTATCATTTCTCACTGGTGCTCCGCCAGCGTATACCGTTAGCGCAGGCGGAGTTACCATTTAATTGTAATCCATTAAGAACGCTGGGCTAGTAATGATGGTGCGTGTGTCAGGAGGCGGACGGCGCGGGGTGCGCGCGCGCGCTGCTGGCGGGCGGGCGCGCGGCGGCGGCGGGCGCGGCGTGCGCGGCGGCGGTGCGCGGCGCGCTGGCCGCGCTGCAGCCCGCCAGCCCCGCCGCGCCGCGCGCCGCGCCGCTCGCCGCCGCCGACCTGCTGCGCGCCGAGCTCGCGCCGCTCGCCGCCACCGACGCGTACGCTGCGCAGGTGAGCCGCACGCTCGTACACGCACACGGTCCAACACCGGCCCCATCTCGTATTAGTTAATCGATCTCTCGATTCATTTACAACTAACTGTTGCCAGCGACTTCGTTTTTTTCGCATTTCCATCGTTTTTCGAGAAATAAGTAGTCTATGTCCTTCCTCACGGTTCAGTGGTTTTGATGTAACAGACACATTTCCCTTCACTGTTTTGTTCCTATTGATCGTAGCGTGATGAAAAATATACTATAACCTGCCCAGGAGTATAATTGTACCAAGTTTCATTAAAATCCGTCGAGTAGTTTTTGTTTCTATAACGAACATATAGACAGACAGACAGACAGACGAAAATTTTACTGATTGTATTTTTGGCATCAGTATCGATCACTAATCACCCCCTGATAGTTATTTTGGAAATATATTTCATATACTCTCTACAAATTTATTATAAGTATAAAAGATAAGATGGAGCATAGCGTGTAGGTATACACATAGTAACCATAATACATTTAGTTTCAAAAACTTAATCGTGGCAAAACCAATTATCTTGATGTAAACACCAAATTACTGGTCAATTTTAGTAAAATATCTATCCACAGGACCAACTGATAAGTATATGCTTTTAGATAAAAAATATATTTCTATATCGGTTTATAAATGACGGAGTTTTGAGGTATCAAATATAAAAAGAGTACGACCACTTTGAGAACACCTCCTCTTTTTGAATTCGGATGAAAAGCGGGGTAAATTTTTTTATTATCACATTTTTATTTATATCTAATATCACCAAATGAATCTTAATGTTACCAAATCCAAAACATACTAGTATGATATTGAAAAAAATTGATCATTAAATGAATTATATACATTGATGCTTCAAATAAATCATGGGATTTATTCGAAGTATTAATGTATTTTTTCTCTGTGTAATTAGATTCGACGAACTTAACATTCCACTTGTAACATTTATGTATCCATATACATAACTTCAAGTCAGTTATTTCGTTTATGATGCACAATCGCTTGATTTATGGTTATTCCTTTTTCCGTTATAGTTACAATGTACAGGTTGAAAGAAAAAATCCGCCACTCGTGGCCTTATCATCATATCAATAGTTTTCTGTCCACTGTTGAACATAAGCCTCCCCTATAGATGCACTAAGGAATGGTCCAGAGCCACCTGCATTCACAGACTCCCTATGACGCATTTATACTCATCACTCCATCTGGTGGGGGGTCGTCCTATACTATATTTGCCCGTATGGGGTAGCCAACTTACTACCATGAAAATACATAAGTACTAAATAACTACATACTTCATATTTACTACTAAAAATAAATATTTATTCTAAGTTCGTTTCCTCTTCACCTCTCATTAATATTTTTCTACTTACAGGTGTACAATGAATTAGATTCGCTTATAAAGGAATACATACAAGTGGTAATGCGAACATCGGAGGACATGAAAGTTGCTCGATTACAAAATGCCATTGTTCATTAATTATGATAAGTTTTAATAAAAGATTTTGTATTTTAATACATTTATTTACTTCCAATAATATATGACTAGAGTTATAAGCCCATGTCCAAATTCATTACATACAAATAAAAATGTCATATTTTAGAACGTTACACCTTTCAATATAAAATGTAATTTTAACAGGAAGACATTTTAATTGTACATTATTCATACAAGTTTAAATGTTCAATTTTTTAAAAAATGATACATTATGTACCTCTTATTATTACCAATTTTTAACATCTCCCTTACTTACTGTACGATAGATAAAAAAATTTTTAACCATCTTTACGATGCCATCAATATGATGTAAATTTTAACCTCAACGAAATAGTAAAACTTAATATTTATTGTAGTTTGTGGCCAACTTTAAAAATGTGATTATTTTTTTGGGCTCGAATCTAGACCATAACTACATTTTATTATAAAAAAAATTAACGACATGTCAAAGTCCACTCCCAATTAATAAACAAACTTAGGACCTACTTATATAAACTTAGTTATAAGAACATACCACCAACAAAAAACAAAAGATAACAAACACCGTATTATAACAAACTAGACATAAAGTACATAACATTATTATACATATATAAATTATAAAATACATAATAAACTGAGATATACTCTGTAGTTGGACTACCACTACCGTTCGAGTTGACCCAGAACTGTTATTAATATGTTCATATCACATTAACTGATATCACTAGGATTTTTGCCGACCACATTGTACCTAATTTAACAAGATAAGGAATAGCGAACACTGTTTCGTTATTATAAAACAATCATGACAAACTTGCCATGTCCACTTGATTAACAGTGGCAACCGTGTAATAAATATTTCTTACATCTTGGACATGACAATATACTGTGTCGCTCATGGCATCATGTCATGGGTAACCATATGAGATATATTGTTCTTTTTACCAGATGCTGCACTGGCTCCCTTGCCATTCAAATTGAAGCACAACGCACTTTTTACTGTAATATTAAATAAGCTGATTCCACTTAAGTATGTACCGATAACATGTAGGCATAATAGCCAATTTATTGAAGGAGCAAAGTTTTTTAGCGAGTATACCTATTTATTTAAACATTGAACTGTTTAATATGATGATAAAGCTTGTTACAGATAATACTTATTATCTATATAATAACAATATCAATTTAATACCCTCAGTTATTTTGTGCTTTAATTAGCATACACAAATAAGTATTTGAATACTTTGAGGAAACATTTAGACTCTGTTCGAATATTGAAATGCCTGACACAATAACAAAGAGTTTCTGCAGTCAAGCTGGTATGGTACTTAACAGAATCAAACAATTACTGATTGGCTTCAAGATACGTTTTTTGCCGTAATACGGTTCCACATTTTTTTGTATCAAGGGTCTTCGATTTTAAACATAATATATCTACATACTTGATAAAATAATTGATACAATTTATAATCATCAAAGTATTTATGTATTATATTAAACCGAAAGGTACAGAAGCCTAAGAGAATTATTTAATTTCTGATAATTGGGAGCCATCTTTAACTCCTGTTCACACTATCCTTAAAAGAAATATTTCTATTTGTCATTGTTTTGTGTCATGTTTTGATTTAAATTATTTGTTACTGATATAAAAAATAAGTATTTTTGTTATCACAAGTAAATATCAAATACCTAATAGGAATGACAAAATAGCCATGACTTATTATAATTTGTTCCTACTATATCCTTAAAAATAATTTTAATTGATAATCATAAATTAATAAGATAATGCAAATCCAGCCTTTATTTACGTTGAGACATTTTAACTCGCATAATCATTAACACTAAGCGAACAACTTTTTCGTATATAAAAAACATCAAAGCAGCTGTCATGACTGTTTGTAATAATTTTGCTTCTAGTCCTCGGAACATTACTGACGGTTTTGATTTTACGTCTCTCCACAAAGGCTTCAAACTCGTGCCAGCACGAAGCCTCGACTGTATAAGCTGAAGTGGATAAGTCAAAGTTGTGGCTATAGCTTTTGCAATAGCAGCTATTAAAAATGCAGAGTAAGCATTGAATTTACCACTGGCTACAATATGTCTTTTTAAATATTCATAAATCATAAACTGGATGGCTGGATTTGAAACTAATAACAGTGATGGTAAAACACCAGACCATAATCCCTTTGCTCCCTCTTTTTTAGATATTTCAATAAGACCACTTAATAAACTATCATAAGAATTCTTATCAACTTTCATTCTCATATTAACGACCCAAAGAGGTGATGTTATAATTACATTTACAACACCGGCAACAGAACCAATTAATAAGTCCCTTAAAGCTGATACTTCACCAGTATGAAGTCTACGCAATGCATGAAACACATAAAAATAAACAAAATTTGAAACAGAGACTGATTGCAGCACAGGGGATATGCCACGGTATAATGCTTCAATACCCTCTTCGTTAGCTAGGCGCAACAGCAACTCCCATGATGAGCCTTTCATTTTTAAATCATTATCAACTGCAACAACACAATAAATAATGTAATTAAAGCATGACATGATTGCTCTAAATTAGAATTTTAAAACCTTGTCTCTTTGCATTTCTAAAGAATTCTTCAAGTGCAAGATTTTATTTGTAAAAGAGGGCCAGGGTTACAATACATTGGACACTTTTAAAAGTGTTATTAAACCCTTGAAAGAAGGTACATTTTACAAAAATAAGCATTAACTGAAAACTAATTCTACTTTTAATGTTTTATTGATATACTCATACTTGGTCTGGCACATACTTAATTATATGGCTTATGGCATTCACTGTATTAGTTATATTTTATTATATTATCAAATAACAAAAATATTCCATGCATGACAAATTGTATTGAAATAATTTCCAAAACTTCATTTTTTTTTTATTTTTGCATTTTGAACTAATTGAAAACCATAAAAATATTTGCTAATAATTAAATTAATAAATAAAACAGATTAAATGCAAATTGAACTCATACACGAGGGTTCCATGTAATTAAGCACTCAATGAACTAGTAGGTCAATTTTGAAATATTAAGTACTCTTTTGAACCCTCTAGCAAAGAAAATAAAAATATTTTTTCATTCATTTCCATTTTGTGGGCCAATAATAATTAAAATTATTCCAAACTTAAAATGGATAGCATTAGTAGTTGTTGAGATATAGTGCTGTAATAAATGGAGGGATAAAATGGTAACTATAAGGGTTCTTTTGTACATTTTTGGTCAGAATTCTAAAAACTGTTAAATATTTAAAGGATGACACTAAAATTATGTCATATTAATTAGTTATAATAATTTTTTAAGTTCAAATATTTATCAAGTTTTGTATTATAGCATATATTTTTAATGATAGTTGGAAACTCGAAAATGTAATAAAGAAACATTTCATATGGTTATGACAGTATCATGTTGACTACTCAAAAGCTATGAATTTACCATGACTAAAACTTTATAATATTAATTTATACAATTAATACTCTTACCCCTTCAGCTCCTCTGTAAGAATATAAGAATCTTTTCAATAAGGAGATATCAGGGCCGTAGCTAGACCCAAGTTTAAACTAGGGCAATTTCAAAAAAGGGAATTTGTCTTATTTTCTTGGGACTTTTCATTTTAAGGTAGGCATTGGGCCTTTTAAGGTAAGGGCATTGCTCCTCAACCCTCCCCCCCCTCAATTATGGCCATGGGAGATATAATAAATAATTAGTCTTAGTTAAACCATTTATGGAAAAAATAAAGAATTCAGTATTTATTTAATTTAATTTTAAAGAATAAGATACAAGTTTCAGATATTCTAAAAAAAGGGCATGAAGATAAATAAAAAAATAATAATTTAAAAAATTAATTATTGATATTGATTTTCTACAAGAGTAATCAAAATTTAGTAAACTTAGCTGCATTATCAAATGGTTGTTTCCCACATAGAAAACTAATTACAGTTGTAAAGTTTTCCTATGTTCTAAAACCAGGTGTCATGACATCATACATCACCATTATCAGAACAAAGTCTAATGTTCATTACATTTAGCAATATATGTTGTATAAATTACCTTGCAATCTTGATCTCAATGTGTCTAATGGATAAAAAGCTGCCATTCCAACAACGCTACCCTAAAATGAAGAAATAAGTACAAGTTTAATAGCAGGTAAGTAGGTATTTTCAAATGCTTAATTTATAATAAAATATGAAATAATACATACCGTTGCTCCTGCCACAGCATGAACCAGGGTTTCATAACTTAATAATGATGGTGGCATTGTAAATTAAATTAAATACTATGTTTAAATTTAGTAACTGAAAGCACAGTACGTGTTTATTATCGTGTTAAATAGAATGATAAGGACAAGAGAACACATAAAAACACCACCGAACTGAATTGACTGAGTACTAAGAACTCACTGACGTACATATAGTAAGTATTATAATAAGTTATAACAATATCAAGCTAATTATTACAGATCATAAATTAAAAGATAAACAACTACACCTACCAATCATTAGGTAGGATTTTTTTATAGGTACGAATGTACCTATAGAATATAATTGAATCGACCAACAACAATTGTAAACAATTGTAGAGAAGGGATGGGCGATATTTGTAATATAGCTTTATAATATCTATATAATATCGAATAAGATATATGCCACATAAGAGTTGAGAGTGATTTACTAGGCTTTGGTATATCGCTTTTTTTGCAATACAGTAATACCTCAATTTACGTAACCCCGATTTATGCGACCCGGAATTACGCGATCTTCAAATCTCGTCATTTTTATTGTTTGAATGTTACACAAATTTAGATTACTCACATTTTATCTACATTATTGTTAAACTAATGTTAATATCCGTACGTGTCCTGTTAAACTGTCGCATAACTAAGAGTCAAGAGTTCACAGAAAGGCGTTAACGATTATATCCTGACTTACGCGATAGGTAGGATTGAATGACTTCTGTACTTGACTATCAGATATTGTAATTATATATTTCAGTGTTTGGTACCGCCAAAAAATTGTACTAAGGTGGTCACCAAACAATTTTGCGAAGGCACAGTTTATTCATCCCCGTTTACATAGAATACACTTTTTATTTTATTTCATTTTAAATTATTTGACGTTATTTATATTGGACATTAATTACTTTTAATAACTCAAAAAATTATTTACAAGACAATTTATTCTGCATTTGAAAATTAATATATATAGTAATAACAAGAAAGAAGTCGTAGCTTTGTATCAGATGTCAGATAATAGTAGTCAGATGATATTAGTAGTCAGCTGACATTAGTAGTCGGATGAATAAAATTAGTAGTCAAATGATTTGAAAATCAATCGAAATATCAGATTATTTATTAGTAGTAGATTAATTAGTACTTGGATTAGTAAAGTTGCTCATCACTACTTGACAGCAAAATGACATTTAGCGTTCTAATCAATTATCTATAAGATTACTGAAGATTAGGCTGTATGGCTCAGTACCTTTGCCTTTCCCTGAGTGGGATAAATTAAACTACTACTACTACTTACCTATAAGAATCACCAATTGTTTAATTTGTTTACATTTGTTTTTCATTATTATAAACTTCATATTTGATTCGTATTGTCAATAATTTCTTTTTCTGAGATTTCCTTCCAAGTAATATTCTAGAAAAAGGTTTATATTATAAATTATACAAAAGCTACATGTACATACTTATGTCATTACTTTATTTTTATGAGGTAGAACTCAATTAAGTAAACTGGATATTTATTTTTATACTTGTTTCAGCAATAGTTTGAAAAACATGAAGGTTTTTATGGCTGAAGATAACTTGTGTGCACAAAATTTACTAAAACTAGTGTCGCATGGCAATGCTATATTAGCAGAAATATTAAGGCTTAAAGATCACAAACCTACAATTTATTTGTGAGTTCATTTATTTGTTTCAATATCCAAAAACCTTTATTTCTATTTTACTGGGTACAGCAAATATCATATCCTGGATGGAAAGTTATTACCATCACCTATACTAGATATGAAAAACACTATGGAGATCGTGAATTATAGGGCTAGACTCTTATATTGGTGCTTTAATCTAAAGAGCTAAAACGTTTATCACTAATAGTATTCACTATTGACATTAAAAACATCCAACTCCTGTAAGAGATTAATAGTTTTCTAGTAACATGTTAGAGTTTGCTGGCAGTTGATGGAATTTGGAGTTTATCTTTATAATAGGAGATATTTGTAATACACCCATGGAAATAGTGCAAGTATTCTCACTATATTTTCATTAAGCGTTATTAAAATAATGAAAAATATGAATATAACTTTAACATTTTCTTATTTTAAAGCAATATAACAGGTATTTTGATTACAATACAAATTATTACTTCATACATATGATCAACAGGAGAGTAAAACCCAAAATTAAGCAAAGAAGTATTTAAAATAATGTTTTGTATTAGGTGAAAAAAACCAAAAATATAAACAAAAGGCATTCATAGACCATTATTTATTGGTACATTATTGGTAATGTTGGTTACAAATATGCTTTATTTTTTTCACTCTCTGAATTTCCATCATGATACAAAATCTGTATCATAATGGCTCGGATTTTATGTTTGAAAAATTTGTATAAATAATGCTCTCTATTACTAACTGTTTACAGTAATACTAGGTGTTATTTTAAATTAAAAAATATGCATGGATCTGCATAGTTACAGAATTAAGTCACTCAATTGTTAGTGATCTTTTTATGGTACTTAGAATAAGCAAATAAGTTGAAAACCTAACAGATGGAAAGCAGTAACAATTGCTATAGTTATATATAGAATATATTTTCAAAATAACTATTTCTTTATTTTTGTTATAAATAATAATTGAAACATAATTTTACTATTGAAATTTGTTAAGTGTTAGCATTATTATTATTTTAAGAATTATTAATAGAGTTTTTAATGTATTCAGGTAATTGTTATATGTAAAATTTCATCAAATGTGGTTTAGGAGGAGTTCAGTAACATACACAAAAGATTTAAATATATAAAGATATATTTAAAAGTATCATGCAAATATTTATAATTTATTACAGATTAGAAACCAAAGAGCTGCAACAAAAATATCAAGATGTTATTATGGACTTCAGTTATTTTAAAATTTCAGATGCACAAGAAAAGAAAATTTCTATGAATTTGGTATGAATACAATAAGATTAATTTATACATTTATTACATATGTTATGTCATATATTTGTTTTATAATTTTTTTTTAACACTGTTTATTTGCTTACTGGTTGTGTTTTAACATACATATTTTACATATTGTGAGCTGATTTTGATGAGAGTTCATCATCATCATTATTTTTCTTCCTTTAAATGTTCACTGCTGAACATAAGCCTCCCTCTTGAAGGGTTTTGCCAGTGGTTGCCACACTTGGCAGGTAAATTGGCAAGTACAGTTAGGCTTTGGAGATGTTTTAAAGAGATGCTGCTGCCTATCCTTTGTTCTTTTTAGTCGCCTCTTACGACACCCCCAGGAAAGGAAGGGGTGGCCCATTTTATGCTGTGACCACATGACAATAGTTGTAATATAACTACAACTATTGCCATGTGTGTGATAGCCCTGTTTATTTATTTAATCATTATTTGATATATTTATATCTTATTTTTCAGAAATTACAAGATATGGATGATGACTTAAAAGAAAAATATTTAGAGATAATATCACGTTTCTATTTACTATTTGAAAATATATATCAATATATAATTGATTTGAATGCTTTTATTGACCAACTACATGATAATGCATTTATTCAACAAAATATTGAAACTGTAATGAGAGATGTTGAGGGAAAACAACTTTTGGTAGGTATTTATTTTATTATGCTATTTCTTTTCATTGTATTTATTATCTACCTGTGGAAAAAGTAAGAAAAGAAGTCTACAGATCAAATAAATAATTTTTTTTCCATAACATGTATCTACCTACTTATAAGACATTTAAGCATGTTGTTGAAAATGATTAACTGTCTTTTAACCGCGACTTCGTCTGTATGACCGGGATATGTAGAGCGATCAGAATTGTTAAGAGTCTGAATGAAAATGAGATGTCCTTTTCTATCCTTAACAGTACCGTTATACCAAATTTCATGAAGATTGGTTGAGCCGTCAAGGTGCTTAAAAGAAACAAACTCACTTCCACATTTATAATATTAGTAAGGATAAAAGTTTACACTGCTTTGCCCTTGCGGTATGTGTGCTTTTTATCTCATTTAATTTTTTTCTATATTCTTATATTATGTGAAAGTGATTTTGTTTGTTTATAGCACCTTAACAAATCACTATGAAATTTGGTATACACATACTATATGGGATGGAGAAGAATATAGGCTACATTTTGTCCCGCTCAGTAAATATATTCCGGTTAAAAGCAAGTAATAAAATAAATTTGACATATAGAAATTTTGCATATAAGTTTATTGCATCCAAAATTTCGTTGTAAGTTTTAAAATAAACCTATCTAGTTTCTGATAATGTTAGCAGTACAAGTAAGAATACATTTCCAGAATTTAATGTCGAAATAATGTTCGCTAAGGCGAGCGATTATGATTATTATTAACATATAGAAGTTATGAAAGTAAATGGTCAATAGAAACAGAACAGTTTAAAAATAATCACGTTCTTTATTATTTTTAGTGTGAATCACTTTATCTATATGGCGCCATGTTGTTGTTATGCGATTTCTTCATACCGGGACCAGTCAGAGAGAGATTACTAGTTGCATTTTATAGATACAGCACCAATCAGTCTCAGACAAATATTGACGATGTTTGTAAATTACTCAGAGACACTGGCAATGATCAATCACATGGCAAGAGACCAGCCGATTATCCAGTTGAATATTTCAGGTAGTTATTAATTATATTAGTTACGTATTATTTTTTATATCAATATGCCTATTTTTTTACCTCATTACACTACCTCTACACAGAAAAGACAGTTTTGATAAAAATTTTTTTCTTCATAGGCGAAAATGAAAACAGCATGGAATTAATTCACTTTCAAGAATTTCACAACAAATTCTTTATACAAGTCATCCGTGTCGATACTTCTGCTTCACTCATGTGTCTGACTTTATGCAGTGTTTTAGTTTCGATGGTAGGATATAGTAGTTAAATTACAAGTTGTGAAGGCGTCTTAATAATCAATATCTTAATCATCTTAATCTCCAGAAATGGCAACGCTTGAAATGTACTTACATGTCATGGGTGTCACACAACATTTTTTGATCCCATGGTGTTAATATAATATCAACATATTATATCTATTATATATATACCTATAGAGCTGTTAGTTATGATTTTCCATCAAGTGGGTCGTCAGCTTATTTGCAATTCCAAGTTGTATAAAAAAATGTATGAGAAAACCATTAGGAAACCCATTTCACTCAGGAAATCTATTGGTTTTGAAAACAATTATATTTAAAAATTAAATTTGAGCAGTTTGGTTATTATTATTTTATTAATTCTAGCCGAATCAACATTCGTCCTGATTTTATAGATAAAGTTATTGGAAAATTACGATCTGAAGATATATATAATCAACTGGCAGTTTACACTATACCTGAGCATCAGCCTTCAGCTCTAGCAACACAAGCAAACATGCTTGTGGTATGTTTATTTTTCAGTCCACATTATCTCCACACAGACACTTCAAAAATGAGAGAAATAGTAGATAAATTTTTCCCTAGTAACTGGATTGTACCTGTTTACATGGGAGTTACTTTAAGTTTAATTGATTATTGGGAGAATTTTAAAGCTGCAAAATCAGCACTTAATAATACTTGTAACAGCAAGATGATAAAAGAGATATTTGCCAAGAGAGGTAGTTCTGTTGAATTGTTAATAAACAAAACTCATTATCTTCTAAAAGAAGGAACTTTAACTGAAGATTATTTGTTGGATAATATAAATAAAGTATTAAATTTACTATTAAATTCAAATCTAGTAGTGCGTTGGCTAATGTTACACACCAACGATGTTATATTTTACGATAACAATAAAAAGAGTAAACAACTAAAAGATTTGGTTTTGAAAGAATCTAACTATGATCCATTAAAATTGCTTGAATTACTTATAAGTACTTCAGAATTGGAGTTAAAAGTTCGAGACATGTTGAAAAAATTACTTGAAAACAGAAATGAATCTTGGAATGCCAATAAAGCTCTCGCTCTAGAAGCTATAAATAATTTAGCAGAATTATTTTCTGGTACTAAACCTATCACTAAAATCCAAGAAAATGAACAACTTAAACTTTGGTTTGACAATATCGGTAAACAAATTGCTTCGTTAAGTGAATCTATCACAACAAAGTCGATAAAGAAGATTACTCAATTGATACAAGCATTAGATGAAGTTGAAGAATTTCATGGCATTAAGAGCACTTCAACAATAATACAATACCTTTCCGAAAGTAAAGAAGCATTAAAAAATATATTGAGGACCGCAACTATAAAAGAAGATTCATTAGTGACTTTAGAAACAGTTGCGGATGTTAGTTACGCTTGGTGCACTATAGATGGTTACACTAAATTCATGCAAGATAGTATTAAAGAAAATCCTGCTGTGACAAGTAGACTTAGGGCACTTTTTCTAAAACTGGCCAGTGCCATGGAAATTCCATTACTCAGGATAAATCAGGCATATAGTGATGATTTAGTTTCTGTTTCCCAATATTATAGCAATGAATTGATAAAATATATACAAAAAGTCTTACAAATTATTCCTGAAATGGTTTTTAGTATTGTAGAAAAAATTATAGATCTACAGACGTGGAGTATTGAAGAAATTCCAACAAGATTAGAAAAGGAAAAATTAAGAGATTATGCACAACTAGAACAAAGAATGGAAGTTGCAAAATTAACTCACTCAGCTTCAACATTTACCACAGGCAAGTTATTTTATTTATGAATTTTTTATTTTAACATTTGCGTAAAATAATTCTATTCAAATAATCAATCGACTTCTTCAACTTTATCCAGAAATCTATCTTCGCCCCCATATCCGCCCACACCGTCTGACGGGCTCTGGTATATTAAAATCATATTTCCATTCCATCTACAAAATACTGCTCCCTCCTGATTGGCAATGAGTTTCAATTATCAACTAGGATTAATGAATGAATGTTGAATAATAGCATAATCTATTTTTGGAGATACAGACATCTTTTTTTTTTATAATATTACATTTTAGTCAATTTATAGGAATATTGGATATGCGATCAACTCTAGTAGGCATTGTGAGAGTAGACCCTGCGGAGCTGCTCGAAGAGGGTTTATTGAAGGAGTTGGACAGGCATATTAGTAAAAAATTTACTGAATTTTTGGAACCTCAAACGAAGAAATCTTTCACTGCACCCAACTTATTACCACGATTACAAAAATTAGCTGAAAGTATGAACGGTTATAAAAGGTCATTGGAATATATTCAAGATTACATAAATATTCACGGCTTACGAATATGGCAGAAACAGGTATTTTGTTTTTATGTATATTTTTAGAGCTCCCAACATGTAGAGTTCCGTAATACAAACATGTATACATACACATTATTATCATCAGACCAAGATTTGCTTTTTTTCATTTATTCAAAATTTGCTTTTATTTATGGAATTTTATTTTGTCTTATGAATCGTTCTTTATTATCTTTAAAATGATCTTATGTGCAATATTTTTAAAATGTTTAAAATTTTTGGTTAGGTTGCTGCCATTATAAATGAAAATGTCGACAAGGAAATTAGTTTGCGCAAAGGCGTCACTTTATATAGCCCATCCGCAGGGTTTATGGGAAGTCTCGCTAGGCAGATTGCACAATTAACAGACGCCAGGTATGTCTTTCATTTATAACAACTATTTTTTTTATTTATTATAACTTTTTTATATACGCAATTATAACTTGTTTAGAATCGAAGCATTTGGCGTTCCATTGTTTCTGCCTACCCTAATGGGAGACAGGCGTAACAGATATGTATATGTATGTATAACTTGTTTACTTTCAGATGTTGTTGTTATGTCACGATATGTGCAGCTTGGTATGATATTAAAAGTGAAAACGAAATTGTTAATACCAAAACATTTGCGAAATTAAATGACGCTATAGGGGTTGTTGGTCTTCATGGTCTTGATACTTTGTATGGACATATGATAAAAAATCAGTTACAAACTATACAACAAATATTCAAAAGCAGTCATGATAGAATTACTGTGGTAAATATGAAAGATATCAAAGATATAGAACAAACTATTTTCAAAGGTCAAAAACAAATACAACAATTATTGGAAGTCTTAGTGCTTATTGGCACATTACAAACTCTTAGAAAACACATTGCCTATCAATTGAATACCAGTTGCAAATTTGATTCGGCGCATTTGGAGTCATCTCTAAGAACAATGAATGAGTAAGTAGAATCTAAATGTAATTCTGTATCAAACAGTTTATATATTCTGTTGTACCTTATTACTTTTGTGTCATTTTTTCAATAACATTGCGTCAAAATGGACTAATATATAATAATATATACCTCTGAAAATGTCTTTAGATAAAGACGAAATCGGTCAGGTATTTATTATAACATATTTTGAAAGAGTACAAGAGTTTTTATAACAATATCGATGTAATAACTACAGATTTAATTAATGTGTAATAAGATCGAGAATGCTCGACTAGTTTGTCAGGCTCGCGCTCGCGCAACAGCTGCTCATGGATAAGGATCACGGATTGATCTCGAAACTAGTCTATATTTTTTGATCTAATTACACGCAATTTAAACTAATTGTTATTACTTTATAATGTGTGTTTACAAAACTTTTAACAATAAAATAATAAATGTCACGTCATAATCACTGATACAAAAATAATGTCACTTTTCATTTACAGTTCCGTGTTACAAGAATTGAAACAAGCTAGTGGTACAGAATATAAATCAAAAGTGTCATCAACACTGATGCATAATTTGGAGGATTATTTAGTGAGATGTGGAATCTATGACCCTTTTGATAAAATTTACTTGAAATTTTCACAAGAATTTATGAACTACAACATAAGTCAGATATTAGCAATAGTTTTAATATCTCAATTACCTAAACTGCAAATATGCTATACTACGGGTACGGTTGCAAAAGTGATTTATTTACCTACTTGTAATTTATAAAATAATCCCATTTTTTAAATATTTTAAAATTTTTTTTTTTTTATACAACTTAGAATGGCAAACCAGCTTCCAAAAAAATTCGAAAGTTGAAAAATTTTACCATCTGATAGCTCGATCTAAGGGGAGGTAAAATATATAAATATAGGAAACATTCTAAGACATAATCCATAAGGTTTTGCTGTTTATTACAAAAAAGTTATTGCCTTTTCAGGTGATCTGGTGTCAAAGAAGCCAGGAGAAAATGTGGATGGCTATCCATTACTTGTAGGAATTTATACTCTTCTGCGGCAGACAAGAATAGACAATATCGATACATTTGTTGATTTTCTATGTAATTATGCAAGCTTGATGACAAATGCCAAGTAAATATTATATTATTATTATTAGCCATTAACTTTGTTACTACTGAACACGAGCCTTCCCCATAAGGGAAGTTTTGCCAGTAGTTGCCACGCTTAGCAGGCGCGTTAGCAACCACAGTTTGGCTTTTAGAGATGTTTTAAGAGCGACGCTGCTGTCCATCCCTCGCCCTCCTTTAGTCGACTTACGACACTTACGGGAAAGGAAGGGGTGGCTTATTCTATGCCGGGACCATATCCATATATCGGACCGCGATTATATTATAATTTATTAGTTATTAGATTATAGATAGACTATCTAATACGATTTCAGATAAAATTAGGTATTACCATTTCGTCATATACAGCACACACTTTAACACGTGTATAGAGTCATGGTCAAGAAAACTTTAATTGAAATCAATAAAATATTAAAAAGACATAATTTTTCTGTACATTTTATGCAATTTACTTTGGTTTTGACTTTTGATCTGATATCTAGATTTTTTTTAAGAATGATAATGACCCTGCCTGCGTTATCAGCTCACGTTATTTTTATAAGATGAAAATATAATGGTAGATATTATTCATGTACGTCATAAGCAAGTACCTATAATAACTAATATTTCTCTCTTATATACCATACATCTTTTGAAATACGTTTTTTTTTTGTTTTTTCTACAGATCGAAGTCTTCAGAAATATCTTATGAAGGCACGTTAACTATAAGAGTACTGCAATTGTTTTGTGAAATCTTCGATTATTCTTACAATAAACTGGAAGACAAACTTCCCCTTGCTCTTTTAACAATTTCATTACAAAAATAATTGTGATTTGAGCTTCGATACAAAATGAAATATTGAGACAAGTTTCTTGCGATTAAATGAAGCATGTTATTAAACAATCGACTGAAAATATGGCATTATACAGTGCTATAATGCGACTGTTACGGATGATATTAAGTGTTTGATAGCAGGCATGACAAAATATGTCTTTTACAATTAATACTAACTGCTAGTACATCTCTCTCCTTCGTAAGATATTATATAATAAATAGTATTTAGTATGGATGTATTTGAGTACATTTATATACAGTATAGTTAATAAAAGTAAGAATATGTTGATAAAAAGCTCTCAGAAAAGAATTTAGTCTTCACACGATAGAAGGCAGCAGCAAAAACAATATGATAAATGTAGCAAGAAATATTAATAAATTAAAATGGACTGGAAATAATTCTATTAAAAAAAAAATATGCTAAAGATGTAATTATGTTCAAGAGTCGAAAGTGGAAGACAACGGTAGAGAATAATGAAGATGGAGTGACGATGTAAGAGCCAAAGCTGGCAATGCTCTAAATGGAAAGAAAAAAGAAGGGACGGTGAATTAGAGTGGGCAATGGAGTAGACCCATGTCGAAGGACAGAGTTATGAATATTATATTACTGTTATGTACTTTAAAAAAAATTGTAAATTCAAAATAAAATATGTTAATATTATGTAATAGTGTTTTTCTAATATAAATAATCCTTATTAATATTATAAATGTGAAAGTGAATACGTCTGTTTGTTATTTTATAGCGTATATAATATTATTTTATATATTATCACTATGAAATTTGGTATACACATCCTATATAGATGGAGAAGGTACAGGCTACTTTTATCTTGGTTAGTAAACGTAACCCGCGGATGAGGGGGGGGGGAAGGGATTGTTAGTAATTGGGAGGTTATTCCCCATTGCTATCAATATACCCTATCAGGTCGACCTGGAAACCATCGTGCCTAATTTATCGTTGAATTCGTCACGATGGGCTAACTGACCTGCTTTCATACTCATCTATCATCCCTCACTGGTGCCCAGCCAGTGTATATCAATAGCACAGGCTATACCATATCATTACATTTTCACCCATTAAAAAAAAACCTGCGGATGAGGAGGAAGAGATTATTAATAATGCGGTTTACCACTCCTATAAGTAACAATATACCCTAACAGGTCGAACTCCCAGTGGTCCCCATCGTGCTGAATTCCAAGTGTATTTATCACGATGGGCTAACTGACCTGCTATTTCATTCTCACGTATCATCCGTAACTGGGGCCCTGGTGATGGTCACTGGGCGGGGTTATCATTCCATTATCATTATTTAAAAAAAGCTACAGTAATAAATAAATACCAATAGACATATACACAGTTACTACACAGCGCCGGAGGAAAGGTATTGTTAGTAATGTCATGTCATGTCGACTGTCGACTGTCATGTCGACCTCCACGTAGTCTCCCCTGGATACCATCTTGTTGAATTCCTGGTGTAATCTTCACGATGGTTTATTTTTTAATGGGTGATAATGGAATTTTCACCCCGCCTGCGCTAACGGTATACGCTGGCAGGGTACCAGTGAAGGATGACAGGTGACGATGAAAGCAGGTCAGTTAGCCCATCGTGACTAATTGCACTAGAATTAACCACGATGGTTTCCAGGAGGAACCGCGGCAAAAGCAATTTATTTAAAAGTACTTCTTGTTTGCGACTTCATATGTGTCGATATGTGTAGATGGGTATATTAGGATAAAAGATAAAAAATATTAAGATTTTTAGAAATTTTAGAAATTGTGAAAACTGGATCCAATTCGAAACAGTAAATTATCGGGTAATGACAATATGCGTATTTAAGATCGGGCAGGTCGTGTCTGTCGTACAAATGTCTGGTGTCCAGCGCAGGATGCCAGCGAAGATTCGAGCTATTTATTCCAATAAATTAGACCATTTTCCAGAAAGGAAATAAACTCCAGTTTAGTCGCTTTCTGGAAAATGATCTAAAATACTCCAGTGGTAATGTCAAATTAAATATAAAGACCAAAAAGTATAAAAATTTTTTTTTATTACTCTTACAAAAAGTTTATTATTTGAATACAATAATTTTTGGAACCACAAGTAGGATTGATTTTTTTGCATTTAATAGCTCTTTTCTTCAAGAGGATTATAGGATATTTAAAATAATAGGACCACAGGCAAAGCCGTGGGATACAGCTACAACCATTGTCTATTTACAATATATTTTTATTATAGACATATATATTGTCATTGGTAATAATTAATAAATATAATAGTGCATGTGGTGTTTGCCTGTAAAAGACTTTTACATTAGGCAAAATTCTTTTTGGGTTATTGATTAAGTAACATGTAAAATGTGGAAGTTGTAGGTGAACCTTATTAAATAAACAATGCCTTGGTGTATAAGTGAAACCATTAGGTAGGTTGATTAAATGTCTATTGCCATTACCATACACTCTTATTGAACTTAAAAAATATATTGTTAAGTATCAACTTTCTAACTATTTAAATAAAATACTATTTACATGTAGTTTTGCCTTGCTAATTCTGGATTAAATTGTGAATTATACTTTGCTTTTATTTTGCTGACATTCTGATCATCAGGTTTAACAGGCGACTTATTGAAGCCACAAAGGAACATATCAGTTTTGCGTTTCTCTTCCTGCTCACGTTTAATGCGAGCTTCACGTAATTTTTGTAAGTTTTTTAACTTTTCTAATTTTTTTGTTTCTTTGTCTCTTTTTTTATGTTTGTGGACTGAAATTACTCTGGAATAATCATCAACAGATTTAGTTATAGAATTAGACTTAGTTTCTACTTTATTATTACAATATTTTTTGAATTTATTAACAGGATCAAGTGATTGTTTAGATTTCCAATTAATTTCACCATTTTTTATATCTATATCTTTAACTTTTGGTTTCCCATCGTCATCTCGAAGTACTAATTTTTCATATGTATCTTTAATTTCAGTAGTATTTAAAAATCTTGATTCTGGTAAAACTTCATACCAATTTTTCTTTTTAAGAGCTTCATTTGTATCCTGTCCCAAGTATGTCAGATATCCAATTTTCTTCTCATATTCTTCCTTCTTTTCTTTAGTCTCTTTATCATGCTCTTTGTTTGTAGTTCTGACAGCATGATCTAAATCTTCAAACAAATTTATATGTTTAAGATTTGATATTGATGATTGATTATCCACAATTCCACATTCAAGTAATTTTTGTTTGCTTTTTTGTTTAAGAACATTAAGTCTAGCTTCACGGTCTGCATTTTCTATTCTTAGTCTTTCTTGTCTATCCTTTTCAGCAGCTTCTGCTTCATCTCTTCTTACTCTTGCAATATTCTCTTTTGTTCTAACATGCCATCTATAAAAGAAAAGAATGATTTGTAGTATGTTAACTAATCTATAAGAAATTGAAGTAGTTGTTTAATAATATTTTGGAAAATAGAATCATAATCAACTCATCTTTGAGACAATTAAACAATCAATTGTTTTATTGGTTATTATTTCATTACACATTATGTTGAGAGATGAGCAGGAAGTTATTACGAATTTAGTTTTTTTGCTAAGAAATGAATGGTTTTATTATTTTTGAAAATACCTTGGAAGCTAAATGTGTGTTAGGACATGCAATCATATTAGGATATTATAAGAAATGTTATTACAAAGTTTATTTCAAATGTTTGATATTAAACCCATAGTAAATATTAATGATACATATAACATTTCCCTATGGTTGACTGGAAAAGAATACTTTTAGCATTAAGTCTGCCATGTACACATATATGTACTAATGAATAAATAAATAAAATAAATAAATTATTACAATTAATTAAGTATTGATTTGAGAAAAATAAATTTTGATTTAATATATCAAATAGGTTTCCTATATGCATTCATGGTAAACACAACATGTGCAACACAACACGACATGTGTGGTAGACAGGGACAAGGTGGAGACAGTGACTAAACTGAACTCAATGTGGATAAATTTGAGGGCACTAGGTATCCTTATTAATATTACACAATGTGAAAGTTGGGTTTGTTGGTTTATTAGTTACTTTATAATGTGTTAATGGTTAACCCATCACTGTGAAATTTGGCATACACATATCACATAGGATGAATAATGATATACGCTACTTTTTATCACAGTCAGTAAATATATACCAGTGACGTGGACAGAGGCGAGAGTATAACCTAGTAATTAATAAAACAGATGGTAAAGTGACTCGCACAAGTGAGGTCGCAGGTAGAGGTTAGTATTACATAATAAAGGTATCAGAGCGTGTTAGATACAGTCATGCTTTTAAAATATTATGTAAATGATTCTCGTGTAGGTAATAGCAAATAGCAAAATAAATATTAGTTATTGTACGTACTAGGTAGCAAGAGATATCGGGAAATTATGTATGATACGAACCTTTTTTTTGGTAAGATATTCATAGTTAATTATATTATAAGTATGCTTTGAGTCAAAGAAAATATAACATTCTAGTGATAAACAGAATATATTTGTTAGCTTATTTACTTTGATCTGTTTTTATATTATGTTTAGTTATCGATTAGATGACATTTGATTATAGTAACTTGACATATAAAATTATTGTTAGAAACAAACATAGATAAAAGAGATTTAAAAAAAAAAACCCGCATGACCTAAGAACACTAAATTACATAGAAAGAAAGATAAAATAAAAACTGTAAATTATATGATTGACTTCTTTCTTCTTATGCAAATATAATTAGTAAAAAGACGAAAGATATACCATCAGTCGCTATTTTTCTTAATTCATAGCAAAGAACGAAAGGAAGGAAGAAAAGAAAGGAGACTGATTGCCTCCTTTCTTATTTTATCTGCCTGTTCTTATTTTATCATTCTTTTTATGTAATTTCTTGTTCTTAGTGTAGCACGACTGCTTGTATTGCAATAGTATACACTTAATTGTCTGTATGAGTAATCCGATTCATATAAATAAAATAAAATTAGGTTTTAAGGAAGTAGGTGAAAAAAAATAGTAGATGATGAGTTCAGAAAATTTTTAATGCGTCAATTCAATTCCTTAAGAAAGAACATCAAGAAAATATTCAAATTATTCGTCATTGACAGGAAAATAAAATAACGAAATATAAAGAGGTTTCACAACAGTCTGTTTGATCTGTGGTGCACTGCATTAGCGATAATAGCAACACTGGCCCGGTCGTGTCCATAATGGAATTAATGGACGCGAAGTGGATACATACCTATAAATTGTAAATTTGAAATTGCTTTCCTGTTGAATTTTAATTGCATGTAAAGTTTATTACTTATTTAGATGAACAATATACTTTCAGTAATTTTTTTCTTAAGTTGTAATATGATATATTTTGTGATGTTGGTGTTTTCCTCTAAATTTTCTTAAACAGGTTATCCTTTACGTAGTCAACAAAAATAAACTTTAGCAACATAAATATCTGAAATGGAAGTTGTAGAAGAGACGTCTATAGTGAATTCTACAGTGGATGATATGAAGTCCACTCTTGCAAACAACGAAACCCCTACAATATCCCATGAAGTGGATGGATGTCAAAAGACAAATGGATTCGCCGAGTCTGAGAAAATCAAACATTGCGATATAAAAGAAAACGCAACAGATAATAGTTGTGTTGGGTCTGAAAGTGAAATTGAGGTTGAAAGTAAACCTGATGTGGTTACTGCTGAAACTCAAAAACCGGTCATTCCCTTATCAGCCGAACAGCATATTCCATTGCAGAACACAGAAGCTAGCGGTACCGACTTACTAAATAAATCGGATAGTAATGTGGTAACAGCCAATGTTTTAAGTACACAACCAGAGTCAAAACAAGTTGAAAATGAATTAGAAAAGGACCCATGTGAAATTGAAGTTAATAGTTCTGAGGTAATCCACAATGATAATGTCACATTTGAAACAGAAATTTTGGTAGAAACCAATGATGCTGATGTTAATGAAATAATAGCAGAAGAATCAATACAAGATACGGCAAACAGTATCTTAAGTGAACTTGGTCATAGTGAACTTAGTGAAGCATTACGCTCTTCAGGTAGCACTGAAAATGGAGAAAACAATAATCATAGTACAAGACAGGAGGTATTTAATAAAGAGGAATTATTAGATATTTTAGAAGGCAATGATGTCCAACAAACAAGTAATGATGTACAATATGAAGTGGAATTAGATTGTTCCAGTGGTCCAGACTTGGAGGCCTCAATAGCTTTGCAGCAACTATCTAAATTAAAAAAAAGTAGAGCTAAAATGACTTCACGCAAAAAAAATGTTAAAATTGCAGTAAGGAAATCAATCTCTAAAGAGATTAAAAAGGAAGATAGTATAGTTAATTTACTAGTGAAAGATTGGGAAGATGATGTGCCTGTTGAAGGAGAACAGACTGACAAGTTAAAAGAGGAATGTGATATTGTTTTAAATTCTTCTGAAAAATTGATAAAGACACAGGAGACTTGTATAGATTCTTCAGTGACTGAAGGTTTGAATAAAAATAATGAAGATGGTCAACCTCAAAGAAGATTCAGTAGAGTAATAAAGAAAAAAGTTATATTTGATCCTGATAACCCTGATACATTTACAAAAAGTAAGTCAGCTGTTAAAAATAAAGAAATCCAAATAGAAAAGGAAGAACCACCAGTCAAAAAGAGCAAAATTGACCAAGTTCATAGACCTAAGTCAAAATCTCCTATCTCAAAATTACAGTGGAAAAAACCTTCACCAAAAAATAGTACTAAGCAAAATAGGAGACTAACAGAAATTGACAGATTGTTAATGGATGAAGGTGCAGTAAACATGATATATCAGTTGACACCTGAAGCTCCAAAGGGCAAAAAGAATATGAAGACCAAAGCAGAATTTATAAAGAAAATACAGAGTTCTACACCTGAAAGTAAAGAAATGAAGTTTAGAGAGAGAAAAAAGGAAACTGGTAAATGTGATGAAGGAGAAGCTAAAAAGATCTTGGGAGGCAAACATAGAGCATCACTAAGTAGTTCTGTTAAATCTCCATCTGTGTGTGAGGATTTTGAAACTCATAGTGCAGATGATTCAATAATTTACCGCCGTCATTCATCCAGTTCTTATTCTAGCACTTGCATGAGTCCACGACGCCTAAGTGATGTGGAGAGTGGCAGCCAAACAGCTCAAGGCAAGGCTTTAGATAATGAAAGCCAAACTGATGAGGCAGGACAAGGTAGTGTTGTTGCAGACACTTTTATTTCTGATATTAAAAAAATACCTAGTAGTGAAATTATCAATAGAGATGATTGTTTATCAATAAAAGAAAAACTAAATTCTAAATTATCACTTGCATTAAATAAGAGGAAACGTGAAATCACAAAAATTGATAAACCAATCAAACAAAAGAAAATAAAAGCAAAAGAAAATTTGATATCATTTAAATTCTTATCACTTACATTTGATCAAAGAGTTGCTGAGATTTGCATCAGGAAATCAGGATGTAAATGGAGTATTGAGGTAAATATAGTTATTTATATATTTTTTTATATATGCTCTAAGCTCTTTAAACATGTAATGAAAGGAGTGCTATTTGTTTTGAACTTGAAACTTAGTATATTATAAATGCAAATGATTTAATTTCTACAGACAAAAGTAGTATAAAATTATTTCATTAGATAGTACTTTAACTGCAAAAGATAATTTAAAAGTGGTGTTTGACTCCTCTATTGAGTAGACAAAGCAATGTCTCATCTACCTTTTGTGTGGGCTGTGGGGACCTGTAATATAGATTTTGATTCTGTCCCAGTCACTAGTGCCTAACATAGTCATGTTAATTTGTTTGTATTTTTTTTTTTATACAACTTAGAACGGCAAACAAGCTGATGGCTCACCTGATGGAAAGTGGTAACCGTCGCCTATAGACATCAGCAGTGCCATGGAAATAACAGTATACTGTTTCGCCCATGCGTTGCCATTCCTGAGGACTCAGGTGTTATTCCTCTGTACCCTCTAAATTCACACCATATCCCACCCTTCAAACCGAAACACAGCTATGCAAACACAACTGCTTCACGGTAGAAACACTTATGAAATGAGAAATAAACGTATCTCGATATTTTATCTGTCATCTGTACCTTTTGATTAGTAATATCCGTGTTTTTCAATAAATACTAATGCAAAGTTTTTGTAAAAATGAGTGATATATTAGTGTACAGATTAAATATATAGTTGTGCAACCTTATTAATCATGTCTCACACATATATGTCTTTGGCTTGCCTTATGTAGCTTACTTTGGCTTTGGATATTTTTATTATTATGTTATATGAATATATACAGTTATTATTCATTAATGCTATATACACATTACTGTTATAAAATGTAATTAGCAAATTATTATTACAGGTGTTTAAGGAATTGGTAAATGCATTCAGTTATGTTGACACAAGGAAAGATGTATCTGTGACATTATTAACATCTGAGTGTGGTACATTATGCTCGCAGTTAAACCTGACACCATTGTTAGATGACAATACAGAGAAAAGGACAAATTTTGCATATGAGCTTGCTGAATCAATCAGGTTACAATTTTTATTTATTTATCTAAATACATTTATTAGATGAAGCCTTTGTATAATGTGAAAGTCTCTATCTCATGTGTCTTTCTGTCCTCAATCAACTGTAATTGCATGTCTGTGTATTTTTTAAATGGATGATAATGAAATGATAACCCCACCTCCGCTAAAAGCATATTCTGTTAGGGTATCAGCGAGGAATGACAGATGAGGTGACAAGGCAGGTCAGTTAAACCATCATGATAAATTCACTTAGAACTGGGCATGATGTCTTCCTTGTTAAGTGTTAGGAAGTCGACCTAATAGGGTGTTTAACTAGCAATGGGGTGACTAATCCTCATTGTTAACAATACCTTTTCCTTTTTGCATAGTTATGTTGCAGTTCGAAGGATCTGATGTGGTGAGGAAATCACTGGGTATATAGAGTAAAATATCTTGCATGGCATGGGTACTATAGGGCTTAGGATGGACGTGCGATGTTTATGATGCTATTAGTGTATATAGGTGATGGTTACCTCTTTCTATCAGGTGGGCCTTTGTTTGCATTTCAATATATAAATAACAATAGTAATAAATTAATCATTCATTCTTCTACATATATTAACATTTTATATTTATATATAGTTAACAGATAATATGAAAATCTCCGAATTAGGCATTCGATATTATTATTTACTAACTTTATCCACGATTCGAAACTCGTTAATATTTCATACTTTAATAGGCCCTTTAAATTCTCGTAATTGAAATAAAGGAAGGTCTGTAATATAATAAAAAGATTTGCTTATTTAAGTTACCAGTCTAATTTTGTAATAGGGAGTTCCAAATAGTTTTAATAATATTAATTTTATAATACATTACATAGTAACACCTAGGCTTTCAAAAAATATGCGATAGTAAATTGAAGATAATTTGAAAAGATTCTAATTTATATTTCCCAGGTCATTCCTGAGTTTGTTGGTTCAGCACAATAAACTGGTGTGTGCGGCAGTATCGGGGCCGTGTTTTGGCGTTGCTCTTGCGCTGGTAGCATTGAGCGACATAGTCTTTGCCTCGGAATGCGCCAATTTCTCCCTAGCCGACCCCATGATGGTCGGAGCGCCTTTAGTGCCAGGAGCCGCAGCGTTAACGGCGCCACACCATTCCTTATCACAGTCTTTGGTTAGTAATGCTGCAATTTATGATGATTTTCCTTCTCAATTTAGTATTTTTGCTTTTCCTTACTTTTCTTATTGTTTCGAGATTATAAATACAGAACGAACACGAAAAAGAACGTTTTTCGTTAGAGTTGCATATGTTGTGGCGACGAACAGTTGCGATAATTTTTAAAGAAAAATAAAATGGTTACAAAAGTATTATTACTATTAATAATCTAATAATAATAGTCGTAATAAAAATACCGAAAAAAAGAAAACCACTCATTTATTTTTAAATACAATTTTAGACTACTTAAAATAATCACATTTAAATTTTGATGAAATGAGTATCGGAGCAGTATGGCAAAACTCTTTTGATTAAAATATAATTAGAGATGACGCGAGAATTATAACGTGAAGTATTACAGTATATTATATGTAGAAGTAGATTGTCAAATAGCTTGTCTGGAAATAAGCAGCTTCTGTTGCTTCTTATAAGACAAATAAGACATTCTACATTATACAGATATTCTACAACCGTCAATATAAATGTACTTAATTGAAGCTGTTTAATTGTCTGTAGAACACGTAATAAGGTAGTTGTGTGTTTACATGCAACACTGCCATCGCGACTTGTTTATTATACTTCAATAGAGTTCACAACGCTGACGCCGTTTCTGTGGAGTCAGGTGGAAAACCTTAGCTAGTATTAAATGGACACTTTGCGAGTTTAGTTTTTTGTTCCGTCTTATTAATTGGGTGGTGATTTAATATTGGAAAGTCGAACATGGCAAGGTGTAAGCTAGGTATGACCTAGGTTATATACAATGTAGAATATTAAAATTAACCAATTTTCAAAATAATATTTTATTTTTATATCCAATTATTTGCAGGTAAAAGATTTGCTTATATTTGGACGCCAACTGTCCGCGTCTGATGCCTTGCAGGGTGGCTTAGTAAGCCGTGTTCTATGGCCTGACAGGTTTCTGAGCCAGCTACGTGGCATCGTTAAAGATATTGCAAGTCAACCGCCGCCGGTGAGTAAAATCAGTAGTCTTCATACTCAGTAGATGTATTATTTTTGATAGATTGGCAGTATGCTTTCCATCCTCTACCGCGATACAGTAATTCTGAAATGTAATCATATGTGACGCCGCCGTTATGTACGCATATATGATTCTTTGGACATAAACAAGACTGATACAATGCGTTAAGATCATAGTTGACATTTCCACAGAATTCCCCTGTTTCGCATAATGGCAGGAAAGAACACCGATATACATGTATCGCATCATTATCATCGGTATTAGATTTTGGTCTCCAGTAGTTAGGGTTACGGCACCGACAATTAAATATGATCTTTGGCGGTGTAAGCTCAATGTTTCTGTGGTGCAGTTCCTCTATTTCGTCTGGGTTGATACGGTCATAAGAGGTTTCTACTATAAGTGGCGAATCTATGTTTGAACATTCTGGCCAGTCAGTGATGGGTTTGCAGAACTGAAAAAAAAATTTATGTTTTAGATGAATGAATGAATGTTTTAAGACGAAATTAATGTTAGTTTGGATTTAGTAATAGAATGTAGTTATTATCTTTAAACATAATGCTTATGTGTGTTGTGGGATATTTTTTTTATTACACAAAGACACCAAGCTCTGCTGATGGTAGGTAAGCGGTTATTGTAGTTTATGGATCATTGTCTTCCATTTATACTGAAATCTACTCTACCACGATAACTAGCCACATAATTGTTATTAAAATTATTAAAAAGTCTGCTTTACTTGAAAATAAGCGCGGTTGTTGAGCTCTATAAGTGAATTTGACGGTGCGATGGCGTCACAACGCATGCGCGCCGCACAGCGACAGAGTCGTACTAAAGCCGGATCTTGCCAGTACCGCAACAGTAGCACCGAGCATGCTTGTTTCTCCTCACAAGCTGGTAGATTTCGTTCACTTTCCTGTCAAATATGTTAATTCCTGCTTTTTAGATTATTTTAAATAAATATACTGCTTTCACTTCGATGTTTTGCTGAAGATTATCCCTACATGTAATTTATAAATTATGCAAACAGAAAAGTATGTCTGTAATAAGAAATCATAGTGACTTTCTTACCGAACCATAATAATATAAAGCCGGCTCCTGCTCTTTGCAACTTGTGTTTCCATACATTACAACCAAACAAAGACCAAAAAGCAAATAATTTATGAATGGCCACATTGTTAATTGACGTTACTGACCACCGATCATTTTATATTATTCTCGATTCGATTGCTGATAGGTCGTAACCTAAAACGATAAGCGTAACCTTGTTATGAAATTGTTCTGAATAAATCTGATTTTAAAGTGTTAACGTCGAAATAACATTAATAAATTTAAAAGAAATATCCCATTAAAACCCCCCATAATTTTGATTGATACTGACTTTCCTAACATAAAACCCTAATCAACTAATTACCTTTCAGACTCTTTTGCTGAAGAAAAGGTTAATGCAGTTGAGAAACGGTTCCGACATCACATTCCTGTCGTGTTTGGAAAAGGAACGGGACCTGATTGTTGAATATTGGACTTCGGCTGAGGGCCAGGATTTGCTCCGTGCAGCCCTCGCTACCACCTAAAATAGACCTGTATCATCAACAACGGTCACCTGTGCTTGCGCGTGTCTTGCGATGATCTTATTTGGGTATGGTTACAAGTTGATAAAATTGTTATACTTAATACTTAGATTTACAACATTCAGCACAACAAAAAAAAAAAAAAAAAATACTAGATAATTTTTGTTTTATTTATTGACCTTTATAGTGCACTTGTTAAGCTTGTTGTATTGTAAAGATGTAGCCCCGGGTTTGAATCTCGGTTGGTCAATTCTGAAAAGATACTTTAAATCGGCTCAAATATAGGTTTTGTGGACCATGCCTAGATGTTCTGTGAACACATAGGTGTGACAGTCTGGCAGTATAGAAGTATGTATAGTGCGTTTCAATAGAAGCTATTGTAAAGGTTTGTTGAAATTATTACAAAAACAATCTCTAAATGAAATTAGGAATTAAATAGTTTCAATCATTAATAGATTTGTTATTTTTTTGTTTGATATCAGTAACTGTCGGTTGTCGTGGTCGAGTTTTTTATTCATTTGTTTACTTTTTCATTTTGGAACAGACTACATGTATAATTCGGTACGGCATTTTGTTACATAAAATAAGATAAACCATTTCCATTCTTTTGGTTTTTCAAAATGAATGAAGTTTTAACCAGTCAATGCTTAAAACTTTTTTCAATTTGAAAACCTTTTTTTTTTCTGTATTATGAAATTTAATAAATAGGACAAATAAGGTTAGGCAATTTACATGTTAATTTTACTACTAAATTTGTAATTAACTCACGAAGTCTTTTTTAATAAATTGTGGAAAGTAAAAGAATGGAAAGGTTATATTTTATATCAATGAAGTTAATTTATAGGGATGCCAAATAAATATTTGTGAAATAACAGAATATATAATATGGTAAATGACAAGTTTTACCAGTATTTACTAATATCCCTATTATGTACTCCTCTGATCTCAATTTGTAACACGATAGAAAAGTAATCGATAGGCGAATATAAAAAAAAAATATATATAATTTTTTTACATACAAATGCGCTATAAACGTGCTTTACACGTTGCAGGCCAATTATAAAATTAGGCAGATTATATCTTATACAGGATTTAAAAGCGGTATGCGTTAATCTAACAAAAAAATTATTAACTATGCATATAACCCCTGAATAGATTATATTTTTGTCTGGAACCATCTTAAGCAATCTGGAATTTATAATGACGTAATATGGAGGTAAACAACATGCATATCATGATGTTCCTATGCGTTCTTGGTAGTGATGTATGAATCGGAATGATTTCATTATTCGAATAAATAATAATTAATATCTTGATAAAATCGAAATATTAACTATAAAATGAAATACTTGTAAATAGTACATAAATAAAAGTATGTTTATATACTTATATCAAAATAATAACAGTCGAATCATTTATTATAGCATTAGGATTTCTATAAGCATGTTTTAATCACTTTTTGTGTATTTATGTATGGCTTTCTCGGCGCACTAATAAATAGTTTTTTCGGTGACTTTATATCTACTATTTGTGTGCATGTACATAGCCATTTTTTTTTTGGAAACAAAAATTAACAAATTTAAATACTGACCAAATTCGTGTATGACACTCGATGATTGTTTACTTTCGTGTGACGTCACTGACGCCATATTGTTGAAAAGTTGCGTTTCGTCGGCCTTGTACTTTCAAGTAGCTGAAAATCAGTCAAATAGCCTATTACTCACTAATGATTCATATTGATAATACAATTGTCCTGTATAAAAATATCTGTTTGTTTTAAATTGCCATGACTATTTGGTAATCCCAGCGGTTTTTTTTTTACAATATTAAGACTAAGAAATTATATAATGATAGAGCGAGAAACATACACATAATCTGTCTTATTTTAAGAATGGCTTGTGATGGGCTACTATTTGCGACACTGAATTATAATTTATATATTTTATTTATACAGATAGAATATGATGGCGATATTAGCATTAGGGCATTTATAATAGGAGACACATTGGTAAAGTATAATCACATTTTGAGGATAATTATGTAAAAAACACTAGTAGGTGTAGTTACATTCCTCAACTTTGTCGAGGTAATATATTAACAATGTTTCAGAGATTGCCATTTGAAAATTTTCTTGTTACGCTAATGGTAAAAAATGGCTTTTGATTTCATGTTTTTACATAATGATGTATATGCAAGTTTTAGTTATCTAACTATATCTATTATTTTAATTCATTTTCACAGCTCGATTTTTCATTTTGTAGATTTCATAAAAGTTAACTTTATGCATAGTAAAATAAATATTACGTAAGTAAACTGCCTTATCTTATTTAATTATCCTAATTAAAGATTAACCTAACCTATTAAAGATACAGTGGCCAAGGTAATCTGAGAGATCAGCCAGCGTAGTGTGGGCGATCCCCGTGATGAGATGACCTTAAGTGTTACAGTGTAGATGAATGCAAGTAGCTCAGGATTGTGTAACGAAATATGAAGGAAATGTATGTAATGATTATGATGAAGGAAATTAGGTTGGCAAGTTTAACAATTTTTACAAATTAATGAAAAATCGAGCTGTAAAATAAAAGGAAAGAGCATGGTATTGTAATAGTTCTGTGTAATAACACAATTTCGGATTATCTGTAAAATAGTGTGTCGTGGACCAATATTTAATAGACCGTTTTACATATAATAAGCAATAGTTTTATAACCGATTTTGTAATATTAGTACTTTCACAAAGGGATCGATTTTGAAGCGCTTTTTTCAGTCTCTCAGATATATAGATTCATATTATGTATTAAGATCATAAGTTTAGCGAATGACGCTTACCATTGATCCCATTGAGCGTCTCCTAATTTAAATGCTCTAATTTTCAGCCTATTTTATATATTATGTAAGATACTCTTTATTTTGAATATTATCAACTAGATTAAAACCATGTTGAGAAAAACGCATCACATATATGCTGTTAGTTTCATTATACTATCAATAGTAATGTAATATTGAATGCAATGATGACTACACTGAAATTCGATGTTAATGTCCTACATAATGTACATTACCTTGTGTAAAATGTTACTGTGCTCAGAAATGTGCATAATAAAAGTAATAGTTATTACAATTCTGATATAATTATCTATATCAGATTTATATATGTAGTTAAGTATGTTTAATTAATTATATGTATTGTGAATATTAAGAGACTAGAAAAGAATATTAGGAAAGGGCGATTGTTTGTAAGGGTAGGTTTAGAATATTTTAAGTATTTTGTGACTAGACTTGAAAAATATTGGGGGTGTAACAGTTTTAAAATTGAGACTACCGTAAAAATCATAAGTATATCTACAAATGTTTATAGTAAATATTTGATAAAAGTACTTGTAAGAGCTATAAATAAATGTGTAATGTAATGTGGCATAAAGCATGGAATTTCCAGGAATAATTAAGTGTTAGTAGTATTTAGTTAGATTATCAGATTATGTTATGTTATAGATAAAATTGTTTATCACTTTGTTTTAGATGTTTATGAGTTTATAATTTAGATTAATTGTGTTTTAGCCAAAGCTCTTAACTGAAATATGTAGTTCTAAATCGTAAATGGCTAACTAATAATTTCCATCTTCAAATATTACATTAAAAAATAAGAGTTCGTGCCCACTGATGTATATGTGGAGCACCTTTAAGCCCATTACGCCGTATCACTCTTAAACCATACCATACTAACGAATGTAAGAAAATATTATTGGTAGCTAAACGCAACGATAAGACCGTTTTGTCACCGGCCACCACCGTATCTTGCCAATATGAGATAATCAGCAATCCCATTTTTTGAGCGCAAGGCACGCGATATTGCCAAATTAGTATCTGCAGGCAGCTTATGAAGGTAATGAATTCATTAGCGTTGAAAGTTTTAAGGAATATGTATGCTAAAGTGTTAAATAGTATGTATACTCGTACATATTTTTGTAATGTGATTTGTGTTGCATGGTCTTATAACCTATTGTGGTCGTGGTGAGATAATTGTAATACGGTGTAATGGATTTGGAGATTTATCTCATCAAATTGGTACATGGCACTTCTTAGCGAATTACACAGCGTGCTGGCGACGATGTAAAGGATGATTTCCACCAAATGGCTCGCATCGGATAGGATCGGAATAGACTTTACAATCTTTAAACGATATTAAATCGTGTACACAGATTTAAGGTCTATATTACCAAGCCGCACACATCAGCTTAACCGCGGGCGTCTTCCGCGATACGCGATCGCAACCGAAAGTATGCTGCAACGCGTGATTGGCTCCGTTCACATGTCGTCGTATTTGATGGGATCCTTTTGGCTGTCGTCGAGTGTGTTCAAAGCCGTGACCGGGCGGCATCACTCATTTTCTTTTCCTCTTCTGTTTTAAAACTATTTTATTCTAATTCTATGCTAACTCTATTCTAATGCTATCCTAACAATATTACATCAACCATTTTCAGAAATTAAAACTCGTCAACACGGTAGTATTCAAACTGTTTGACTAGGCGCAGAGACGGATATGTTCACAAGTGATGATACGAAGTATGCGCCAACTCCTTTCGGATACGATAGGATGACGCCGCCTTCGTTCTATTGCTTTCGATTCAATGCGATGCGAGCCGTTTAGTGGAAATCGACCCTATGACGTTTATGAACTCGTGGATAGCACTATATTGGGAAGAAAAGAGCGAGTGTACGCTAATCCTTATATGGCTCTCAGAGCGTCGCGTATAAGTTGATGTGCTATTATTAAAGGGAATTTATAATTATATGTTTTGAACACGTAATTCTACAGACATCGATAATGGGCGGTCTTCTCAGGCTGTATTCTCGCCAATAAAATGTATTTGTGCTATTTTCGATAGTATTTGTATTCTAAACCAAGAGATGAAGAAGTAAATATTGAATATGACTATGTAAATATTTTTCGCTATCAAGAATACAGCCAAAGAGCATTCATTCCTTTTTCTATATAAAGTTGACTGTTGAAATTAATTATATTCAATTTCTTTATATTCATTTAAGAATTTATGTATTTAGTTCTAATATATCTATATAAGAAATATTTGTGTATACTTACATTTAAGTATAGCAATAATTTATTACATTTTGTTTCTTACTTAAAATAAAGTGCCTTTAATGAAAGTGTTTGTTTTTATCAATGGCAATTTCACTCTACCTATATTAAAAACAATTATGGCCCTATAACGGTGGATTTGCAGTTCTGAGTTGAACATTCCTATGAATAGAACAAATAAAAGAGGATGAAGGAGGATAACAAAATAATGCAAAATATATATATACATAATGTTTATTAAATTCATAATTACACTTTTTCTGCGACATTCGATATGATCGGTTTTGGTCTTGATTTAAATAAGATTTTCTTTTTGACGACCGCTCTCACTTTGTATTCAGTTTTATCAGACGCGTTCACTTTCTCAATAACCGCCATTGGTTGATCCAGTTTTACTTCTTTTCCGTTTAGCACATGATGGCCAAGTATCAAAACTGGGTGATGGTTTCTGCTGTAGTAGTGTAAGTCGCCAACGACTGTGGGCCCTTCCAAGGATTCCTTCTTAGTTTGAATTAACCCCTGTAATTCCACTATAGCCCATTCGGGCACGCCTCCTTCCGTTTCAGTTTTACTGGAATAGACGACATTGAATATTTATTCGAAAAAAAAAACATTTATGGACGTAAAATACACAATATGTAAATGTACATTGGCAACAACAATAAATCTCGACATTTTGTTAGTTACACTAGAGTTAGGAGGAATAAAGTATTATAAAATATTAAGTATTTTCAGAGTTGGAGGTAAATAATTTGACGTTTATTGATTTTAATAAAGTCAATGTATGAAGCAGGTTAATAAGTTCATCGTGATAAAAAATAATTAAGATTTTCAGGGAGCCGTGTGGAGGTCGACCTGATAGGGTATATTGCTTGCAGTTACGACTCCATTATTAATTTCTTTCCCCCGGTCATGAGGGTTATCTTTGCGGAAGAAGAACATTTAAATTATTTTAGTGCATAAAACTGGATTTGAATTACTTAAGACATTAGTCTATGGTGAAAGCAACGGGTAGTTTTCTCCTTCATGAAAAGTTGTTTGTGCAGACCCTTAAACTTATATAAAAATAGTCCAATTTCAGACTCGATCTGGAACTAAAAATGTAAAATAAAAAAAAAAAATTAAAGGTCAAAATACATTTATTATTTTACGTCTGTAGATGGTTTTGGTCGGTGTATGTGTCGTTAATATCGGAATTTCTTAAAAAGAGGATGTTTGTTCTGTATGCCAGAGCGGCGGTGCTCGAGGTAGAGGCCGTCGTCGGCGCCAGCGAGTGAGGCGAGGCTGCCGGCGGCGCGCCGCGCCGACCCTGCGCCGCCTGATCCACCGGCCCCACCCTCGCGTTCCTCCTCGCACTCTGTCTCTGATGCCGCGAGCACCTGCCGTGTACAAATGTTATAGACCATCTACATTCACTGTTCTTTGTTTTTTTTTGTAACAAGTCTTTTATGCAACATTATTTTTAGGAGCCTTAAAGAAACCCTATATACTTATTTAACATGTAAAAAAATGTACTCATGACCTTATGGTCATGAGTATGGTCATAATTATCCCATCGATATTATTATCTGATGGGATAATTAGAGGCAACTAGTTAACTGTTTGGGTGAATATCCGACTGCCTACATTTCGCAGAGTGTATTAGAACGATTCATTCCTCACGTATGCCTGCTGCATATTTATGTAAATAAAAAGTAAAACCTGCCTATTGTTAAGTGAATTTAGATAGGACAATGAGTTTTGCGTTATTTTTTTTTAAATATACATCATACAGATATGGTAAAGTACGAGGGGAGGTCAAAAAGATCGCGGAATGAGGGGAAAACGGGGTTGAAATTAAACATGAAACTATTATTCCTTTTCAATATATTCTCCCTTAATTTTAATACATTTTTCATATCTCTCAAATAATTTGTTTATACCATTGAAAAAAAAAAAGGTTTATCTTTGCTGTTAAAATAGGCCGAAATTGCAAACTTGACTTCTTTATCGTCGCCAAATTTTTTTCCACGCAGCTCCTTTTTCATTTTTGGGAATAAATAATAGTCGCTGGGGGCCAAGTCTGGACTGTAAAGTGGGTGGTTTAATGTTTCAAACCTCGGTGGAAGGCAGCCGTCGCAACATGGCACATGTTGATGGAAGTGTTGTCGTGCAAAAGGAGCACACCTTTTGACAGCTTTTCTCTTCTTTTTTCCTTGATAGCTTCTTTGAATCTGTCCAGTAAAGAAGTAGTACTGTCCCGTTATAGTCACACCACGATTTTTTAAAAGATCAGCAAAATTGCCTTCTGTATCCCAAAAGATAGTCGCCATGGTCTTTCCGCCTAATTGTGACATTTTAAACTTCTTCGGAGGCGTTGTGCCTTTTTTATGCCTCTGCATCGACTTTTCCTTCGACTCAGGTTCATAGTGGTAAACCCAAGTTTCATCCCATCTTGCATTGACTTTAGTCATGGCAAGATGATGATGTAGAATATTTAAAATACTTGTTTCGGATACTCCAACCATTGCTGCAAGCTGTTTCTTCTTCAGCCGGGTATTTTCTAATACAAGTTTTACTACTTTTGCGACGATTTTCGGTGTGGTGGCCTCAATTGGCCGTCCGGAGCGGGGGTCATCTTCAATAGACTCTCTTCCTTGTTTAAAAAGACCATGTCACTGACTTGTAAACCATAGTTTTATTAGGGGCAGAGTCCGCATAAACTGTTATCAGCTCTTGAAAAATCGTCTGAGCGGATTTTCCTTGCTTGGTGAGGAACTTAATAACGGCACGGTGTTCAATTTTCTCCATACTTGCTGACTTCTTCCCGATTCACTTGTTTGTAGGTCGATAACTCAAAAGTTAATGACTTGACTTGGTTCAAACTTTGTAAATATACTCTTAATGAGGTGCTTAACAAGTGACTACCTGGATAAGTTAACTAACCCCCAGCAACCCCTCTATTCCGCGAACTTTTTGACCTCCTCTCCCCAGAAAAAATTGAACGAAATTGTTTCCAGTTTGTTGCAGTAGGTAATACTGAATTTTGTTTGTACAAAGAGTTTACAGTTACAATTTAAAATTTTATCAAATTGCACTTTCTTGCATTAATATATCGCGAATCTCTCGCAGAGGCGTTGTAAGGCGTGTTGAACACACGACGGTAGAAAAGTTAGTAACAAATATTATACTGACCTGTTGTAAAAGCATGCCTTGCTCTTCCCTGGACCCATAAAGTAAATCTGGCTCTTGGTCCATACCTTTTAATTCTGTTATAACCTATAAAGAAATTAAAATTAAAACACGAGCTAAACAATTATATACAATTTATAGTTTAGATTGTTATTATAATATTACCTTATAACTGTACCCCTGATTTACAAGGAATCTTTGTCTTTTTCTACTGTAAGCCATTTCTAAAGTATCTTGTGATACAAGGGTGTAGAAAAAAGCATTATATTCTTCTGCTAAAGCACCTTTTTTTGCTCGCAGAATACGACCTGAAAATTATTTTTGCAAATACAAATCAATTATATTTCAAATATATTCCCAAACATTATCTTTGTAATCATAAATTATCATCATCATCATCATATCAGCCTTTAATTGTCCACTGCTGAACATAAACCTCCCCCTTGGGGAGTTTTGGCAGTAGTTGTCATGCTTGGCAGGCGGATTAGCACCCGCAGTTAGACTTCGTAAATATTTTAAGAGGGACGCTGATGCCCATCTCTCGTCCCCCCTTAGTCGATTCCTACGACACCCACTGGAACGGAAGGGGTGGCCTATTCTAAGTCAAGATTACACGGCTAATAATAAATTATTATATACTTTAAAAATATTGTTTTATTGTTTATAAATTACATTTTTAGGTATGTAAGTCATGGTATTTTAAAGAACGTTACAAAAGAAATATCTTTGCATTAATTAGTTCTTGTCACATTTTGATAGTGCTTTTTACAATTGATAGGGTTGTTAGGTACTGTAGTTGTGATTGAAGTAACTTTTTTTGTGAAGCAAAATGTTACATATTCTGCACTCTTATCTCCTATTAGGGAAACATCATACAATTTTACGTTATTTTTAGGTTACGCTTTATCACTTCGACAACTTATTCTTAAGGGCTTTTATCTTCTTTAGATATATCAGCCCTATCTACTTTACCTACTCACGGAAAGAGAGGAACTAAAAGACATCAATAATTTAAAAAGATGTTAAAAAACAGCTGATTCATGTGTTCAGCTAATATAAATCGAATAAGATCAACATTTAACATGAATATATTAAAAAAAATATGGTAGGCGTGGAAAAGTAGTCGAAAATCAACTGATAGTATTTATTTTGTATTCGATTCTTATGGGTTAAAATAGATGGATGGTAAATATTTCGAACCCTTAATTTTATTACAGAAAGAATTAGTTCCTTTAGGAACAGAATTCTATAGATCTATAAAACTTACCTAATCTTTGAGCTTCTTGCCGGCGAGAGCCACCGTGTGACGATATTTGTATCAACACGTTCGCCTCTGGCAAATCGAAACTCGTGTCAGCGACTTTACTGACGAATATAGTGTTCACTTTAGGATTGAACTTGAAGTTCTGCAGGATTTGTATTCTCTCGCTCTGCGAAGTCGGCCCGTATATGTAGGGCTTGTTCATCTTGACGGCATAGTGGCGTAGAGCAAACACGTTGTCTGAGAATACGATCGTTTTGTCGCCGCGCCGCTCGTGGTATCGTACTAGGAATTGACACGCTCGAAATTTCGATGGATTCATTACATACAATAACATTTTTTTATTTATTCTGAAATATTAAAACAATAAGGATTATTTTCAGTGAATTCCAAAAGGTTTTCAATTTGTTCATAATTTTTTATGTAACAACTTGACCTCTATAAACATTGCTGTGCTCTTTGATGCTGAAGGCCCTGAGATATAGCATATATAAGTGACATATGTTGGCTGACATGACTGGCCAGTTTACACAAAGATTTAATTTTGTCAGGTCACAAAATCACGACAATAATGCCAAAATCTATCATAAACTAAATGTCGGCCTAGCCTTTAACTAAGGCACCCTTGAGCTGTTAATCCTTCCCCCCCCCCCCCTACAACCCTCCTTACATCCTAACTTCCTTCCACAACTCCCTCTTAAATCTCGACATTCCCCTTGAGCCCACGACTATTATTGAGTATAAGGTGGCTAGTACTGACTTTTGTATGAGGTATTCTCGGTAGAACTCGGGTGTCATGGGGCACCAGACCTCGGCGCATTGGACGCGCGCGATATAACCAGCAGCCTGCAGCTCCAGCCAGTTGGCCTCGTACAGCTTGGGCCCGATCAGGAAGTTCAGGTCCGCAATCTTATCGTCCTCGCGGAGGAGTGTGGCGGTCAAGCCTGTTCGTAAACTAATATTAAAATCCCTTAATTTGTTATGTCACACTTTCAAGTGACGAGTATATAAGTAGTAGTATATTATTATAAAGTATTCTTTATTATTATTTATATTATTATCTGCTGGCTATTAAGATATTGATCAACTGAAATAAAATATAACTTATGTATTTCTCAATTACATATACTAGGGGTGTGCTAAATTGAGTGGCATGTTGAGCTATTACGGCGTTTAGTAACAAACTTATTTTTACACTTATAATATCAGTAAAGGTTTTTACAGATGATGAATATATTGTTTGTAGAGGAAATTTCCATTTGTGTATGCCGTGTCTTTCACAATTTTCACAATACCCAGATACACAGTACCCAGAGGTCTCTCGTTGGATTTAAAAGCCTGGGTAGACGAGGTATAAATAAAAAGAAAGTCCGCGGATACAACATTTAGTTTTTTTTATTATATACAACTTAGAATGGCAAACAAGCTGACGGCCCACCAGGTGGAAAGTGGTAACCATCGCCTATAGACATGAGCAGTACCATGGACATAACAGAGTACATTGTTTCCCCCAAGTGTTGCTATTACTGAGGACTCGGATGTTATTCCTCTGTACCCTGTAAATTCACGCCATATCCCACCCTTCAAACCGAAACACAGCCAGGCAAACACAACTGTTTCACGGTAGAAACACGCATGGGACAGAGGTACCCAAGCAATCGACTTTTGTACAGTCTCCCTCTGGTATTTGGTGTGTGCAGATCATAAAGTGTATAGGTACTGTGCCATACCGAGCTTGGCGTGCGAGTGTACGATGGTGAGCACGCGGCGGAACATCTTAGCGGGGATGGTGTGCACCTCGTCGAGAACCACCAGTCCCCACTCCTGTGCCTGCAGCCACTTCATGGTCTGCTCCGCCTCCCACGACCGCCGCTGCCCGTGCGTGATCATAGAGTACGTCGTGATCAGGATGCCCGCGCCCATCGGCTTGTCCTTAGCCTCAGAGGTGAACCTGACCAAGTTATTACATCCATTGTATTTTATACATTCCATTTCCACTAATATACATAATATCTTATACATCTAGAACAATATATAAAACACAACACATAAATGTTTTAACACATGAAAATATAATTTTTATAATTGAAATAATAATATATTACATTTATAAAGACTAATACATTGAAATTAGAAGTAAAATAGGCGACGTGCTGAAGAAGGGCCAAATTATAAGTACCCATAACCGGCGAGCGTTTATGAAAAGATTGATGAATGTGAAAAGAGGTGTTTGAATCAAAGCATTTGGCGTTCCATTGTTTCTGCCTACCCTAATGGGAGACAGGCGTGACAGATATGTATGTATGTATGAAATTAGAAGTGACAACTTATAACATTCAATTAAATGAGAAAGGTTGCGAATCTGGTTGAAACATGATAGATCAATCAATTGTCAATCTACCATGCTCAGATAATCTTGTCTGGGAACGTACCTGCATATCATGCTGTCGTCGGCAGTGGACCAGCACTTGAACTGCTGTTTCCATTGTTCGACGGAAACGCCGGAGTTGCAGAGTACGAGCGCGCGCTTGCGGACCGTACACACGGCCGTCACACCGACCAACGACTTGCCCGCGCCGCACGGCAACACTATCACACCCGATCTGGGTGTAGCGATAATATATATATTATTACATATACTGCAAAAATACAATCTATGTAGGTGGTGCAAAATTAGTGGAAGGGAAAGGAAGGGTAGTGTATATAAGATTTTGTTGTAAAAACTGATTATATTGATAAAAAACGGAGGTCTATCATTTGTAAACATTGTATCTTGGGTATTAAAAATGTGTGTAAAGTGACTTTGTTATCTCTAATTTTGGGAAAAATTGATATTTGGAAAAGAGGTAGTATATCATTTAATTTCAACAATCAAATATATCCATGATCATGCAGTCGAAGTTTTCGGTAAAATTGATTTATATATAAAAATCAATAACTATTAGGTACACAATGTATATTATTTTGTTGTATTCTAATATATACAATTTAGAGTAAACAAGCTGACGACCCATTGATGGAAAGTGGTAATCGTCGCCTATAGATATATATATATATATATATACTATATATATCATATATATATATATATATATATGGACATATATATATATATATATATATATATATATATATATATATATATATATATATTATATATATATATATATATATATATATATATATATATATATATTTTCAAACCAAAACACAGCCATGCAAACACAACTGATTTACGGTTGAAACACAAATGGGACAGAGGTACCCAAGCAACGACTTTTATACAGAGTCTTCCTCTGGTAGTAATGTAAATATAATGTAATTTTGACATATATTTCTAGTTTTATCTTACCTAGCTCTTCCATTTCCAAACATTTTCCTTAGACTCTTCTCCTGGTAAGGTCGCAAGACCGCGGTTGGTTTCAGATCAATGTTTATGTCAGGATTTATAGAGTCATTACGGAAATCATATTCAGCCAGTAAAGGATGCTCCAGTTCGATACATCTTTTTTGTATAACCTGTAAATGTGTAAAAATATTATTATTGACGGTCTAAAATATTTACTTCCTTTTAATTGTAGTTTTTTTTATACATCTTAGAATGGCAAACAAGCTGACGGCCCACCTGATGGAAAGTGGTAACCGTGACCTATAGACATGAGGAGTACCATGGACATGACAGAGTATACTAGTATTTATTATTATAGTCATTGGTTAAGGCGCTATAAGCTAACAAACAAATAAACTCACTTTCACATATGTAATATCAGTAAGGATGTAGTGATAATACCTCAATTTTATCGGGATCGACTTCGAAAGCGACGGCGGTATTGGCAGCGATGTCTGTGGTCTCCTCGTCCTCGTCGTCTTTATCGAGCTGCTGGTAGAACTGACTAATGTCGTCGGGTACGCCGCCATTCGCTGCTGGCTTGTCGTCACCTGTTATTTTTAATGATAAATTAATGATAATTTTACATAAAAGAAATATAATAATATAGAAATTGCAATGTTATTATATGTAGATTACTTGGTTTATAATAATGAAGGATAGATAGGTAGTAATTTTCCAATTGTAATAGAATTGTAATTAGACGATGTCTGTATTTAGGAATTATTTAATAAAAATTTATATTAGTGGCTTTAATAAGATCAATACAAGCCAATATGTATATAATACTATTTTTGGAATTTTTGTTATGTTTGTACCGGAATCAAGTAAAAACTACTTCTTAAAATTGAATGCAGTATTCACAGTTGAGTTTCTGAATGTCTAACTTAAAATCTGGTGTGTGTTTTATTTTAATACGCCATCTAGAAGTACCACCACCTATTTCTAAATTCCACATGTGCTTATATATATTTTTTCTTTTATGTATTTTCCTTTCGTTTTTTTTTCTGTATTTATTTATTTCTTTTATTTGCGTATATATCTATATCTGTTGTTATTTGTGTGATGTAATACAAATAAATTATATATCTATCTATGTATGGAACTGCAGGGAGAAGAACAATCGGTTTTTCTGACTTTGTTATCAACATACAGCTAAAACTGCTAAGTCTAGAAAATTAAATTTAGAATAACTAGTAGAATATACAGTCTTTAAGGAATATACTAGAAAATTAAATATGTAATAATTCTTTATTAATAAAAACGTTAAACCTCTTATAAATTAATTTTAGATATTGAACTGCTTTGTCTTTCTTTTGCGCTAAATTCTCAGTATGAATTAAATTATACTTTAATTATATTGGTTTATAGGAGGTTTTAGTTTTTATGAACAAGGGCGATAATGTTTACAATATTGAATCACTGTGATGATTCTTACATAGTACTTTTTATATGCTACAATTTCTGAGTACTAAGGTATGCGCCCAAACACTGTAATTTCTCCATCTTTCAAAAACACGAGTAGACCAGTGGTACCTATGCAAATGATTTTTGTTTAAAATCACAGTACTAGTAGATATATGTTTACCAGGTCTGGTAGCGCCGGTGGGATCGGTAGGTTTGTTGGGGAGCGCGGAAGTGAGGAGCTCCTCATCGCCGTCACGCCGCAACCTACACTGCTGGATCACAGGATCACGCAGCAGTTTTTGTAATACTTCGACATGTTTACTTTCTACTAGATATCTGTATACAAATGAAATATATTGTTACGATTTGCAGATTTTATAAACGATATTCACTTAATGTTATGTATGATTTATAAACACTAAGAAACACATTATATAGCACCTCTGAATCCAATGTAAACAAAGCTTATAATATGGGTAATGGACAGTTGATGGACATATTTATAACCTTTTTTAAATACATACATTATTATATAAAGAAAACATTCCGCCTTTACTAACAGAATATAACTGTTTGTACGTGAAATGAATACGACTCCCGGAAGCTAAGCGAGTTTGATAAACTGCTACATCAACAAGGTCATTAATCATTGTGAAATTTAACATAAATAAATTATATTAATGTCATTTTTTTACATAGAACTATAATAATATGAATTGGAAACGGTTGATAGTTTATTTAATGCAAAGTGATAACAGTCACTTGTAGACATAAACATCACATATCTAAGTCATAAATTTACTACTATAATCTTATGGAGGAAACAATAAAAAGTATCTATCTATCATAGAATCCAGTGGGAGATATGTGTTACAGTTTATTCTGTTACGCTCATATTGATGCTCTTTATGTGTCATTATTCCTGAGTAGCAGTATTGTGTCTCCCTCCCTATAGTTTTACTGCCACATTCCACCCTTCAAACATATCATCATAGTCGTAGAATACTGACGGATTTATATATGTAATATTTGTTAGATCCGTCAGTATGACTATGACGATCTTTTGAAACCTTAAACAAAGGGTTTAGGGTCTGCAACGCGCACGTAACATTCCTAGTGTTGCAGGCATCCATAGGCTACAGTGATCATTTACCATAAGGCCATTTCCCACCATTGTAATAAAAAAAAATTATTTAGAACAAATATTATTTAAATACCTGTTATGTTTGAGAACAAGTTTCACTTTCCCATAAGACAGCGTACACAGTTGAATGAATTCTATAATGCCAGCAGGTACAGCACACTTGCTTAATCTCTGCAGATACTCTATTATGTCTGTAGTTTGCAAGCCAACAGACACGGCTGCATATAAACTGTATGCTGTTAGTTTATACTCATGAATGTGTTGTGGCCTAAAATTATGAATAGAAATTAGGTTTTCATCTATATATAATTTGTAGATAAAGATTACTATATTAGAAGAATAGAATAGAATAGAAACATTTATTGCCAGTAAACTTACAATATAAAATATAAATGACATATACAAAAAGTGTCCCACACCCGGCAAAAGGAACCGGCTCAGCGGATGCTGTGAGTGTCCCAGCGCAATGTGAACAGCTGCACAGCGCTGGTTTTCAGCCAGTCCCTCTCTTACACATTAGTAACAATATTGACATATTATATACTTACAATATACTTATTAATAGAAGCTTTTCTCTGTACTTTAATGATATAGTCAATGGATTGTTTATTTACAATGAATAAGAAATAAATAGGTATTTATCAGTTTTAAATGTTTATGATATTGTTAGGACAGGGATGGTATTAATACCTGCATACTGGCTCTGCTATAGCAATTAAAAAATCATGAGCATGTTTGTAGACCGGTGAAAATGCTTCTAGAAATATGTGGCCATTTGGTGCAACCCATAATGGGCGGCTGGCATTATCTGGTTTTAACGACATCTGACTCCTGTTGGAAATAAAGACACGATTAAATGATGACAAAGGAAAATTATGTGGATTGGATTATGTGTTCAAACTGGTTTTGCTTGACTCTTGATTTCTGAGCTCTTAGAATAAATTAGGTAAATACTATATGCTCTATAAATTATTGCATGGTACATTTCATGTTTAGGAAATTAATAAAGATAATAACTTAGAATTTCTAATATAAGTCTAAATAATATTAGTCTAAATATCTTATATTTTATCATGAAACAAAACATATACCTGTAGTCTTTAGCACCAAATTCATCTTCAGGCACTTGATCATTTTTTTCAGCATCTTGCATAGCAGCCCCAGGAACACCGACATTCTCTGCTGTGTTGTCCTCATCTACCAAGTCTATAGTCATACTATCATCTTCAACTTTCTTCTTCTTACCTGCAGTTTACAAGTCTATTAGTAGTATTATAAAAAGTATATGGTTGCAAAGTACTTATGCCCTTTTTATTTGTAATTATCTTTTGCCAGTCAATTATGTAAGGAAGTAATAAAATACACACCAGTTTTTGGACATTGGGAATATAATTATGAAAAGTACTTTCAATTTCGAATATTACTCTTTTTAAGATCCCTAAAATCAACTTTTCTTAAATATCTCCCATCCACAGACATCATCTAGTCATAATTTAATTACATACATCGATACAGAACTGGATTATATTTTAGACTTTTAAACTATATTTCTGTTCTGTAACTGTATTTACAATAAATAATTAAGTTCTCTTAGCTCAGGCATTAATAATTATTTTTACAAAATTAAATTTATATGTATATACTTTTATTCATATCAACAGTTAACTGTTCACCGCTGAACATAGGCCTTACTCTTAGGGGGGTGTTTTACTAGTAGTTGTTATGCTTGGTAGTCGGGTTGGCAACTGTAGTTAGGCTTTTAGTGATGTTTAATAGGGATTTCATTCCTCAACCATTTTTTCAATGGATGATAATGGAATGGTAACCCCGCCTGCAGGGAGGGAAAGTTGTTAGTAATGTAGTCTAATAGCCCCATTGCTAGCATTATACTCTCTCAGGTCGACCTCCACGGGGTTCCCCCTGGAAACCATCATGGTGGGCCAACTGACCTGCTTTCATTCTCATATATCATCTTCCACTGGTGCCTCATCAGTGTATACTGATAGCGTGGGTGCGGTTACCATTCCATTATCACTCATTAAAAACCTTCAAACTGAAACATAGACATGCAAACATAACTGCTTCACAGTTGAAGCATGAATGGGACAGAGGTTCCAACCATATTATAAGGAAAATGAATATATTATTAACCATATTATATGTTTTCAACCGTATTAAAAGGAGCTCAATGTTCCGGCCCTCCATGCTACCAATCTTATTTAACATTGTCATTTTACAGTAAAAATGTCAGCCAGCACAAACATCATCATACAACAAACAATATATATTCATACTTACTCATTTATTTGAATAAAATTAACAATTTACTTACCAGATCGATCACTGCTCGTTTTAGAATCATATTTCTTTATTTTTTTTGGTGGACCCATTTTTTTAGATGAAAAGCTCTGAAACAAGGGCCTAAATTAGATTGTACTGTTTAAGAATTGTTTTGTTTGTAAACAATTGGGTAAGAAATAAGAGGTATCTCTTAATTCTTTTATATATTTATTGTATTAGAAAATACTTGTAATGTAAATATGATTTTGAGAACAAACAAATTTAAACATAACATTATATTTATTATTATTTCAACTACTTACCTACTTCAGACATGTGCAATTCCCAAATTCCTGAGGATCTCACTCTTAAATATATTTCAATCAGACAAACACTTCCTTTCACATTCCACACTATTATTTTCTGATTCGAAACCAACTTTTCCGTTTTTTAATTTTATTTTTACAGTAAATTATTCTTAGACATTTAAATATGTCAGGGATAGGACAAAAAAATTAAATAAATAGTTACCTTTTTAAAATTGTATTTACCTATTATTGTACGACAAATACAACTTATCATTCAGTGGTTACAGAAACCGATCGACTGGTAATTATTGCTAGATATAATTAATATTACATACCAGTTTATATAAAGTAGCATGATCCTAGTATGTTTATTTTATTCTGTAAAATCTTGTGGAGTAATAGTATTTTATTTCCAAAATAATCAAATAAGTATTATAAGTAAATTTCTTTGAACATACAGCTGTCAATGTCATGCATTAGAGAGACAATGTCTGTACCTAAGAACAAGAATGTCATAGAAGGAATGATAAAATAAAACTGTAAATCATATAGTTGAATCGTTTCTTCTTATTCAAATATAATTAGTAAAAAGAGGACGTAAGATATACAATCGGTTGCTATTTTTATTAATTCAAGGCAGACCTAATAACAAGGAATTACATAGAAGGAATGATAAAATAAAAACTGTAAATTATATGGTTGCCTCCTTTCTTCTTATGCAAATATAATTAGTAAAAACACGAAAGATACACCCTCATTTTCTGTTATTCTCAATTCATAGCAGGCTAGTATATAAAAAATGTTTGATATGTCAATTATTTATCAATAACAAATTTTATATTACTAGATTATATATTCGAAAGAGTAGAAAGTATGCAAGCAGGTTGTATCTGAATTTTTCCGTATGCATTTTCAATGCACTAACCTGCTGTGAATTGACAAAAATAGCAATTAATGGTGAATTTTTATCCTCTTTTTACTAATTATATTTGCATAAGAAGAAAGGAGACAATCATATGATATGCATTTCTATTTTATCATTCCATCTATGTAATTCCTTATTCTTAGGTACTTCTTAGGTTATTCTGTACATACGCTGACAGATTAGGTAGAGACTATGTCTACAGCTGTCAAGTTTGTGGGGTAGTGATTAGCTAATCGACACACAGCTATATAGCAGTTATGCCAATAATTGCCACGCTTGGCAGGCGGATTGGCAATCGCAGTTAGGCTTTGGATATGTTTTAAGAAGCACGTTGCTGCCCATCCCTCACGTTTTCTTAGTCACCTCTTACGATACACACGGCAATGACAGTGTATGCTAGTCGATAATTAATTAGTTGAATAACTGCCCGGTTGCATTGGATCGTGTTCGATTTTTATCGCAATAAGACATAAGTTAGATTATTCATTTTTTTTATTATTTTTTCTTTAAAAGTACTAATTCAAAGTAGGTAAGTATACATATTAATAAAAAAACCATTAATAGCAATATCATCGATGGTTATTATTGAAATTCATTTTATTAAAAAGTGTAGTCGACTTCTATGAACTTCGAATTTAAACTTTGAATTGATCCGTTCGATAATAGTTAATAAAATAAAAGCTTCTTAATTCATTTCATAAGTGGTACTGCTATGAATAAAATTAAAAGATTGTTTTACTAATAGATTATACTTAATATAATAATGAGTACAAAGCAGTTTGTAAATAAAGAATAAAAAAAAAAAATTAATTTCATCATCTATTTTATATATAATAATATGTTACAGCGTTGAGGATTGAAGTCGATATAATGCAGCTGGGCGGATATTCAACTAAATAGCCAACGCTAAGCGTAAGCATTTGGATCAACTGTAATGAAAATCTTTCATAAAATTCTTGAAAGCCAAATAGCTGGTTATTTAGCCGGTTATGACATCTAGATAGCCGAATTGTATAGTTACTAAAATTTCAGCTAGTTATTTTAATTGTGTCTATCAGTTTCGACTATATGTAATTTTTGATTTCTACTCAAATACTAATACTTTTTTTTCAAATTGATATGATTTTTTTAATTTTCAACGCAATTCTAAATTTGTATCAATTTTCAGTATATTTTACCAAGTTACAACTAGTTAAGAAAAATAAATGGGTGTACCATTTTAAATTTTCTTAAAAATTTCGCGGCACAAATAATCTTACCCAAAATAGAGAAAAGAAAATTAGTGTGACTTTTACTTTTTCTTTGGCTTTAGCAACTAGGTTGACTTTAGACCAATGAACAAGGACGAATACTTCTATTTCAAAATCTTTGTTTTTATTTTTGAGTCAAGTATCATCTGTCATCATCAGAATATTGATGTCGCTATAATGTAAAATTGAAATTTTAATTTTAGAGAAAATGTAGATAAAAGCGTCTCAGAATTGTCCTCAGTATTTACCAAAATTATTAAAATGTTAATTTTTATTAATGGGTGATAATGAAATGGTAACCGTGCCTGCGCTATCGGGATACCAGTGTGGGGTGATAGGTGAGGATGAAAGCAGGTTCGTTGGCCTATCGTGAGGAATTCCATTACAACTAACCACGACAGTTTCGACCTGATAAGTTGTATTACTAGCAATGGGGTAGTTACACCTCATTACTATAATTCTTTTCTCTCCTATAAGCGTAAGTTGACCGCCCACGATTGCGACGACAGGGGGTCCAAACTCGCTACCGTAGGAGAGTGGGGCATTGTATTAAACAGCGACACCAATAGTACAGACTTACAAGGATTTATAAATCTAACTATAAATGCGTTTAAGATCTTTAAGAAAATTAATGTTTATATTCGTATCCACATGAATAGAAGTTTGGATTGCCAGTTTTGTTATCTGAACTAATCTTTTTATCGCCTTTAATAATGCCTAATTATACTGTAATATTATTTATTCAGATAAAACTTGTGTAGTTTCGAATATCGTTAATAGCTTAGTGCGAGTTAGTTCATAACAATAATAGGTAATTTATTTTTTCTATGTGACTCAATTGAATACACATCCTCGAAGTGGGTAATATGGTAACAAATGAAAATCATTTATTCATTATTGGTAGGTCATTATTTAATGCAGTTTTTTATCATTAAACATTTGCTTCTGCTTTTACTTATTAATATGACAAATGGAATATTGTTTGATTCTAGAATAATTAAATTATCTATTCTGTGACACTACTTTAAACAACTTTTATATTATATCAGTATTTTGTACAATTACTGCTGTACATTTTCATGAGAACAAACAACCAATACAAGTAAGATAATAGAATGAATATTATATTTATTATTTGACTTTGTGCTGAGTGGAACATTTTTCTTTTTTATACTAATGACCATTTTGTATATGCTAAGCTGCTGTAAGTCGGACTTACGGTTCACTTCAAAATAAAAAGTTATAAGACCATCTCGCCCCAAAGACAAAACACATTTTTATTAGACAGAACTACTCTACTAGAAGTTAGACAGCCAATTCTAAAAACTTTATAGTTAATTATCGCGAAAAATCAGTGTAGACATTTGTACATAAGAATGTTATACTACATGTATGGACTATGAGGAAAAACCATTTAAGATTATTTTTCAGAGGGGTCTGGACCCTTAAAGAAGGCACATAACATACTGTTTGACATGTCTTTGTACAAAGCTTAAAGTTTCGTTCCTGATCTTGGGATGGGCATTAGACAAATAGACCCTCCTTAAATATGTCTATGCTCATTTTATAATTTGGATTTTTTAAGTCCAATTATGTTCGTTAAATTAATAGAGGATTACGATGAGATAGCAATATTTGCTAAAATAAATGTACTTTGCCTTTTGGGGTTGGGCCTATAAATAGACAAAATAAAAGTTTATCAGTGATGTCGTTAAGAGCGTTCCTACTAAAATTTGCCAAAAGTATGCATTATCTGTAATTTAGAGAATTTTCAATATGTTTGAATGATTATTTAAAGATATATTGAAATAAAACGCTAATAATGCAATGACTTTGCGGAAGTTTTGAATTTTTACGTATTTGGTAATCAAGAGGTAAATAGGTAGGTTGTAGAATAGTTCAGTGGTAAATTTAGATTTACTTGCTACTTGTTCTATGATTAACGTTCTAGTTTGCTATATAAAATTTTCAATTAATCATTCATAAATATTGAAAATTGTTGTTTTTGAAAAACATAGTGGAACAACTACAGGAGCTTTGGTATAAATGCTCTTAATAGAAAAATGCAAAATGTATGTATGGTATTGTATAGACAAGCTTTCTAATAATCACGTTGACAAGCATAATCAACACTCCAATGTTAGTATTACATATTAGTATACATTTTGCATTTCTCTAACTGCAGTATGTTATTAGAATGTTACATTGTTTGGAGTGTTTTATTTGAAGTGTCATTACTTAAATAATTACAGACAGCATTATGATAGTAATTAGCTATATATAAAATATTTCGAATAATGAATGGTATAGTTGTATTGAGCACAAATAGCCGCATCTGGACACTGAGGTGGCTGTCAAATGAACGTCGGCTCTGTCTTATACAAAGTGATTGATGAGATAACAAATTATTATCTAATAATCCTCCTTCCCTCTTAGTAAAAGAACGCCCAATAATGACCGTTAATAGACTGTTATTAAGATTATCAATTATATATAATTAATAGGCTAAATCTTGGGGGCATATTGTAAAAAAATATCTATGATGTTATAATATTGTTATCTAAAAGTAGTCAACTGCATAAAAATATAATGCAGTATTTTTTATTTACATATACATATACCATGAAATGAATGTTATTATAAAGACATATGTTTACAAAGGAAATCAGTCCAATAATCAATCACACTGTATAAGGTAGTTGCTTGTGCCGTTCGGATAATAAATAAAATATAATTTGTATGTAGCAGCATAGAGTGACATGTGACCTGTTGGAAACATTGATGAACAAGCAATCTATTCTATATCTAACTAGCATACTATTAACAAAAAAGGCAAATGGCATAAATTGCAAAGCCATAAGTGGAATAACTTCTAAGAACAATAACAAAATAATTTAATGTCCCATTTAAAATAAGTGTGTGCAAGCAAGTCTTTATAAGTATTGTAACATAATTAATATTTTATACTTAGAGGAAAGAATATTGCAACAATGTTACTGCACGACTTAATGAATACTACTGCAAATTTAATGAACAAATACTATAACTATTTATATAATTTATATCTGTAATGTTAATTGTTTTTTTCAATTAGGCATAACATAAAAAATATATTTGCTTTGGCAAAAGAGAAAGACATTTCATAGTGTACTTAGATATTAATTAATTTTTATTATTATTACTTAGAAAAACGTCACTTTCATTTCGAAGTATCATTGATTTGTTTACAAATGGCGACATAAAGCAGTTGTCTTTTAGTGGGAAATTTATATATTTGTTTATAACTTTTTCAGCGCTCTTTGATATATCAAATATTTGTTGAAAATATTGCACAATTCTTAATGGTTGTCTTATTATTCCAAGGAATTATTATTTATTAGATAAATTATAAATAAATAGTTTATAGTTATTAAAGTGTCAAGAGGCGGCCAATGATATAGAATCTTTATGGATAACATCATTCTGTAAACACACATTCTGCATATTATATAAATACCAGTCATTTATTGAATTCAATATTATAATTGTTTTGGTTATGCAGAATATGCATTCTTATTATACAAATAAATACCTAATTTAATTCAATATTTTTTTTAATTTAAATTATGTCTATTCTCTAATGAGATTTCTATTTTTTTGAATAATAATATCAATCACTAGTAAATTATTGTCGACAATATGACAAGTAGATGGCGATTTGTAGACGAGTGAAACAATAAGTGAGAGACAAAGAGACGAAGAGAGAGGAAGGGACGGTTGTAGGCAACAGAATAGCGTGGGGCGGGGCAGGCACGGAACTGTGCGAATAAAAATCAATGGTAGTATCTCAACATAAATATGGAATGTAGTAAACACTCAATTGAAAAGACCCTCGGATTCTGGCACTCGGCCACCATAAATCTAATATTAAATTAGAGACAATATTTACAATAAAATAGTAACTATGTTTTGTAAAGTACATTTTTCTCGTTTATTGTACTGATATGCATGCATCCTTCCACATACGCTTACGAATATAAAAGTTGTTTAAACACAGAATTACAGCTGCTGGATAGAAATTAAACTTTAAGATAGGTCACTTAAAATGAAACTGTACATTGTAGGACATTAGCTCACTATTGACTGACCTCTTTCATAATATACAATATCATCGAAGGTTACAATCGAAAGATTCATTAAATATTATATATATTTTTTAATTGTTTCTATTTGAATTAATTTTACCTAAGACAACATACTTCAATGTAGACTTTATAGCGTTATATCTTTTTTACTTTATTTCAGTCTTAGTTTTCGCGAAACTCGAACGGTTCAAGGAGCACGGAGGCGTACTGGCTTCTCGGGCGGCCGCCGCCGCCGCGCCGCGCTCAGCTCCGCCGCTCCGCCGTCCGCGCACTCCGCGCACTTCGCACACTCCGCACACTCCGCGCACTCCGCGCACTACGCGCACTCCGCGCACTCCGCACACTGCGCACTGTCCGCTCGCGGCTCGAGCGCCCGGCAACGCTCCCGAATAAATAAATACCAAGTCTATAATACTCCGAGACGCGCGGGCACCCCGGCTCGTGTGATCGTCCCGATAATGGAATGTAAGCGTGATATGGTAGAGAGGTGGCGCGGCGCGGCTTGGTCACGCGTCGGGCGGCGGCGGGGGCAGCGGCGGAGGCGGAGGCGGCGGCGGCGGCGGCGGCGAGGCAGTGCCGCGCCGCGGCACCATGACGCAGGGCGGCGGCGCGTTTGTCGGGAGGAACGGCGGCGTCGGCCGCGCGCCCATGCGCACCCACCAGCGAGTCGCTTTCTGTAGTAGCCCGTCTTTCTTGCCACCTCCACCGCCGCCACCACCGCCGCCGCCGCCACCGCCACGCCGCACCGCTGGCGTCTCTGCTCCCGCCCATTCGGGCACGTCGCTCACGCACTTGTTCGGTGGAGGCTGAAAGCTGCTTCTCGTCAGCTCGGCTTGCTGGAAAAAAACATGACTTTGGTGAGATTTAGTTAAACTAGTTTCTATTAGAAAATTAATTACCAGTAAGAATAATTATACTATCTACAGTGAACCATGAAAGAACGCGATGTTGTTATTATCAAAATAAAATAGATTTATAGAAAAGCGTGCAAATTGGCAAGTTAATCTTCAAGGAATGATGGATATTACCAATATTTTGTAATATATTTCTTTATAACTGCAGATATTTTTTATATGATAGATATATAGGTAGATACTGACAGTCTTAATTTAGGTTATGTATTTATTGTCTTAATGTCCTTAATGCGTTTTGACGAAACATACGTCACATATTACATTTTGTGCATCTTGTTATAAATGTATTAAATGTAGTGTGTGTAGATAGCAATTGTTTCCATCAAAATCCATATTGCAGTCAATTTGAATCCATGTGAAGCTAAGGTTGTTTGTAGTAATATTAAGTAAATAATAATAAGTTCTATGTAATAATATGTATACATTTTTCTATTGTATACACCTTTGTAGGCTGTGTATTAAAGTTGACAAATTTTGTAATTTTTTATACAAAATTTGTATTTATTTTCAATACTTTACACTACATTTAAATTTCTATTTTTCGAAAGGTTGACTGGAGAAGGACTGCGACATAAGGATTACGTCTGCCTTTTATTCCATGTTATGGGTTTTTAATGACAGGGGTATAACAGCAAAATTGAATTATGAAATAAATATGCACTATTACTATTTAGTTTATTAATTATTTTTTTACATAATAAAAAATTGCTTTTATAGCTTTGTACATATAAATTTGCTTTAAATTTGATCAATTGCGAAAAGTATTACATGTGTTTGATATTCATTTAATATGTACAATTATATTTTTAACTAACTGATTCCATAGACATCGTTCTATCAACAGTTTTTCATACATACACTATTGTATGTTAAAAAGAAAAATTGGGGTTTTACGTTTTTCTGGCCAATTTTTCCAAATTTCTCTTCATAAGGAGTTTCCTTAGACATCAACAAATATGTGAAAAAAAAAAGAACAAATTATGTAATTAGTCAAGTCATCCTCTATTTTAGTAATTAGCAGCACATTAAGCAATTAATTTTTATTTATATAGTAGACTAGTTTTTTGCCCGTTACACGTGGATATCAGAAGTAGAAAATTTATAAAATATCATTTCTAGATTGCGATAAAACATATGCCAGTTTTTAAGTTAGACTTTTTCAAATACAACTGTGAAAACCACATCCGATTTCATGTAGTAATTTTCCTGTGATGCCGGAATAAAATATACAGACAGATAAACAATATTTCTAAAAAAAAATATTGTTTTGCCTTCTATTGCTCTTTTAAGACCTCTATATATACATTTTTCTTAAATATCTCTCATGTACAGACATCGTCTAGTTATAATTTATTATATTAGTAAGATAGATAAGCACTCATAAATAATGCATATAAGTAGGTATACGAATACAATGTATGCACTCTAATAAATATTCATGTAGATACTGTCAAACAATACTGACCTGATAAGGGACACGTAATTGTAAATGTGCGTCTTGGCCATACTCGCCGTCTGGCAGCTGTATGCTCGGAGGCAGCGCGAGCCGTTCGGCAACAGCTGCAGAGCGCGCGCGCGTTTCCTGCTCCACCATCTCTTGAAGGCGACCAACCATAGCTTGCAGCCTTTGCTGCTTCTCCCATTCCCTGTAATTATGCATATATTAAATTAAAAGTTGGTGTTGTAGCGAATTTACAGATACATTCCGGATGGAAGGAATTTTCAGTGATAGGGATGTTAGCTTCATTGCTAATAATATATCCTGTCAGGTCGAACTCCAACTGGTCTCCCTTGGAAATTATCGTGTTTAATTCCTTGCGAGTGTGCTACAATAAGCCAACTAATTTGACTACATGGGAAGAAGGGATTGTTTAGTGATACGGACTATCAATCCTATTGCTGACAATATATACTGCCAGGTCGACCTCCACGTGGTCCCCCCTGGAAACCATCGTGTTGAATTCCAGGTGTATTCATCACGATGGACTAACTGACCTATCTTTTCAATCTCACCTAACATCTCTCTTTGGTACCCCGCCAGCGTATACTGTTTGCGCAGGTGAGGACACATTTCCATTACCATCCATTAAAAAAATATTAATTACATTCTCATCGTTACGTTCTTAACTTTTGCCCCATCATTGTATACATTATTTCAAAATCAATATCACTGTGTTCATCCTCACCTACCATTCCTCACCGACCTCTACATGGTTCCCCCTGGATACTATCATGGTTAATTCCTGATGAATTCATCATGATGGGCTAACTGGCCTGTTTTCATTCTCATCTATCACCCTTCACTGGTGCTCCGCCAACGTACCCCGTTAGCGCAGATCGGGTTACTATTCCATTTTCACCCATAAAAAAGCCATTCCTCACCGGTATCCCGCCAGCGTATATCTATAGCGCAGGCGAGGTTACCATTCATTATCATATTAATGTATAAAAAAAATACACCGTTTCATATATCGATGGTCGCGGGTTTGATCCCTGCACAATATAAATATTTGTATTCATGAGTATTGATCAGGGTGCTTTCTTTGCAGAAAATGTATGAATTAGGTAATAAGCGTGTCTATCAGTTGTTAACACTCATAGTACAAGTTTGCTTAGTTTGGGATGAAACATATGGTATTTATTATTTTTTTAAACTACTTTACTCAACTAAATACTTCAACGAAGAAAGCAGGGTCATGTTATTTGAGTATATTTATGCATTGATATTTGGTACGTGTAAACTTGACGGTTTGATTAATTAATTAATTTTAACTTCTTTATACTCTTAATATATTAAACATTCATGAATGCATTTGAATAAATAACATTAAAAAAAAATTAAAAAATTATATATATATATATATATATATATATATATATATATATATATATATATATATATATATATTGAAAACACCGACAGCCGTCATGCATAGTTTCTCTTGACTACCGTAGCTTTAGCATCTTTCATTGAGTTTACACTAGCTAGTAATTCATAATTCTACTATAAATTTTCTTGTTTCTTCGTTATTTTCTTGATAATCCTATTATCTTTCTTAGCTATAAGAGGACATAGCCTAATATTACTACATTGTCAGGCGGTTTACTTTTAGTTTGTGTTTCCTTCTCTTGTACTAATGTATTTTGCTTAATGGTTAATAAGAAACAGAAACTACCTATAAAGGAAAATATTAAGTTTTAGGCTTTTGCACTGCATGTTTTATAAAAAAAACTGGATATGATAATTGAATGAATATGATAATGGAATATGATAATTTACCTGAATTATCTCGACGTTACGACCAGGCTACATTGGCCGTGGTCAGGAGTAGACTGATATAGCGCTCATTGCTTACTCATTGTCCCACATCACACAAGATGTGTCTCAGGTAAGCGGACACATGACAGTGCTATATCAGTTTTCTCGTAACCACGGCTGGTGTGACCTGATCGAAACGTCGAGGTAATTCAGATAAATTATCATAGTTTATCAAATGATCGAGTTATTCCCCGTTTTTTATAAAACATAAAACATGCAGTGCAAAAGTCTAAAACTTAATATTTTCCTTTATTCTCTTAGTCGCCTTATTGTATTAGTTTTTTACTCAGTTACCACACGGATTAATGAAATTATATTGAAATGTATTTGATCGCTCAAATTGGGAAGTATATTTGTTATGAGATTATTAATGTACCTAATGAATGATACTCACGTGGAATGGTGATGCCTGTGATCGTGCCGTAGGCGCGGTCCCCCCGGCGCGCCCAGCCGCTCCATGCCCGCGCACCCCGGCACTTGAACCGAGAGCATCTGCAAATCACAACACACTGCTCTCACTTATGTGGTCCTCCTCGTGGTTAACTTAAAATGATATATTATTTTGTAACTAAGCTCAGCTCTTAATACATAAAAATCTTGCTTATGAAACACTTGTCCCAATTTTAATAATATTTTTATTCCATTCAAAATGATATTTTTGTCAGTTTTATTGAATCGAATAATACAGTTGTTAGTGACTTAATGATCTCTATGTTAACACCCAGCATGACCATCCCGGGGTACCTATTCATGATTAATTAAGGTAATTATTTTTAAATTCTGGAAGAAATAGAATTTCATCTGCGAATGCCGAAGGAAAAAGTATATACCAGCATATAATCAAATTTGTAAATCCAATTAATAATCTTTGTCAAAATGTTCTGCTGGCTGATAGCTGTCTATAAAAGTATTTTATTCTTTGATATTATATGTAGGTATAGTCCTAAATATAGAAATAATTAATTGGATCATTCACTCGCCCCCACAAAGGTGGTTCTGCTAGATGAAGATATACGTATTAAATAAATCTACGAAATAGAGACGAATGGAAAAGTTCAACTATACTTTACAGTTGAGATAGATCACACTAAATCAGATAAGTATATCGGGGGCTAAGTGTGTATGCAAAATATAAGGTAAGACGTTACGAGTTATAAATGATGTCTGTGTTTGTAGGTCAGAACAATTTATTTTAAAACATACATTCAATGTAAGTCGGCTCTGTAATATGTTAGTAGTAATAGTACAATGAATAGTATATATAGTATACTATATCCTATAGTCAACGACATTCTTTTTTAGAACTCTGATTTGGGTATATGATTTTCATTGATAGGCTCATAAAGCAAAAAATGGACATGTATATATGCATATACATGTGTATAATGAAATAAAAACTAGACGATATGTAAGAAAAAATATTGAGGGCTTTTAATAAAGTAATAGAAGCCGAAACATTTTTTTTTTTAATTTTTGTGCCTATATAAGCGCAAAAATTATCATCATATCATATCAGCATCCTTTTTATTTATTTCAGCTTCACGATAAAACTACTGCACTAAATTGGACGCAGTTTTCTCAGTAGTATTCTTGAAGGTCGAGCTTCAATTCTGGTATATGTTTTAACTTGATGAGCGATTTAGAAGTGGGTTATATCTTTAGTTTTCCTTCGCGTCAGAATAAGGTAACATGTTGTAGTAATTTTTTTGTCAAGAGATTATTAGATGTCCAAAGAGACAGGTTTCTTTTCACCACAGGTAAATTATTCTCTCTTATAGGAAAAATATAAAATAAAATAGGCGAATCTTCCCTCGCATCGTAGGGTAGGCACTAGACAATTCTGAGGTGGGCATGGTCCACCCTGCTCTCCCCTAGAAAGATATTTAGAGGGGAGGGCCGGGAAAAAATATTTTAAATATGGGCAATATGTAACATATTTTTTTATTACATTTGTAACTAATGAAAATAAATGGCAATTTATCTTAACAACTACAGCAAAACATTTTTAATTTTCTATTTATTGGGGTTTTACATATAATAAGTGTTTATTTGAGGATAATATAGAAAGTACCTATAAAAAGCTTCATATTTTTATTTATAAGTATGTCTCAATAAAAAATCCATTCACTCTACAAAATTTGTTTTGATGTCACATTTGTGAAGTAAATGTTTTACTAAAATAGAAGGTCACTATTTTGTGAAATCTGTTTCTACAAATTAATGCCTAAAATGCCCATATATTTGGCATCGTAATAGTAGGTGGTATTCTAAACGAGAAAAAAGGTTTTAGTTTCGTTCCATATGCACGACTGAAATTGCAAAGCTTACCTATAGGATACTAATTGCTAGAAACGGCTTTATTTATGTATTTTGCAGGTTTAGAATATTTTGAGTATGGAAATTCTTTTCTTGCAAAATATATATGTACTGTTGTTTGTTTTTTAGAAGTATAGATATTTTTATTAATGAATTATGATGGAATGGTTACAACTGCCTGTGCCATCGGTATTCGTAGTCGGGTCTGGATAACATTGAGATTAATACGTAAGGATGCTAGCAGGTCCTTTGGTCAATTGTGACGAAACTTGGAATGCATAATAAAATTAAACATACAATATTAAAAAAAAAATGGGTCCAATTTGATTGGGTCGTCCTTGACTACTTTAGAAATTTTAATATTTATTTATTTTTATGCCAAGTTCCTTGTGAGTAGGTAGAGGGAGGAAAATTCCTGGTCTTTAGATCTTCATCTTTACTTTCATTTGCCTTTATAATTCGTCTCATACATACACACCTGTTCGACTGACTTTCGACTCTTCTCTCAATGTAAAATAATAAAATAAAAATAGCTTTGTCAATATTTACAAAATGTAAAAGGGATCAACACAAATACATAGATTCAGTTCGAGCTGTATAAGGAAATTGACAACTTTTTATATAGGTATATGACACGAATTTTGCTATTCGTTTTATTTAAAATAAAAATATATCTCATTTTTTTTTGTCGAGGTGTGACTTTTATGATTTTGTGTATATTAACAAAATATACAAAGGCGAGTTACGATTGCCGATTGGTTTGATTTTAAAGGCAATGACAACTATACACAGAACTAGAATTGTTAGAAAGCTTACACGTAGGTTTCCAATTCCAACTTCAATCAGAAGGAAAAACAGTTTTGACGTCCATAATAGTTAAAAGGTATATATGAAATACAAAAATACTAACTTTTTTCCGCGTGACCGCAATATGTTTATTGACCGGGATAAAAAGTAGTCTATATCTTTCTCCATCCCAAATAATGTACTATTTGTCTACCAAATTTCATAGTGGTTTGGGTATTTATGTTTTTATTCGTAGTTTAGTAGTAGTAGCAGTCGTATATTGTCTCCCTATGTATAGATATGTCAAAGAGATTATTATATCTAGCATAATAAGTATTGACTGAACAAATTGTCAACAGATTTCCGCAACAGACAGGTAAATCTGTTTCTCGTGGTTTTGTCAGAGTGAATCAGTAGATATATATTATAACCTACTAAATTAAACCATTAAATCTACAGTGTATGGGGGATAGGTTAAATGTTATTAATGAGGATTAACAGCATGATTATTAGCAGTACACCCTATCAGTTCTACCTTCATGCGGTTCTCTTTAGAAACCATGGTGTTTTTTTATGATAATGGAATTGTCTCCGCTTGCGCTAACGGTCGGTATACGCTGGCGGGACACCAGTAAGAAATGATAGGTGAGGATAATAAGGCAGGTCAATTCGGCCATCGTGATGAATAAAACTGGAATTCAGCACGATGGTTTCCAGGGGGGACCATGTGGAGGTCGACCTAATAGGGTATATTGGTAGCAATGGGACTGGTAGAGCGCATTACTAGCAATTACTTCCCCTCTAATTATCTTGGTTAATCTCTAACAAATTCGCTACGATGTGCGTATTGACCCGACTTCATCTTCATCTATCATCAATCACGGGTACTCCGACAGGGTATACGTAGCCAAACTTGCAATTTTATTTTCATCCATTAAAAAATATTTACCGTGTAACAAATTTTCTTTCAAATTCGTTCCGTGGTTTGAGTGTAATGGAGTATCAAATATGTTTGTATTTTACACACATTTTACATTTAATATAAATGGATAATCAGTAGGATAATGACTGTCGCAGTTCTAAATAATATTCAATGTTTCAAAACAGAAAATTCTGAGATTTCCATGTATGTATATTGTATACTCGTAAGTATGGTACCTACTATGGCATTATTATTACTTCCTTTCCTGTGGGTGTCATAAGAGGTGACTAAAGTGTGCGAGGGATGGGCAGCAGCGTCCCTCTTAAAACATCTCCAAAGCCTAACTGCGGTTACCAATCTTCCTGGGTGGAAACTTGGATTTTTAATACTGGCTGTTGACACTGAGGTTTTTTAGAACAATGTATTATTATTTTTTTGTTCTATGTCAGATTTTTATAAGACATGTCTTGTATTTTTTCACTAAACTTATTATTTTATATCATAAATACATATATGTTTTATTATCTTACCAATATTATAAATGAGAAAGTTTACAAAGATAGATGTCCGTCATTCAATAAAAAACAGTAAAACATCTTTACAAATTTTAATATTAGTTGGATAAACAAGAAAATAAACCAGCAGACCTGCTTGCAAGTAGATGTTTAATCTCTTTTTTTTGCATCATTAAAGTGACACAAAAAAGGTCTAATTAGTGATAAGCGGCTACCGTACGTAATTTATGGACGCCGGGGGGGAAAGGGATTGTTAGTAATGGAGACTAAGAATTCTATTGCTAGCAATATACCATGTCGACCTCCTCGCGGTTCCCCCTGGAAACTATCATGATTAATTCCAGATGAATTCGTCATGATGGGCTGACTTGGCCTGTTTTCATTCTCATCGATCACCCTTCACTGGTGTCCCGCCAGCGTATCCCGTTAGCCCAGACGGGGTTACCATTCCATTTTCATCCAATAAAAAAAAACTTATGGATGCTTCTATTATAGGACAAGGGCATTGCATTTGCGTGTTGCCGACTAAAGAATTAAACACGGATGTTTTGAACAACCAAATGCCATAGTCTTTTGGGTAATCCTCAGTAAAACAAATTACATACACTTTCGCGGGAGGAAGTGACTCTACATGCGATTATTTACATTCTTCGGTACGTATGTGATGAAACTCTGTTAATGGGGAACATTGCAATGGCGGGTGGTGGTGGGCAAGTCAAACAATTCCATTGTCCATTGTAGACGAAAGAAAGGCAGGTAAAATTACGAGTACCGCTTGTGAGCTTGGTATCTATATAATAAACTAGTGTTTTTGAGGAATTCAATACGACTAGTTTAGTTGCACCCTATTTGAGGCTCCGGCTAGAGTCCTCTCGATAACTTCTGTTATAAACACGGTATAATAATATCTTTACGCAACATTATAAACAATCTGTCAAGTATGATTTTTTAGT